GGACTGGACTGGGATGGGATGGGCTCGGCACGTTTGCACCTCGGCAAGTATTATCATCTAGAATGATCAATCTCTCTACTCCACCCGGCTTCCCAACATCGCTTATATTGTATTATATCTTGAAACCAACAACATCCATAAACCCAGTATCAATAATAATAAAGAGGGGAACCAACTACATTCATATTACAATATCATATCATCCACCGCCTCCTCCTCTATACTTCCTGTATCTCTATCGTTCCTTTAACCTACCCAACAAAATGGGTTTTGTCACACACACACACACTCTCTCTCTCTCTTACAGATACCATCAATGGACTTAACCTCCACACAAGTAATGCTTTTTTTATTCGACGTTACCGAGATACAGCAAATCAACGGTTGATCAAATAATACCATTTTTAAGCATTCCCAACTATAGAAAAGAGGGGAACCGGAGATGATCGGTTGGTTCGTTGCATAAGGGGGCATTTTTTATTTGTTGCTCTCCCTACCTCCCCCTAGAATTTCCGGGCTGGGTTGGGTTGGGTTGGTTTTTTTTTTTTCGTCATTCACGTGGTAGCGTCAATGATTGAAAAAAAAAAAAAAATTATTCAAAAATAAAGTGTATAGCGATAAGAGATGAATACAAGAAATAATAATAATAATAATAGTAAAACGTTATCGGATAATTAAACATTTAGCATAGGATTATAGATTTTTTTTTTACAGAGAATTTATATATTTTTAGCAAATGGAATATTGAAGGGGGGAGGAGGGGGAGAGTTGACACTTCGTTATTTTGACATACTTGCTTATCAAATATATTTTGAAAAGAGAAAGGAGAAATGAAGAGGGTATCGAAGGGGGGTTGAGTTATTGGAACTGAAATATTTCTATTGAAAAAATTGTAGCTTTATTCATGAGTTGTTAAAAGGAAGAACAACAACAAGATATAACAACTACCCTTGCATTAATTAATCAAGGAGTACAATGGGACAGTTATCTCTTGATGTTATATCAATACACAAATATAGCTAGGGTTTATCATTAAAAGAGTGTTGATCAAAAAATGGAGATGATTTACCCTGTATTATTATAATCCATAATACAGTATACATCTATCAAAAGTCACATTTTCATTACTTAACTCATGTTTCTCAATATATACCTATATATACCAGTCGGTGGTTTACTTCCGAACGGAGTTGTATATCGCACACAATAAAAAAAAAAATTGTCAAAGAGCGGACAGATGAAGTCCACTTTTTCCCTCCCATTCAAAGTGTTTGGTGGGAAATTCTCTTCTTCTTCTTCGAAAAAAAAAAATCTAATAAACCCAATTCCTTCTTGATCACATCTCGATTGAAATTTCCTTTTCCTTTCTGAACTATTATTAGGATATCTTTTTTTGAGAGGATAGTGCATTATATTGTTAGTATTATTAGTAAGAAATGGCTCCAATCACATCATCAGTTGCTAAGACTGCTCAATTAGCAGCACAAGCTATGAAATATAATGTTAAACCATCAATGAAAACAATTGGTCAATATCAAGCATTAAGAATGATGGATATGACCAATCTTCGTTCAAATTCAACTAAATCAGGTCCACAAGAAATGACAGTTAGAGATGCCCTTAACTCTGGTTTAGCTGAAGAATTGGATCGTGATGATGATGTTTTTTTAATGGGTGAAGAAGTTGCTCAATATAATGGTGCTTATAAAGTTAGTAGAGGTTTGTTGGATAGATTTGGTGAAAGAAGAGTTATTGATACTCCAATTACTGAAATGGGTTTCACTGGTTTAGCAGTTGGTGCTGCTTTACATGGTTTAAAACCAGTTTTGGAATTTATGACTTTTAATTTTGCCATGCAAGCAATTGATCATATTATTAATTCTGCTGCTAAAACTTATTATATGAGTGGTGGTATTCAACCATGTAATATTACTTTTAGAGGTCCAAATGGTGCTGCTGCTGGTGTTGCTGCTCAACATTCTCAATGTTATGCTGCTTGGTATGGTTCCATTCCAGGTTTGAAAGTTCTTTCTCCATATTCTGCTGAAGATTACAAAGGTTTGATTAAAGCTTCTATTAGAGATCCAAACCCTGTTGTTTTCTTGGAAAATGAAATTGCTTATGGTGAAAGTTTCCCAATGAGTGAAGAAGCTTTATCTAGTGATTTTGTTTTACCAATTGGTAAAGCCAAGATTGAAAAAGAAGGTACTGATTTGACTATAATAGGTCATTCTAGAGCAGTTAAATTCTGTGTTGAAGCTGCTGAAAAATTGGAAAAAGAATATGGTGTTAAAGCTGAAGTTGTTAACTTGAGATCTATTAAACCTCTTGATACTGATACTATTTTTGCTTCTATTAAGAAAACCAACCATGTTGTTACTGTTGAAAATGGTTTCCCAGCTTTTGGTGTTGGTTCTGAAATTTGTGCACAAATTATGGAAAGTGATACCTTTGATTACTTGGATGCCCCAGTTGAAAGAGTCACTGGTTGTGAAGTTCCAACTCCTTATGCTAAAGAATTGGAAGACTTTGCTTTCCCAGATACCGAAGTTATCATGAGAGCTTCTAAGAAGGTTTTGGGTTTGTAAGGAAAGTAAAACAAGGATAAAAAAAAAAGTTATCTTTAATCAATGTGAAAAATTTTACATACTCAAGTTAAATACTTCTACATAAATGAAACCAAAAACCATAAAGAAAAAGAAAAAAAACAAGATCAATAAATGATAATTATTCTGTATAGTATACGAAATGAGTGGGGGATTGTACAAGGAGGTGAAGCATTATTATCTCAGGTGTGATATATTACCTGTGCATACACTCTCTTTGAGATTATAATCTATTACAAGATTGAAAGAACGATAGGAAGGGGTAGTATATCATACTGAATAATATACTAATAGATCCATGTAGTATGAGGTATAGCCATTATTTACACACGACAGCCGTGTGAGTGTTCATATCTCAAGTAACTCTGAAACTCTACGTGAGACATTTGTTAAACATCGATGTAGTCTAATTCAAATAGATAACAATGTGAATGGTGTATAAATATTATACAAAACCCACAACCGATAAGCACACACACATATATATACACATTATGGATAGTTCAGTAGGAATTAAGTTGTTAAATCATCATATCTGAATGATATCGATGTTTTGATACAGGAAAATTTTTGCACCAAGATGAATAACGTAGTAGGAAAAAAAAAATCAAGTCAATGGTTATATTCCTTATTTAACCCTTTTCATTTAAATACCATTCAAACACCAAGAACAATACCTACTGAATATTCCATGAAGGATATGTCATCTACTGGAAATACCAATACTACAGAAACTGGTCAAAATGAAAACTCATTGACTTCATTAGATCTAGAATCATCAATATCATCATCATCATCATCATCACCATTGAGATCTTCTAAACGTTCATCACCTAATCCTGAACCATCATTTCAAAAACGAACCAAACTAGTTAATTCTAAATTTGATGAGGTGCTGATATTACATGAACCTTTATTTGATAAAAGTTTACCTAAAAATTTCAATATTTTAGATATTAATAAAATTGAATATGCTATTAAAAATTTACAAAAATCAATAAATACAATTATTGAAATAACACCAGATATTATTGAATTTAAAAAATTAAATGAATCTAATGATATTAATAATGGAAGAAAATTACAAATTACAAATAATGAATTAATTTCATTATCATCAAGATTGAAAACATTATATAAATTGAAAAAAATTCCTATATTTGATAATATAATTAATTCAAATATTGAATTAAATGAAGAAGATATTGAAAATTTGGAAAAAATTTCAAATTTAAATGATTCAATTATTGTTAAATTACCTAAAAATGAAACAATTTCTAATATTAATATTAAAGGAATTAAAAATAATTTACCTGAATTACCTAAAATTAATGATAATAAATTATTTGAAAGAGTATTTACTCATAAATCATTTGTTAATAATAAAAATTATCTTAATAATTCAGAATTACTTAAACTTCATAATGAAAGATTAGAATTTTTAGGTGATTCAATATTAAATAATTTAGTAACATTAATAATATTTAAAGAATTTAATAATTGTAATGAAGGTGAATTATCCAAAATTAGAGCATCATTAATATGTAATAAAACATTACTTAAATTTGCATATGAATATGGATTTGATACAAGATTAAAATCATTTATTAATAAAGAAGCAATTAAATCCGGAGATCAAAAGATTTATGCTGATGTTTTTGAAGCATATATTGGAGCTTTAGGAATTGAAAGAGGTAATGATTTAAAAGAAGTACAAGATTGGTTAATAAAATTATTTGAACCATTAATTTTTGAATTAAAAAAAGATTTAAATAAAGAACCATTAGATAATAATGCTAAATCTGAATTATATTCACTTATTGGAAGAACAGATATGCACCCACAATATAAAGTTATTGAAGAAGGAGATGGAGTTGAAAAGAAATTTATAGTTAGTTGTATGATGAATGGTGAAGAAATTGGGAAAGGTGTTGAGAAAAGTATTAAAGATGCTGGGATTAGAGCTGCTATGGAAGCACTTAAAAATAAAGAAATGTTGGGGAAATATTTTCTAGAACGTCAAAAGATTGAAAAACCAGTTAAACAAGAAAGAATGAAGAGGGAATTGATGAAGAAAGAAGCTAGATTGAAAGAAATGGAACAAGAAAGAATTAATGAAAAATCAAATTTACCTTCTACACCACCATCACCAATTAGAACAGATATGTTTCCTATAAAAGTTGATTTACAAGCACCTATTGATAGTGATAGTAAAGGAGAATTGTATGGTTTGATTGGTAGGAAAATTGGAGATAAACCAGAATATATTAATTGTACTGATAGTGAAGGTAATTTTATAACAGAATTAAGAATTCGTGGTATTCTTATATGTACCACAACAGATCGATCCAAAAAGAAGTCTATGGCCAGAGCAGCCCTGACATTGTTGAATAACAAACCAGCATTAGAGCAAATATGCAAAGATTTCAGAACCAAAGACAAAGCGATGTGACCTACCTACCTACCTGTGAGACGTGTTTATAGTATATATTATAGATTAGATGATACACATAGAGAGAGTATAGAAGTCCGTGTAATAATTACTGGTTGCATTAGATTTCATTGTCAGGTAACCAAACCTGAAACATGAAACATGAAACATGAATCGTGAAACATGAAACATAACTATAATTATTTTTTTTGCCCGACCAACTAGGACGACGCACCTCGACTGAAACCAAACGAGGTGTATAAATAAAAACCCATCATCATCAGCACCATCATCACCATCACCGTTACCAATCTTTGGAAATACCCACTTATGGACATACTTATTGTATAATACTGCTTTTTTATTAATGGATTTGTATAAACTAACATTAACTTTATTAACTGCATCGTCATATTTATTTGCTATTTATTTTGCTGAACCAGCAAATATCAAGAATAAACATAGAGATGATTTAGATGTTGTATATTATAGAATTAAAAGGATAATTATATTATGTATTTTATCAATAATTATAATTCCAAATTTGATTGATAAAAGAGGATATTTTGAAAATATTAAAGAATTAGGAATAATTCCTGGGATATTCTAAATCAAATGATATTCAATTAGATTTAATTAATATTTTGAAAACATTATATTTCATTTTAATTTTATATTCTTCAACTTTATTGCAATTATTCATTGGAGAATTTGAAATATTTGATGATTATGAAGAAGAAGAAGATGAGAATAGTAAAATTTATAAATTTAGAAATTATATACTTGCACCAATATCTGAAGAATTGATATATCGAGGATTAATAATGTTGATTATTGATAAAGATCAAGATTTGATTAAAATAAGTCCATATTTATTTGGAATTGCTCATTTACATCATGGATATCAATTATATTTTATTAAAAAAGAATCATTATTGAAGGTATTATTAAGTATTGGATTTCAATTTATATATACTTCAATATTTGGAATGTTGGTACTATTTTTTTATAACAAGACTTTGAATAATTTATGGTGTTGTATTGTGTTGCATGCTGTATGTAATTTATTTGGAATACCAAGTTTCAATGTAAGGTCCAATAGTAAGATTGTCAAGATTTTATATTATGGATTGATTATATTTGGAATTGTTCATAGTTATATTTATATACAAAAGATGTAAGAAAGTTTACAGGAGATCCTTAATCCTTGTTAATCAACAGAATCATCATCATCGTTACCACTCCTCCTGATGATGATGGATTGAATAATACACGATGCGTCAATGATTTTAGAGACAAGAAACAACAACAAAAAAAAAATAGTTAAATGGTGAATGGATACAGAGCAATGCATGATAATTATGCACAGAATGACAAAGAGAAACGTGTAAAGTAGCTTTGAAAGGTCTTACAATGTGATACACAGACAATAATAACAACACAACACAACACACAAAGAAACAGGACATTGTTGATGATGCTCGGCAAAATCAACTAGAATCAAAAACACAAGACAAAGACGATGGTGGTGAACTTTGATCTGATCTTTGTTGAAGAGTCCGTGTTATTATATAAATGCTGTGGGAGAGAATCCCTTGTTCCTATATAATATTCCCATGGATTATTTAGCTAGTAGAAAGGGAGGGAACAACAGGACAAGGTCAAAGGTCAAAGGGGCAGGTTGGTGTATGGTAATTGGGGAATTCAATGTCTGTTCATCATAATTGCTTGTTTTGGTAAAGAATGTTTTATTGGGATTGTAAATCCTCGTGTGGTGGTCCCTTCTCATTTTACATTTTACATTTTACATTCACACGAAGGCGACGACACGATGACACGACGCGTCAGTTTTTTTTTTCTTTTGCTTTGAATGAACTGGGGCGACGACCCCTGCTGGCACGAGAAGTATATAATATTTGGTGGTGGTAGTGGTTAATATCCTTTTGCTTAACCAATAGATGATGTGATGGTTAGACGTGAGTAGTAATAGTAATAGTGATAGTAATCGTCTGTGATGTAATAGAAATAAATTTTACAACAAATCCGAAGATCATTTTCTTACAACCAACTAGCTAACTAATTTTGTACACATTGTGTGAGTGAGTGTAACCAATTGACACAAAATATTTTTACAACCAATGTCAATGTCAGACAGCCAACACACACACACACAAGAAAAACAAAACAAAACAAACCAAAACAACAGACAACAAAGCAACAGACAACAGACAGCAGACAGCAGAAAAAAAAAATAATAACGAGTTGAATTTTCTCACTCTGTCTCACTCTGTCACTCTCTGTCTCATAGTTTATATTTTATATACTGAGAGAATGGTTGTTAGCGTGCCAGGCGATAAATCATAAATCATTAAACTAAAAACAACAAAACCATAAAACATAAAACCATAAAAAAAAAATTTTTTTTTTCCTTCCCTTTTCTAATTGTTTTCACCATCAACGTCAACATCAACATCAAGTAGTTCACTTTCATTTTACAGTCTGTCTTTTAACCAACCAACCAACTCAGTCAGTCTTGTCATTCGTTAGGACTATTGATCTTTTACTTCCATCTCAGTTTATTCGTTGACGTCAAAACAAAAACACGACACCAGTTCCCCTATTTTTCATTTTTCATTTTTCAATTTTCAATTTTTTTTTCACATATATATATATATATTTATTTATTTATTTTAGTTCCATTAGTAATACCATTCAATCATTTTCCATCATTCTTCCTTTTTTTGTTGTACAGTTTTCAGTCTATTTATTAATATTTTGATCCTTTGAAAAATGTCACTGCCAAATTCATCCTTTCATAATGATCCAAATTATGAATCAGCAGTTCAGGATCTTGAACAAGAAAAGAAAATGGTGGCTGCACTTAAAAGACTATCAATTGGCCATATGATGCAATATGATCCTGATTTACCTCCTGGTACTATGGATAGCATAGACCCTTTTTCTACTACTACTACTACTACCAACAAAAATACAAACAATACTACAAACAGTCCCAATAGTAGCAACATCAAAAGAAATAGCGGATTATTTGACGAAGATTTAGTACCACAAAATATTCACAGGAAACCATCAACACGATCAAGATCACCACCTACTTCTCCTCAAAGAAAACACCATGATCAACAACAACAACAGCTGCATTTCCCTCATGAACCACAGACCCCTCCATATAATAAATCACCCAGTCCGGTCAAAAGACGTAGTTTTTATGACAATGCCAGTGTTGGAACACAAGAAAGCCACGACGTCTTTTTTGACGCAGAAGATGAAGTATTTGACGGATCATCAAATTTATTATGGGTCCCAGCTAATGCTCATCCACAAGTTAACCCAGAATCATTTAAAAGTTTAATCAAAACGCAAGTTGAAGAAATTTTGGAGAGAAAATTATCTCGAAGATCATCATTGTCACGAAAATCTACCTTATCTCGTAGCTCAAGTACCAGTACCAAAGAAACTTTAGCTCTAGATCCAGAGACAACCTCTCAATTGGAAAAGGATACTCCATTGGATAGAAGATCATCATTATCTTCAACCCCACAATCTAAATCTACATCATCCGGAAGAAAACTTTCCACATCTGCTGCTTCCCAGAATCAACAACAACCAATTGACAGTTCATCACGTTCGTCTTCTGTTTCATCAAATTCGGAATCTCCTCCTCGAGATCCTGCCAAGAGAGAATCATGGTATGCCAACAATTCAAAACGATACCTGAACCCTTCATTGCGTGAATTGACTAGTGAGTTGGAACAATTGTCTAAAATGGCAGGGATGGACAAAAACGATGCTGTTACCATCGCAAGAACTTTATCAGCTCAATCATTAGGTTATACAGACGTTGAAAAACTAGCATTTGATGAATTGGATAGTGGTACTACAAGTACAACACCAAATTCACCAGGATCTCCTGGAAGCTTTGATGCTGGAAGTCCACCTAGAACCACAACATTGCATTTACAACAGCGTTTACAACAACAATTTCAACAAGCTCAACAAAAGGCTGAAAGAGAAGCAGAGTCCAGAAGACAACGTGATTATTCCCCACAACAGTTGTCACCTCCTAGTGAGGTGAGCAAATCCGGAGGCGATTTTTCTTTAAAGAGAAGTCGAAGAACTGATTATAGAAAGAAAGATCATGATATGAAGCAGTCCTCATCACCTTCCAATCCATCACCACCAACCAGAAGATATAATGCCCGTGATTCAAGATTGTTATTCAATTACAAGAAACCAATAGATTCATCGTCATCATCATCTTCTTCTTCCCCAACACCAGCTTCAAGATTATCAGGACATAGAAACAACCAAAAGAGTTCCCAGCACTCATTAGAAGCAGCTTTAACAAATTCAATGACAGATAGTTCTGGAGTTTTGAGTAATCCATACCCCACCGCATCCACCAGTATTGATTTCAGTCGTATGAGTGCAAAAAAGTCCCTGAAACCAGCATCAGCTCAAAAATACATTCAAGAACTACCTACAGAATACAGATCATCTCGTTCTAAAAACAGACCAGACCAACATTCCAGTCGATCTCAACATAGTAATGGTTCTCACCACACTCATCATCATCATCAACAACAACATCAACAACTACAAGAAACTCATCCTTATCAACAACTGAGTCAGCAACGTCAACACTCACTGTCAAGACATCATCATCATCAACAACAACAGCAACCGGTTCCAGAGAAACATTCCCGTCATGAAACTAAAAGGCTCATCCCATCTGCATCCAATACCAATATCAATGACTTTATGGTACAACTGGATGAATTTCAAATTAATGGATACAGACAACATCATAGACAAGAAAGATCTTCAAAGAGAGAGAAGGATCAATCTCGTAGTAATCATCAACATCATCATCGTTATGATCAACAACAGCAGCAACCACCACCACAGCAACAACAACCACAACAATATTCAAGACAACTGCGTCGTCTTGATCCATTACTTAAAGGTTCTGCTAGTGGTGTTCGAGAAAACATCCCTTCATCTCATCAACTGCGTTTACATCAACCATATCCTAATGGATCTGCTCCAGCAAAATCACAACAGTTGCATCAAAACTTGGATAAATTAAGATCAGAAATTAATGATTTCAAGGAAAGTTTAACTAAAACTGATCCATCAATGAGAAAGGACTCAAGGAAACCAGATAGATATCGTCAACAACAGGAAGAAGAAGTTCAACCACATGCTAATTATCATCCAATTCAACATGACAATAGCTTTGAAGTAAGCTTCCAAGACTTGACTGTTGAAGATCAATTGGGTATTGAACATGAAGTGATGAAAGAATTAGGAAGAGATGGGAGAACAACCATTGATATTGATGATGCATTTGATGAAGACTTGGAAGTTCTGCCAATTAAAGATGCATCTTCTGAGTTTAGACTTGATCATGATATTTTAGAAAGTATCCCATTGGTTGAAAATCACTTGCTTGATTTATCAGATGAAGAGGATGAAGAGAATCCAAATGAACGTCTGAGAAATGACTATTTACATCATACTGCTGCAGCACATACATCAACACTGCCACCTCCACCAGAATATACTGAACTCGATGAGTTATCAAATGAAAGACATCATTCTTACCAACAAACACATGAACAACAACAGCAACCTCAGCAACAACAAAGACATGATTCAAGAGTAGGTGTAAACTTGGAACCTGTGCAGCTAGATGAAGTTGCCAATGGGTATGGCATGAATCCATTGCCTTCACCAACTTTACGTTTAGATGAGAACCGCACTCCAGGTCATCTGAGAAAAGGCAGCAACGGTGCCAGTTATGATGATTACTATAACATTGGCGAACGTCAATCCTCGACTCCAGCTACTCCAAAAACCAAAAAGGAATCAAAGGTCAAGACCAAGTTATTCAACAAGGATCCTAATTTGGAAATTATCGATTCTGATAACTACAAGGAGAAGATGGGCATGGAACCTTCTTCAAGTAAGAAGATGAAGAAGAAAAAGTCTTTTGGTATATTGAGTAGTGCGGCTTCAATACATTCTGGTGCTACTGATGCTAGTGGAGATGAGACTAAGAGGTTGAAAAAGAAGAAATCCTGGGGATGGTTACGTGAACGTTCTGCTAGTGCTTCCACTATCGATACAAGCAACTTGCCACCATTACCGGTTAACAATTTACCACCAAGATCGTTCTCCAACCCTGAAAAGACCTCGAACTCAAACAATCAACAAGGACAGGCTTTGCAACGTAGTGATAGTTCATCTATTGAAGATAATTATTCAGCACATGATATTACATCTATGAAATCAACCGATAAGGAGAATGTATTGTCCAAATTTTTCAAGAAGAAAGCCAAAGTTCCAGGAGCAAGTTCGAATTCAGTATATTCATTTGAGTCCAACAATTCTGGAGTTACAGTTGATTATGAATCAGATAGTGATGCACATACTTTGCGAAAGAAGAGTAGTAATGGTATTTTCAAAAAGAAGTCCAAAGCCAAGTTAACTGATGGTGAAGGATCTACAAACAAGGATAGATTAAGACCATTGAACTTGGTAAGCGATGAATCACAACTCAAGGCATATGATTATGCTAATAATGAAGATAAGGAGAATGTTAAGCATGGTCGTAGTGCTAAAGATTATGGTCGTACCAATGAATATCATCATCCAGAAGGTCCTTATGATAACGAATATGAACAACAACCTATGACTTCGTCACCTACTCATGAATTCAACATTGATCATCTTGAGGATGATTTCAATTTACTTGATGATAACGATGATGATGATGATTATAATGAGATACAATCTAGATCGATTAATAACAAACAAACTAGTAAAAGCCAAACCCAACAATTTAAAAGCTCGATTTTAATGGTTGATGACGATGAAGAGCAGAGACAGGTTAGAAAACTCAGAGGTGATGATGCCGGATCGAAGAACAAGAAGAAGAAGACGCTTGTTAAAAAACAAAGACGTGATCGTCACAAAAAGAAGGAATCTGTCGAATCTGTTGATGCTGAAAACGATCGAGTTCAAGCTAGTGCCGTAACTGCAACCACGACTGCCAGTGCTGCAACAGGCGTCAATGAACAAGAAGCAAGAGGAGAACCACAAAGAGGAGGAAGAGAAGGGCAAGAAGAAGAAGAAGAAGGAGAAGAGGAAGAAATTCTTCAAAGTAATGAAGAGAAGGAGAAGTTGGATATTCAAGAGAAATTGAAGAAGTCTATTAAACGTACCTCCAAAGCCAACCAGCCAATAGAATTTACTGATTCTGCATTTGGGTTCCCATTACCTCCACCATCACAATCTACGTTAATTATGCTTGATTATCGATTTCCAGTACACGTTGAGCGTGCGATTTACAGGTTATCACATTTGAAATTGGCCAATCCTAAGAGATCATTGAGGGAACAGGTTTTATTATCGAATTTCATGTATGCGTATCTTAATTTAGTTGATCATACTTTGCATTTAGAACAACAGAATATGAGTAGTGAGGATGGGGAACCAGCAGAAGATAATGAAGAAGAGATTGCCACGGGTGAAGAGAATGATAAAGATATGATATTTGCTGAGGATAGTATGATTGTCGATGATGATATTGTCCCTGCTGAAAACCATCCTGAATCCATTGCCATTGATTTGGATATGGAAGATATGGATAGCAATCCACATCGAAATAATAATCAATATTCAAGTATAGAAGTGTAAATAGAACGAGGGGGTGAGAGGTTTTATTCAAACGATTAGAAATATACATACACGTAATTAGAGTTTAAACATAGAAACTAAATGCAACACCAGAATAAAGATTGATGATATTAATCATGTTTTGTGTCTCGCCGTTGTACCCTTTTTGTTATTGTAATAAATGCATGTGTCCATCTGGTGGTGGTGGTGACATCAATGGTTACAGTGGGCAGCAAAGGCCGTGATGGAAGAAGAAGCCAACCACGCGACGTGTATTTGTCAAAGCCGAGGGGATGAATTACGTAATACAGTAGTAATAACAACCAATTGAACAACAACAAACATTTAAAAACCGTTATTCCCGTAGTATGTAGACGTGTGTGTATCCGTATTATTCGAATCAACATCCGGCTTCACCTTCACCTTCAACAGGTATCGTTTACATGGACTAGTTAGACGTTTTACGTGTCTTTTTATGTATGCATTTTTTGGGTTATGTTGCACGCATGGGTTGGTTTTCAGTTTTTCTTTAAAAACCTTCTGGTTCCATAAGTTTGCATCGTTTTTGGTAAAGGGTAAACAAAAACAAATGAAAAATCACCCCATTAATATTCACTGGAGATATCATTAGACCACTGCTCAACTGAGGTTATATATATATATATATATAGTATTATCATTGACAATAGTCTACTTTTCATATTCTATTTCATTTCACATACTTATCATTCTCTTGTTGATTTGGTTTTATCTTTTTTGCAAGAAAGATTTGAAATTAATTTTTTCATTTTTCATTTTTCATTTTCCAGGTTTTGATTTCTTTCTTTTGTTTTTTGTTTTTCTTTTGGGTGCTTGAGATTTTTTGAAATATTCATTTTCACTTACTTGTTTGTTTATTTCATTGATTGATTGATTTATTAATTTCAATATTTTGGTATTTTAAACATGAGTAGAAGTTTACCATTATTATCATCTAAAGAAGTTTCCAAACATGATAATATTAAAGATTGTTGGGTTACTTTATATCAAAGAAAAATTTATAATGTTACTGGATTTTTAGATGAACATCCAGGTGGTGGTGATATTATTTTACCTTATGCTGGTAAAGATATTACTGAAATCATGGCAGATATTGTATCTCATGAACATTCTGAAAGTGCTTATGAAATTTTAGATGATGGAATGTTAGTTGGATATTTGGCTACTCCTGAAGAAGAAAGATCATTATTAAATAATAAAAATAAAACTCCTGTTGAAGTTAAATTAACTAATAATAATTCTATTAATGATAATGGTAAAGATTTCGATATGTATGAATTTCATAATGATTTACCAATGGAAGAAAAATTATCTATTCAAACTGATTATGAAGAAGATGCTAAGAAGCATAAATTTTTGGATTTAAATAAACCTTTATTAATGCAAATGTTAACTAGTGATTTTAATAAAGATTTTTATTTAGATCAAGTTCATCGTCCAAGACATTATGGTAAAGGTTCAGCTCCACTTTTTGGGAATTTCTTAGAACCTATTTCTTTAACTCCATGGTGGGTTGTTCCATTAGTTTGGTTACCTCCAAATATGTATATTTTTTATATTGGATTTATTAATCAAAGTCCAATTATTGCTTTAAGTTTATGGGCTATGGGATTATTTGTTTGGACTTTAGTTGAATATTGTTTACATCGTTTCTTATTCCATTTAGATTATTATTTACCTGATCATAGATATGCTTTCACTCTTCATTTCCTTTTACATGGTGTTCATCATTATTTACCAATGGATGGGTATAGATTAGTTTTACCCTCCTGCTTTATTTTATTGTTTTAGCTTATCCATTTTATAGATTGATTTTTGCCATTTTTCCCATTTTATATGGCATGTTCAGGTTTTGCTGGTGGTACTTTGGGTTATATCATGTATGATATCACTCATTATGTTTTACATCATACTAAATTACCAAGATATTTCCCAAGAACTTAAAAGATTACATTTAGAACATCATTATAAGAATTATGAAGAAGGTTTTGGTGTTACTTCTCCATTTTGGGATGTTATCTTTGGAACTGAACTTACTACTACATTCCAAAAGAGAAAGTAATGTTATATATATAAAATTATAAAAAAATATGAGTGTTTCTTTTTTGGTTATTATTATTACGATTCTTTGTTGATATTCAATTACATCTAGATAGATAATATGGTATAGTATATAATATATAGTTTTTTATGTGTATGTGTGTTTTTCTATAGTTTTCAATTGTATTTTAAAGGTTTAATAATTTATATGAATTTTCATTTAATTCAGTTGATCCTAAAATATCATCAAGAACTTCTTCGATATTGCTTTTATCTGGATTCAATCGTCTTCTTCTCTTTCTCTTGGTTTGTATATCTGAATAATTATCATAAGATATATTTTTATATTGATCTTGTATATCCAATGCACCAAAGAAACAATGTTTAAGTTTATCCTGTTCTTGTTTTCTTTGATTAAATTCTTTTGGATATTTATCAACTAAATCTTTATACTTTTTCAGATTGGTTTCTTCTGCTAATAATTTCAAATATTCAATAACATTAAATGCTCCATTAGATGAAATGACATGTTTATATTTATCTTTATCTTCTTCTTGTTCTTCTTCTGAATCATCTTCTGAATCATCATCATCATCATCAATCTCATGTTCTTCAAATTCGAATTTATAATCAATATCATTGAATAATTTATCACATTTCGAATATAAATCTCGATACATATTTGTATTTAATTGTGAATATGGATTAGTTTCACTTTTTAAACTTGATAATAATACTTGTTGCCAATTATTTGATCTTTTCACTGATGTTAAATTATCAAGCATATTATTAAATCTATTTGAAATTTGATTAATTATTGGGATTTAATATTGGATTTTCAAATATTTTATCACTTGATTCTAAAATTTGATCAATTTCTCCTAATTCTTTTAATTTTTTAATTTTTAATTCAATTTTTGATTGTAATATTGATGATATTGAATTAGATAGAATTTTCTTTGAATTAATTATCTTATCTTTATATTCAACCTGTATTATTTTCTCACGAATATCAATTTCTTCTAAATGTTCCTCCTCCTCATCATCATCATCACTACTACCACTACTACTACTACTACTACTATCATCACCATCGCTGGAATAATCTGTTGATATATCAATTTTAGTTACATTTTTAGGTTTCTTTCTTTTATGGTTATATTGATCAATCCAACCTTGTAAAGATTTATTATATTTCTCTTGCCATAAATCTATATCTTCTTTATATCCTTTTATAGTATTATCTTCATAATTATCTTTTGGAATAGGTACTTCTTCAATAGGTAATGGCCAATAACTCCATTCATGTTTTGGAAATAAAGGATTTATTCTTCGTAGTAAAAAAGTTGAATATAAATGAATTGCTAAATCTGATGTATATTCAGCATCTAATGAATTTAAAATCTCCTGACGTGCTGATTTCGTAGACATATCTCTATGCTATTTGTTGAATGATATGATGATATGATGATAATGATAATAAGATGAGTTTTGTTGATCTGAAAATTATGATTTTCTTTTTTTTCAATCGAGATTAGAAATTTGATTTTTTTTTAAATAAATCAATATCAATCATTGATGGATATTTTAATTATACATATTGGAGCAGGTATTCATGATCAGAAATTGACTCATAAATATAAATCATTATTAAGAAATGCATTATCAAAACAATCAGTGCTAGAATCAAGTAAAATCATTGAATCCTCATCATTAACAAATACCGGATATGGATCATCATTGAATTTATTAGGTAAAGTTGAATGTGATGCAAGTTTTATAATAAATGATAATATCAATAAAGAAGAATCAAGAATAGGATCACTTGTTAATATGAATTGTAAATTCCCAATTCTGGAATTATTTCAAGTGTTTAATAAAATTGATGAATTATATAATTATGAATCGGATTTGACCCCACCTATCATGTTATCTTATCCTAATTTGAAGAATTTTCTCAATGGGGAAGTAATTGAAGATCATAAAGAATTAATATCACCTAAATCTCAAAGAATATATGATTTATATAAAGATAAAGTGTTTAAAGATAAGAAATTACCAAATGGTATTTCAGATACCATTGGCGTGATACATCTTGAAAATAATACAACAACTATTGCTTCATCATCTGGTGGGAATTTATTTAAACTTCCTGGAAGAATAGGATGTGCTGGTATAATAGGAGCTTCTATTGCATTCAACAAATTTGAAGATGTTAAAATCAGTTGTATGTGTTCTGGTAATGGAGAACAAATTATTCGTTATAAATTGGCACAATTACTTGTTGAAAATATATATAATTACCTGGAAGATAATTATGGTGAATGTATTGATAACCTACTATGTCGATTACCAGTTCCCTTGTATATTGGATTTATTGTAGTGATTGAAACACTGGAAAGAGTTCAACTTTTATATGGACACACTACTGAATCATTTCATTTTGGATTTAGAGTTGCAAAAGATAAAATAAAAGTAATATTGAGCTATGCTGAACAAGAAGGTAAACTTACATTTGGAGAATATATACTAGCTTAAAGTGATTGTAATATACATCTAAAAGTACAAAGAAGAAATCATCCATGATTCATATTCTTTCTTTCTTTCTTTTTTTAAATATTATGTATATTTTTTGTTTATTGTTTAAAAAAGCATTACTATATCCTTTTATTATATTAAAGTTGTTGATATTCATTAAACTTAACGGGAAGTAGCTTTGACTTTTTGGAAAGAACCTTTAGCTTGTTGTTTAGAAACAACAGAAGCACCAGAAGCAGCAAGTTTAGCTTTTTCAGCTTTTCTAGCAGCTTTAGCAGCTTTTTTAGCTTCTTTATCCTTAGCCAATTTAGATTCTCTAGCAGCTTTTCTATCAGCTGGTTTTTGGCTTCTTCTTTCTTTAATCAATTCTAAAGAAGCACCAACAATAGCTCTTTGGTGTTTAACAGTCTTTCTGGTTCTCTTTTTAGCAGCTTCTTCAGAAATACCTTTCTTGTGGTGTCTTCTGTACAAGACAGTCCAAGAGATTCTTCTTGGGTTCTTTCTTTGGTGGAACAAAGAAGCAGATTTAGAGGATTGGAATCTGAAAATCTTAGAATCACCTCTGACGAACAAGGTACCTCTACCTGGGTAAATTTTAGAACCTGAAAAGGAGTCAATTTCAATCTTCATTTTTCACTAAAACAAAAACAAGAGATAAAATGTTAGTATTAAAAACAAGTTACTTGAATGAAAATAATGACTTCTAAGATATCACATTTGTATTTTTCTCTTAATACATTTAAATAGTATCATAATGAAAGAATGTCTTTGATCCATGAAAAATCCAATTATTCAAAATTTTTTTCTTCAATTTTTTTCAATTTCCCAATTCAATGTAAGATGACAAGTTACTTCTTGTAATGATGAATTAACAAACTGTTGATAATACACATGCAATAGTTGATCTAGTCTTGAATAGTCATTATCTTAATACGTGGGTTGTATATGACATACCTATTTGATGGTTGGTTTCCTTAAGAGAGATGATAAAAATTAATGAAAATGAATTTTCACTTATTTTTGTTTTTCCTAAACTGCGTTGTGCACTGACAGTCCAGAGTGAGTGAGAGAGACACACACTCTCACAACTTGGTGCGAATGGCGGTCGCCTATTGTTGGTGCGTGCACCGTGTGACAATTCTCCCACTACTCTGTGTGTACGGGTGTGCGCCCTACTGAGCCCTGCTACCAGCCAACCACAGCAGAAAAATTAAATTCTGGTCGCGCGACAAATTTTTTCATTTTGACACTTTCGCACGAACATTTGCCCATACAAAGTACTGTATATTGCAAATAGCCCTAATGCAACCCTAATCAAATGCACGTGATTTAACAAACAGCCATTCTGTAGTTGGTCGTGCACTTGTAACAAAAACATAAATTTTTCAATTTTTTTTTTTTCTAACATAGTGAGACATCTTCATCATCGTACCAATACTATGAGAAGGAAATTTTTTTTTTAAGTATTATAGACTCTTCTTTCTTACTTTCTTCTTTTTCCTACTTTACACCAAGACCGGAGTAATTAATATATACAGAGATGGTCCGTATACTTTTAACTTAAGATATTGTGGAATTGCAAGAAAGACTTTTTTCTTCTTTATATAACCACAAGGAATAAGAATGACAATCTGATTTCATTTGGGGAAACTCAATTTTTGGACTTGTTGTTTGAATAAAAATGTATGTGGAATAAGAGATAAAAAAAAGTCATTATCACAATTATTCTAAAAGACCAATGATCAATGAAAAAATACTAACATTTTTGATAGGCCCCAAAATCCAACAAGAACCAAGAAAACATTAACTCAAAATTGGCTTTGACCATTAAATCAGGTAAATATACCTTGGGTTACAAATCCGTTGTCAAATCTTTGAGAACTGGTAAAGCTAAATTGGTTATCATTGCTGCTAACACCCCAGTTTTAAGAAAATCTGAATTGGAATATTACGCTATGTTGTCCAAGACCCCAGTTTACTACTTCCAAGGTGGTAACAATGAATTGGGTACCGTTTGTGGTAAATTGTTCAGAGTTGGTACTTTATCTATTTTGGATGCTGGTGACTCTGATATCCTTTCTTCTATCTAAGAAGGTTAATTGCTTATTTGTATTATTATATACATTTCTATAATGAATTAATTTTAATATGAAATAAATAATTATTTTTTTAAAAAAGGATAAAATTTGATTTTATTTATTCATCTATTTATTGTAAACTTGTTTTAATTTACTCTCGAGTTGTTCTATTTCCTCTCTTTCAAGTCGTATTATTTCATCGATATCTAACTCATCTTCTTGATTTGTGTCACTAGATGTAGAAGATATTTCCATATTAGTAAAACTAATATTATCATAATCCACATGTTTTTCAGTTAAATATTTTTTTCTTTCTTTAACTTCATCATGTAAATCTTGAATCTCATTTTCTAAACTTCTATACTCATGTTCAAATCTATTCAATTGTCGTACTAATGAATGATGATCCTCAATTAAATTAGGATATTTTGATAATACCTGTGATGTTTGATAAAAAATTTGGCCTAAATCTTCAGAATTATTTAAATTAATTAATGATCTTGATGTACTATTAGATAAATCCAAATTTGGAAATTTCACAATTGGAGTCCTTCTATCTTCTTCATCACCATCATCATCATCTTCTCGTTGTATATATTCTCCATTCTTGTTAATAAATTGATTAATTTGTTGTGGTTTATCTGAAACAATTGGTTCTAAAGTATAGATTATTCTTCCGTCGATTCTTTCTGATTTAGTATCCATAGAAGCTTTTTCAACAAGATTATCAACTAATTTACTTCTACCTGTGGAATTTTTAGGTTTGTTGATAGTATATAATGAACTTTCATCATAAGTTGGATCTTTAATTAATGTTGTTATTTCAGGTGCATTTACCATGGCATTAGTGAACATTCGTGGTGAGTTAAAATTATTTGAGTTTATTGATCGCAAGGATTGTTGTAAACTTGTAAGTGAATCAGATAATGACATTATTAATGGTTGATATTTTGCTTGATTTGAAGATGAATATCTGCTTTGTTTATGTTTTTCTTAATATTCCCACTGTTAATTTTTTTTTTGTTGGAGGTCGCGATCTTCCATCACCAATTGAGAATTCAATTGATTTTAAAAAAAAGATTGAATTTTTTTTTTTTTCATCTTTCATCATCTAGTTTATACTTCACTACAGGAAACCACCATACAATGACAGTTGATTTAGATAGATACTTAAAGCCAGGTAAAGATCATTACATAGCACTTGGGTTAGAAGGATCTGCCAATAAGTTAGGAGTTGGTGTAATAAAACACAATAAAGGTCCATTAACATCAACTAATCGAGCAGAAGTTTTATCAAATATTAGAGATACTTATATAACTCCACCAGGAGAAGGATTTTTACCAAGAGATACAGCTAGACATCATAGACATTGGGTCATTAGAGTTATAAAACAAGCATTAGCTGTGGCGAAAGTTAAAGGAATTGATATTGATGTGATTTGTTTTACTCAAGGTCCTGGAATGGGAGCACCTTTACAAAGTGTTGTTGTTGCAGCAAGAACATTAGCGCAATTATGGGAAATACCAATAGTTGGAGTGAATCATTGTGTTGGACATATTGAAATGGGTAGAGAAATTACCGGAGCAGAAAATCCAGTGGTATTATATGTAAGTGGTGGTAATACTCAAGTAATTGCATATTCAAAACAAAGATATCGTATTTTTGGAGAAACTTTAGATATTGCCATTGGGAATTGTTTAGATAGATTTGCTAGAACTTTAAAAATTCCAAATGATCCTGCTCCAGGTTATAATATTGAACAAATGGCTAAAAAGGGTAAACATTTAGTTAATTTACCATATACTGTTAAAGGTATGGATTTATCCATGTCTGGTATTCTTGCATCAATTGATAGTATTGCTAAAGAAATGTTTGGTAAACAGAAAAAAGTTATAATTGATGAAGAATCAGGAGAACCTATTACTGCTGAAGATTTATGTTTTTCATTACAAGAAACTTTATTTAGTATGTTGGTAGAAATCACCGAAAGAGCATTAGCACATGTTGATAGTAATCAAGTATTGATTGTTGGAGGAGTTGGATCCAATCAAAGACTACAAGAAATGATGAAACTAATGATTCAAGATCGTAAGAATGGACAAATATTTGCAACTGATGAAAGATTTTGTATTGATAATGGTATAATGATTGCTCATGCAGGATTATTAAGTTATAGAACAGGGCAAGTTAATGAGATTCAAGATACTGTATGTACTCAAAGATTTAGAACAGATGAAGTATTTGTTAAATGGAGAGATGATTAGGTAATATATATATATATATATAACAAAAAGAAAGTGGAGAGGGAAAGGGGGAGAGGAGGAATTCGATCTTCGGAGTAAGGTATGTTCTTTACTTCGTTAATCATAGATCGTATATTAAACAAAATTCTTTGAAAAGGCAAGTCAATGGAAAAGTATTCTTATCCCATCATTGTATTCTTGTCAGATACGGAATTGACATTTAAAAATTTTTGTAAAATTTGATTAACTTTATCATTGGCAGTTAATTCAGATGTGGTTATATTCACATTGATTTTTTTACAATCTCTTAGTAAACTAGCCAATTTACGTACATCAGTACCATCCCATCTCTTTGCTGATTCATTATAATTATGTTGTAATGCCATGGAACATCCTTCTTCTGATTGAAAATCAACATAAGCATATCCATATCGATCATCATGACCATCCATTTTCACATTATTCACATTACCAAATATTGACATAATTCTAGATATGACATTCTCATCAATTAATCCTTTTAGATCTTTCTTATATTTATATTTTAAAAGAACAGTATGAGTGGTTTGTGGAGGGATTATAGTGAAATTATTTCGAAGTGGTAAATCATATATTGAAATTCTAGTGTTATTCTTATTACCCATTAATTTCTGTTCTTGTAATCTTCTTCTTTTCAATCCATCTTCTTTAAGTGATTCAATATCATATTTATGTTTCTTATCATGTTGTTGTTGTTGTTTCTTCTTTTTTTCAGATTCAATTAATTCATCTTGAAATTTTTTAGTTAATTCATCTAGTTTTTCTCTATTAGATATTCGACTAGATTTAAGATTATATAATTCTTGATATCTTTTTCGTAATAATGGATCTTTAAGAATTTCATAACATGTTAAGATGAGATTGAATTTAGTTTCATCACCTTGATATTTATCTGGATGGAATTGTAATGCTTTTTGTCTATATGAACGTCTTATTTCTTGAGATGTACTATTCTGTGAAACACCAAGTGTTTGAAATATGTCTATTTCATCATTGATAATCTTAGATATTGACTCATCCATTATATACAAGGAAGTTGTTAGATATTGGATATTGGATATTGCCTTGGCCCTGGGGTGGAATATTTTTCTCACTTTCAAATAAAAGTTCCAATCAAATATCAATACTCTCGATGAGAACTACTTTCGTTGTATAAGTCAGATTCACTTGAATATATATATTTATTATATGACTAATAAAGAGTTTGTTTGTTTTTATAGTAATATATATGTAAATAATGCATTTTTTTTAATCGTACACTATGTTTCTGTTTCTTTTGTTTATAAAAATCCTTCTTTGCTTCAAAAAATTAGTTAAAAATCCATGATATTCTTCTTCTTCTTCTTAATTCTGATATTTAAAAGTAATGATTAATTAAAAAAAAACAATCCATGCAATTAATATCCATTTTTAATCAAAAAAGAAAGATTTTCTAATACCATTCATTAATTTCATTCTTCAATTTTTGATCTTTAAACTTTAACAGTTCTTAAACCATGGTTTGATCTAAAAATGGCATCACCTTCAGAATAACCTCTACCTAAACCAAAGCCAACACCTAACCATACAGGGAAAGCTCTTCTTTTAAAAAATAAAATTGATGCTAAAACACCACCTCCAAAACCTAAACCGGTTTTTATTAAAGCATTAGATAAAACAACATCCCATTTATCATTTAATAAATTTTGAGAAGCTGTTGCAGGAGGAGTAGGAAGAAGTTCTTGTTTAGTTTCTGTAGACATTATTAATATTAATATTTAGTTCTTTATTTAAAGAATTTGTTAGTATATTCATTCATTCTCAAGATCAACAACTGTTTTATTCACATTTGCTTCTCCTCTTGCCCATTCTCCAGATCAATGGGGGAAGGGGCAAAGTCATACATGGATACGAATCCTCAATACATACGATCTTGTGTTAAACAATTCCCTAATAGTATTTATATATATAAATAAAAGAATCAATTGTTGAACTGATATTAATCCAGTGATTACAATATATCCGAACCGTTCTTTCTCTCTTAATTTTTTTTTTCAGCAATTTTGGTTGGCTGATAAAAAAAAAAATTCGACAGAAAAAACAGAAAGAGAGGTCGTGTGACTGTGCACAATTATTACACTATTACTATACATGGGGGAAATCATTAATCAAGTTATTCAACGTGTATTCAACGTGTATTTAAACTAGCATATGATAGTATGTCGTTATTACAATGTGTGAAACTACAATGTGTCGACTGGGTTATCCTTTTCTGATGAAAATTACATGAATTCTACATGAAATTTATAACTCTCAACCAGAATTAGATTATATATATAGAAACTTCAAGGTAGTTATGTCAATTACAAGTAGATTAAAAACCTAACCATATGCATTTACTTTTCCTATCTTTATGTGTTGTTGAAATACATAATACGATTCTTATATATCCTTATCACCAGAGCTACCAAGTTTGTATAGAAGTGTCGTAAATTTTTCAAATTTTTTAACTCGAAACAGAAAGAAAAATTTCGCACCAACCAGCCCAGCCCAGCCCAGCGAACCAAAGTTAATGCCACGGTATTAAATTAAATTAAATTCAATGAAATATTTCCCCCTTTTCAACAATAATCACCATTCTTTTTTAATGGGCTATTTTTTATTATTGCCATATATCATCAACCACCTGACAAATACTACTTCATAGAATACCTATTCCCCCCATATAATTGTTTGCATTTTTTATTATTGAATAGAATGACCCTGTCAGAGAATCAACAATTTGCCATGGTTGATTCAACAGATAACAAATTAAATTATCGTCATGCAGCATTTGAAGAAGAAAATAATGGACTATTACCAATGACTAAAAATGATTTAAAACCAAAATCAAATGTTACTACTACTAGAAGTGATGATAGTAATGGAGTTGTTAAAAAATCATCACATTTAGCACCAGAAGATAGAAAAGCATTTTTCATATTAGTTTTATTATATATTTTACAAGGAGTTCCTGTTGGATTAGCATTTGGATCAATTCCATTTATATTAAAATCAAAATTAACATATTCTCAAGTTGGTATTTTTTCATTAGCTGCTTATCCATATTCATTAAAACTTGTATGGTCACCATTTGTTGATAGTATATATCTGAAAAAATGGGGACGTAGAAGATCATGGATTATACCTATTCAAACTTTATCAGGAATAATGTTGATATTTTTAGGTGGAGTTATTAATAAATATATTGAAGAACCAAAAAATCATTTAATTTTAATAACTACAGTATTTTTCATATTAGTTTTATGTTGTGCTACTCAAGATATTGCTGTTGATGGATGGGCATTAACTTGTTTATCACCAGAAAGTTTAAGTTATGCATCAACTGCACAAACTATTGGAATAAATACTGGATATTTTTCAAGTTTTACAGTATTTTTAGCATTGAGTAGTCCTGAATTTGCCAACAAATATTTAAGAGAAATTCCATTAGATGTTGGATTATTTACATTAGGTGGATATCTTCGATTTTGGGGATGGATGTATTTATTAGTTACTGGAGTTTTATTATTTATACCTGAAGATCCTCCACATTTAATAAATATTAATAGAGATCGATTAGTTAAAGAAAAAGGATTATATAATTCTACAAGATGGCTGGATTTAACTAATGTTTACAGTTCAATGTATCAAGTTTTAAAATTACCTAATGTTCAAACATTTGTTGTTATTTTATTAATTGCAAAATTAGGATTTCAAGTAAATGAAGCAGGTACTAATTTAAAATTATTAGAAAAAGGTTTATCAAAAGAAGATTTATCAATAACTGTACTTATTGATTTTCCATTTGAAATGATTTTTGGTTATTATGCTGGTAGATGGTCAACTGGTAAATCACCTTTAAAACCATGGTTATGGGGATTTGCAGGTAGATTACTTGCTGCTATATTAGCTCAATTAATTGTTTATTATTTCCCAAAAGATGGTAATGTTTCAAGTGGTTATTTCTTGATGATTATTTTACAACATTTATTAGGTTCATTTATGTCAACTATTCAATTTGTTTCTCTTTGTGCTTTTCATACTAAAATAGCTGATCCTGCAATTGGTGGTACTTATATGACAACTTTAAACACTTTATCAAATTATGGAGGTACTTGGCCAAGAATCTTTATTTTTTATTTGATTGATAAGATTACTATTAGTAGATGTTATACTGATAAAGGATTTTTTGATATTATGAATGAAGAAGCTAAAGAACAATGTACTTATTCAGGTGGTAAAGTTGAAATAATTAGAGATGGTTATTTCTATACAAATGCTATTTGTATCACATTAGGTATAATTATCTTGATGTGGGTTAAAAGAAAAGCGGTATATCTTCAAAGTTTACCAAATAGTGCATGGAGAGTTAAAAAATAGAAATTCAAAGTAGATTAGATTAGATTATAATAAAATCCCAATAAAATAAACATACTTTTTTATATATATATATATATATTTCTACTTATACATCTACTGATCCATAATATGCTGCATGTGATGCTGAACTAGCATTACTTTCTTTCATACTAGGAGATGTGTAGAAATCATCAGCTAAAAAGTCAATAGGCAGAAATGGTACTTTTGAACCATCTAGTAGTTTCTTGTTTACACTGGAGATGTTACCTATTATACTTGGAATAAAACTAGTTGCAGAACCAACTGAACTACTAGTGAGACTTTTAGGAATTGTTTTAGGTACTGGGTTAACACTTCCACTAGAAGCTAGTTGATATCTTAAACTTGAACTGACGATATAATGCTGAGGTGGTGGGGTTGTAAATTGATTTACAGATTCACTTAAAAGCATGGTAAGTTCACCTGGAGATTTAACCAATTTTCTACCTCTTGGTTGGTTTGGTACCAATGAATTATCATATCCCTTGGAGATATAATCTTGTCGTTGTGGACTTTGTTGTTGAATTTCTTGTTGATAAAGAACCAATGGTTGATTCTTTACATACCATTGAGGATGTTCATCTATGTTTATAAACTCACTAACGTGGTTATCAACTCGGTTGACTTTTCTGTATATCCAAAATTGACAAACAAGAAACAAATCCATGATAATTGTACCTATACTTCCAATTAAATAAGTATCGTGAGAATAAATTTTAAATAAATAAGGATCTGAAAATATTGAAATAACATTGAAAATATTCCCAAATAACACGAGTAAAATCATATAGATTGAAAGACCACTTGTAGATTTTCTTTTGTAGTTTTTATGAATTTGTGGAATTCTCAGAAGTATGTACAAAGTTGAACTAGATAATGATAAGGTTTCTCGTAATGTAAACTGTAGATTGGGATGAATCACCTCTTGTTTTTGATCATAGTTAATTGTCATTGACAGAACAGTATTAGCCATAAATGCAGAACCCAATATTCGATTAACTAAAGTTGGGGGTTCTATTTGAGGAGTCGTAGGTTTTGGTGGATATTTTGTGTAGTAAAAATATTGTGAAATAATGACTAAATTAAGAATGCTTGAGTATATTAGAAGAATTGAATATACGTTATCTTTAACAACAACTTGATAGGCTAAATTAATGAAATCAGATATAGTGACCATGAATAGGAAAGGTATTGATAATGATACTTGCTTCTGATGATAGTTGAGAATGATTTGAGGTATCTGAGCAAATAACCACATACTTAGTGATATCATACTTGAAGATTTTGATAGATAAAACAGCAATTGCCCATGTGAATCAGGTGTAAAAGACGATGATGATGATGATGATGATGATACAAGGGAATCCATTTGGTTTAACGTGTAAATATTCTAATATAATCTAAAGATAAAAGGACATGCAAATGACGAATTTAAAAAAAAAGGGGGGGAAGTGGAAGGTAAGGTGGAAAATTAATGGTGATAATAAATATTAAAGAAACAACTTCATTTAAAGAAAAACAATGGATGAACTATACTTGACGATGGTTGGTGTAGATGGTTGTAGTTGGTGATAATAATTATAATCACTATATTAAAGAAGAGGAATAATGATCAAATAAAAAAATTTTTCCTTTTGGGTGAAAATCCGATGAAGCCTCTTTCTTCCTCATTTGGTTTATTTGGTTGTACTTTGTTACTGTACTCTATAACTCACACAACAGACAGACAGTGGGAGACAGTCAGAGACAGTGAGAGACAGTGAGAGAGCGAAAAAATTTTTTTTCTCTCATCTTGTGATCCACTGATAAGAAGTTGCTACCAGTTGTTGGAAACTGCCATCATGTTATCAATTCTCTTTTTGATGTACTGATAACAAGTTATACGATACTATACACACATAATCACAATGACAATGACACTATTATATTGTTCCTACCTCACCCATTGAATAATATCAGATTAGTATATCTATGATCATTTATAGTTATCAAATGATTAATACAACTGATTCTCGTATTATCACCCTCATATGATTATCTATCTATCTATCTATTGTATCTTCAGTTACCAGATAAGTAAATACCATTTCAAAAAATTAAAAACCTTATAAATCAAAATAATATATATGATAACATGATCAATTGATAATAATCTGTGCAACTTTATACTACAATAATTGTATTCCATGAATTGTAATATATTCCACTATGTATATAATAGTACTCCTGAAAAAAAAAAAAAAAAATCTGTGTGGGTGATAATAAGCCACTATATAATAGATTATAAGGTTTATATAGATTGAGTAGCAATATATGAGAAGAAAAGCAATAATAACTACTCGAGTAATGAATATCCTCTCATATAATACATTCTGCCAATTATAGTGACTTTTGACAAAGGTTATAAGGTATATAATTACCAATTTGCAGATTTGGGGTCTAAACGGTGAAAATCTCAAGGAATGTTCCTTGGAATTTTAATCCTCGACGTAAATCAGTCGACATTTTTGAAATTCAGGTCGAGAACTACCACGAGAAAAATGAAAATCTCAAAAAAATTGAGAAATAAATTATTAAAATGCTATAATAATACAAATCTACGAATTTAGCACAATTAATACCTTTAAGGATATTCAAACAATACTAGATGAATATATTTACCTTTTATGACTTCCACAATAGATTTAAGTGACAAGAAATTGATGGTATCACTCTAGTACAACTAAAAATATACCACCACATGAGCTTTGTATGGGAAAAAGAGATTCAAGTCATTTTTGGAGATTTTTTCGTGCGTGAACCGATTTGAAAAATACGGAAATAAACCACTTGGGTTCCTGAGGAACCCCTTTGGAAGCACCAGATGGTCTGAAAACCCAAAATAGAATATAATAATAGTATATATATGTCAATATGTATATGAATATTCAAATCAATACAAATTGAGCGGTATGAATACAGTGATTGTTGACTTATTTAGAAAAATTATAATTCCCGATAAAAAAAAGATACTTTGATTTTTGAAGAGTAAGGTTTGATAGATAACTCCACCAATTGTTAACAAATTCACCCAGGATTGGATGTGGTGATAATAAACAGTGATATAAATAATATCATGTTGTCAAAATGACTTGAATCGAGCTAGAATCGATAGATCTAGCGAAACATGGGCAACTTCATAAAATATCTTTAGTTTGCAAAATAAGAAATTTAATTTTTTGTCGTCGCATTTTTGGAAATTTTCGTAAAATTACTGAGGTTTCTAATTTTCCACCTTTTGGCAACTTTTGGGCAACCTTATGATGTTGCCACTTTTCAACAACCTAATGAAGGTTTCCACAATCTTAAAAGAATACCGCGATTTCTCAATTTTGGTTATTTCTAAAAGTCTTCTGCAACTTTATAAATACACCTATTTTCCAAAATTTTGCAACGACTTCAATTGACTGGTAACAGCTTTCATCAAATTTTTGTTAGACAACAATATTGATAAATAATATAGTGGAATACTATGAATGCTCTTATAGACTATCTTTATTTATAAAATAGTAACAAATATACATCAGCGGCAATTAATGAAACTATACTGTATGGTAATAAAAATCCAGTATGTACTTCATTCTCCAAAGGGGTGGACTGTAGGTAGATTTGGAAGAAAAAATTTACCTTTTGAATAAAGTATTAGTAGTAGATGGTTTGAAATGAATCAGCATTACAAATATTTGCATATTTAAATTGGCTATTAGTTATGTTCAGCCTATTCTCGACATGCAAGTGGGGAAACTTCTTGAATTTAGGTCCATGGTTCGTACAAAAGAATCTGAAGAAAAAGAAAAAAAAGTTCAAATATCAGAAAGAATGAAATATATAATCTATAATTTGGCTTCTGTTCCATTTCTACCACTTTTAATACATACCAGGACAATTTATTATGTAATTCTTTTTATTATATAAACGTGTTGAACGCATAATACCTAAAATGAAACATGTTTCCTTCAAATACAACTGAAAACATTCCATTTATTACATTTTGTATGGGGAAAAGAGATTCACGTCAAAATTTGGTATTTTTCGTGTGTGAACCGATTTAAAAATAACGGGAATAAGTGAATCGAATCCCTGATGAACCCCTTTGGGAATACTAGATACCCTAAAAATAAGAAATATAAACTAATAATCATATGAATGGAATACTATTTACATTAATATTCTAATGAATACAATTTGAGCGACCTGGATAATGCAATTAGTGACTTATTTGGAAAAATTATAATTCCCGATAAAAAAAAGATACTTTCAAATTCTAAGAGTAAGATTGTTAGATAACTCCTCCAGTTGTTCATGAAATGACTCCGAATGAACTATGATAGCATAATTTATCACTGGAAATCATATACCACTTTCAAATTTGCAAAAATCGCATTACAAGTGACAAATGTTGCAAATCGTGGAACATTTGGATGTCACGCTGTAACGATCATAGAAGACAGAGATCTAAATGCAACTTTTTTCTGGAATATCCAAATATTCCACAAATCTGCAACATTGAAATCTATGCTGCATTGGAGAGAACATTTGGATATTATAATACAGAGAACAACCATTAGAATATAGAAATACGCACTAATTAGGACATTGAAAATCATTGAATTAATGCACGGAAAATTTGAATATACAGATATATATAGCACATCTATTGGAATATACAACCACTCACCAAATCAGAAACATAAAATCTATGATTTAATTAAGGGAATATTTGAATATATGAGTTAACGCCATCAAATACATGAATATAATCATCTATCATCTGTCTCTTTTTACTCATCATTGTGTCAAATAGGCTAATTTGATTGATTTCTATTGCATTCAAATTGATTATTTTGATTGATTTCTATTAAATTCAGATGGATTAGAAGATATGTATTTGAAAAAGGTTATATCAATGGTGTCTAGAATGCTTCTTTTTTTTCTGTATATCAGATCTATTCTCACTACATAACAAATTTACTACATTTTGTATGGGGAAAAGAGATTCACGTCAATTTTTAAGATTTTTTCGTGTCTGGGCCAAAATTAAAACAACGGGAATAAACCAATCGACAGGCTGATCAACCCCTTTGAAACCACTAAATACACCTATAATAGGAGTTTCCACCTTTAAATTACTTGATTGTATTGGTATTTATATAATTATTTCAATTAAGCCATTTTCAGCGAACTTATCACTGCAATTATTGGACTATTTAGGAAAACCATAATTCCCGATAAAAAAAGATACTTTGATTTTTGAAGAGTAAGGTTTGATAGATAACTCCACCAGTTTTAACTGTATTGGCTCAAAAGTTAGTGTGACAGTTTTAAACACTGATACAGATAATATCATGCTGCCAAAATGACTAGAATCGAGCTATAATTGATAGATCTAGCGAAACATATGCAACTTCATGAAATTGCTTTGGTTTGCAAAATAAGAAAATTAATTTCCTGTCGTCGCATTTTTGGAAATTTCTGTAAAATTAATGAAGTTTCTTATTTTCCACCTTTTGGCAACTTTTGGGCAACCTTATAATGTTGCCATTTTTCAGCAACATAATGAGGTTTTCAACAAACTAAAAAGAATGCTGCGATTTCTCAATTTCGGTTATTTCAGAAAGACTCCCTCAACTTTATTAATTCAACTTTTTTTCCAAAATTTCGCAACAACATCAATTGACTGCTACTAGCTTTGATATTATTTTTGTTATTTGAAAGCACTAGAAAAGTGGCAAAAACAACAATATCGATAAATAATATATTGGAATAATATGAACACTCGGATAGGCTATCATTATATATGAAATATCGGCAAATATACATCAGCGGCAATTAATGAAACTATACTGTATGGGTATAAAATGCCAGGTATACTTCATTTTCCAAACGAGGTGAATTGTAAGTAGATTTGAACAAAAAAAATTTATCATTTGAATACACTATCAGTAGTCGATGGCTTGAAATGAGTCAGCATTACAAATACTTACCAATTGAGATTGGTTATTAGTTCTACTCAACCTATTCTCGAAGTGCAAGTGGTGCGAATTTGTAAATTTAGGTCCTTGGTTCATACCGAAAAATCTGAAAAAGAAAAAAAATTCAAATATCAAATGCAATGAAACATATAATGTAAAAATCAGTTTGTAATCCATCATTACCACTATTAATACTTACCAGAGACATACATTATATTATTCCTTTGTTATATCATCCAATTAAATGCATAGAATCCACAATGGATCATGATTCTTACCAATACCACTGAAAACATACCAAATTCTACTTTTTGTATGGGGAAAAGAGATTCAAGTGATTTTGGAGATTTTTTCGTGCGTGAACCAATTTAAAAATTACGGAAATAAACCACTTGGGTTCCTGATCAACACCTTTGGAAACACCAGATAACCTAAAAATGAGAAATAGAGTAGAATAATAGTATATATGTGTTAATATATATATGAATATTCTAATGAATACATTTTCAGCGGTCTGGATATTGTAATTATTGAGTTATTTAGGAAAACCATAATTCCCGATAAAAAAAAGATACTTTCAAATTCCAAGAGTAAGATTTACATCTAGCTCCTCCAACATTTATCTAATTGATTCAGAATTAATTGAGATAACATAATTTATCGCTACAAATCATATACCATTTTCAAAATTGCAAAAATCCCGCTAGAAGGGACAAATGTTGCAAATCGTGGAACATTTGCATGTCGCACTGTGACGACCATAGAAAACAGAAATATGAATGCTACTTTTTTCTGGAACATTTCAAATATTCCTCAAATTTGGAACATTGAAATCTATGGATATATGGAACAGACATTTAAATCTATGGATACATGGACGGAACATTTCTATATACAGATATATGGAGGAAAAATTTGTACATACAGATGCGCATCAAATCAGGAACGTACAAATCAATGATTTAATGGATGGAACACTGTGACACACAGATATATGGCGCAATCACTGGAACATATAAATGTACAACAAAAAGTGACATTCAAAAATATGGTTTCAAGGATGGAATATTCGAATATACAGATATATGGTTTCACTTTTTGGAATATAGATTTGGAAGCTGTCGCCATCAAATTCATGAACATAATCCACTGATATGTGTCTTTCCTTAATCAGAATTGTGTCAAATTGAATATCTTGATTGTTTCCCATTATATTCAGATATATTAGATAAAATATGTCAAAAGGAAATGATCAAAAGTGTCTAAAATGCTTTCATTTTTTCTGTATCATTGCAAAAATATGAACTATACTCGCAACATAACAAATTTACTAATCCGATTCACTCAATAGAGGAGTTTCTTCTGATCATAATTCTAAGTAGAAAACTTTATTTGCTTCGATTAATTGTTTTAGAATGTTCATATTTATAGTGATTTCTATCATTATTTACTTCCAAGGAGCTTGCTTGTCAAAATTATAACAGTTGCTACATTTTGTATGGTGAAATAAGATTCAAGTCAATTTTCGTGTCTATATCAAAATGAAAATTACGGAAATAAGTCAATTAAGATCACAGTGAATCCATTTGGAAACACTATTTACATCAATACTGCCAATTATCCATATTTAGGTACCTTAATATGTTGGTAAACATATGAATATTATAATTGTACAATTTTAAACGGGTTTAATAGCACATTTATTGATAAATTTATACAAATATTAATTCCGGATAAAAAATGTGTTTTGATTTCTCTAAAGTAAGATTTGGCTGCAGTCAATACTATATTACTAGCAAATGCATTGAAATTGATTTAGAATGAAGTTAATTTACCACATCTTTCATATGATGGTAGTTTCAGGGATGTAATCCCAAGACAAAATGGTAAAACCACCCTAACACCTGAATTTGGCCAAAAGTACCATTTATCGAAATTTTGCCAAACCCAATAAAAATAAAAAAAACAGGTGATTTGACCGAATATATTGATTTAATGAAAAATACCATTGATCAAGATTTGGTCATATGATAAAAAAAAAGAGCAGAAAGTTACTGATTTGACCAAATCAACGCATTTAATCAAAAGTGTCATTTATTGAAATTTGACCAACTTTTCTATTTCAAAAACTAGATAGCAATCATTAGAATCATATATAACGATGTTAGTAGTAACTATCGTACGGTTTCCTGTTAACAATGTTTGTTCATGTAAATCATATCAACCAACCCAAAATATTCTTGATATAATCATTGCAAGAGTTTCTGGTTTAGGGTTCATGAGATTACAATATTGACCTATTCTTTGGGGAACGTATTATTGTATTCTAAGTTGTGAGTTTATATTATATATATATATATATGGTAAACTAAATTCATTTTGTATATACTAGAGATAAATGCAAATTCAACAAAAGGGAATAATGGCTCCATTTTCATCAAAATCATCATCATCGTCATCATCACAATTATTGATTTCATCATAACATTTCATTCCTTTTTCAATAAATTTTGCTTTTAATTTCTTGACGGTTTCTAATCCAAGTAATGAACTACCATTACCTAATTTTGATAATCCTAGGAAATATAATTCCAATTTCTCAAATTCTAATACATCAGTAGCTAATTTACTACAATCTCTAAAACAAGATTGTATCATCATTGCTCTTTCATCAAATAAATCCTTATGTAAATAAAAATTTTCCAGTTTTATAAATATAACTTCTGGAGTTGTAGAAGAATCCAATTTTTTAATGAAAAACATTGAATTTATAATCTTATTCTTGAGTTCTTGAACTAATGGATGAAGTTTAGGTAATTTTAATAATCCTTTAATTCGGTATAATTTCAAATTAACTGAATCTATATGTAATTGTTCACTCCAATCAAACCAAGAATAATAAATCCTGTCACCATTAGGAGTTATTTCAAGACTATAACAAGATTTGGACATTCCTATTTTATCAGATTGATTATATTCTGGATGTCCAACACTTTCTATTGGAATTATAAAAGTTTCTTTATTTGTTTTTGGTACAATATCATTGTTTTTACCTTTATTAATAAATGAAAATATTGTTGCTATTAGTGTGCCTGAAATTTGACGATTAGAATTACTTCTAATTAGATCCAAGCATCTGGTAAATCTATCCATTAAAGTAACCACATCCACTGAATATCCCAAGAATAAACTAAATTGTGAACTTATTGGTAAATTTGGATTTGTAAGCATACCTAATCGTAGTAATGAATCATGATATCTTAAGTTTCTTCCTCGATTGAAGTATCCTGTATCTATCCATAATCGACTGAGATCTGAAGTTTCTAATTCATTATCAATTTTAATTATGTCAATTTGTTGAGAAATATTTTTCTTATTATATTTAATTGTTCCTCCACATGGATCATTTAATTCAGCTACTGATTCAATTGCAAAAAACCAAGTTTTAGCCAAGGCTACTCCATCACTCAAGTCTTGATTTTTAGACGGACATAATTTAGTATATTTAAGTAATAATTCATTGACTCCACGTAAATGAGTTTTCCAGTTAATATGATTATTTTTCATATTATTTCGATTATAATATGCCAATGTATTGAAATTCATCGTTAGTACAAGAATAGTCAATAATAGCTTTTCAATATCTTTAATCAATGAAGCTTGGAAGTTTTCTTTATGATTATCATTTTGAGGAAATGAATTACTTAGATGTTTTAAGCATAGATTTGTATACTTTGATTGGTAATCATAATGACTTTTCTTTGTTGTTTGAACAAATTGAAATGTAGCACTAGCTGCTAATAAAGATAATAATAAATAATTACAATCTTCCAGATATTTTAATAATATCAGTATTACTTGATTACTTTCTTTTGAATCAGCAAATGGGAAGTAATGAAGTCCTAATCGAGTGTTTGTTAATTTATCCAAATAATTATGATCTATTTCTCCTTCTGATCGTTCTTCTGGGCTAAGTACAGATTCAATTAGTTTTCTATTTGTAAATTCTCTTGGAATGGTTGTAGTTGAAGGTGATGATAAATTACTACTTTCAGGTTCAAAATCTTTGAATCTAAAATCAAATGAACTTGATACTCCTGGTGAATTTTGAGATTGAGTTAAAGAATGTGCTGAAAATAATCCTAATGAATCTTGAACTAATAAACTAGCATCATCAAATAAATTTTGTAAATCACTAATAGGTAATCCATCCCATGTGTTATTATTATTCATGTCATTATTTGGTGGAGATAACATATCACTGATTTTAAATCTTGTAGTGGATAATGATTGTTGATTATCGACTGGGAATGTAGATTGTTGCTGTAACATTGCCAATGGCTGCTTTTCAATCTCTGTTTTTTGAATCGTAGAAGTAGTACTACCATCATTATTCCCATTATCAAGATCATTTCTAATAGTAGTATTGTTATAAAATTTAAATTCAGTTGGTTTTACCCCAACATCATTAATAAAAATTCCTCCTTCACCTACTCCTCTCTGTGGAGCAAAATTATTAGTTCCTTGATTAATGAATTCTTTATTTGGAGTTTCAAATTTAAATCTGGTTGACTTGTTTAAATAGTTACAAATTTTATTCAATCTGGTACATTTGTTACATGATGGTTTACTCTCATCACATTTAATTTTTCTCCTTTTACATTCTTGACATCCTCCTCTACTATACTTGGATTTCTTGATTTTTGGTTTCCCAGTAGTTAAAGATGTCTCCTTTAAATTGCTAGGTGACATTTCTTATGACAGTTTTTGTTGTCCTTGTTGGAGGGTTTGTTACTGTAGCCGTTGCTGTAGCCGTTGCTGGTTATTTCGACATTGATTTTGTATCTTGATTTTTAATTGTCCAGTGGGGAGATATCGGCGCACGTGAGTGATTTGGCATCAGGATAATGATGCATCTTGAGTGAGAGTCTCACACAAAATTATCTCCTTCTTTTTATTACGAAGAGATACATATCTATATATCGTATTGGAGATCTTACTATATGGAATTGAGTAGATATGGTTGTATGTATGCTCATGTGACTTGGATGTTCGGTAAATGCACACACCAGGACTTACAAAGTCGGGGCGAGCAACAACAGGAAGAAGAAGATCAATTATTGTTGTTCCTACAAGTGAACAAACAATATATCTTGTGTACGTAAATATCAATACTTTGTAGATATTACTTAAAGCATCAACTTATTGATCATCATCATCCACATGGAAACAATCATTGATATGAACAATAGGTTTTACCTGGGTCGTGTATGTGTATAAAATTCCAACATCAAACAGAATGCTGACACGGCACGGCACGGCACAACAAAACAAGGAGAAGTTGGCGATGTTATGTGCTCATGTTGGAGGGGACTATAAATAGCAGGCATGATTTCCTTGACTTATAAATTTTATTATTTTTTTTTCCTTTAATTGAGTCGGTGTTAGTTATTCTTTGTGTGATTAGGGTATTTTTGAAAGAATGTTAGTGTATATCTTTTGATGTGTAAAATCCATGTGATTGATATATCAACTGTATTTTAACTACTAACTTTTGACTAATATCATCTAGCATGTTTATATGATTATTAATATATGTGTTGTTGTCTTATTGTATCTTTATGAAGATTAGTAGAATTGACAAAATCTGTACATACTTATACTATTCTCACATGACACGTAGTATATATATATCTATATTATTTAATTAATTAATTAATATAAAACGATCTACACACTCAACTTTATTGAAGTTTGTTTAATATTCTTCTACCATGAGGAGTGTTTTTAATATTTGGTAATAAAGGTAACAATGCAAGTTTTAATTTCTCAAATTGTTCAACATTAGAAACATCTAAAGATGTTTGAATAACATAATTTCCAAAAGGATCATTAACCATTTTATAAAATTCATCAGATTTCTCAATTAAACAATTAATTAATTCAGTACTCAATATTGGAATTCTAAGTAAACATTCTATAATATTTGATCCAAATTTATTAGTACACAAATTAATCAAATTGAATTTAATTTTTTCCAATAAAGTATCAATTGATTCTTTATCTCCTTTTTTCAAAATATATTGAATCACATAATTACCAAATGGATCTAAAGATAATTCAAAAGTGTATTTACTAATCTCCAAACTTAATTGTTTTCTTTGAGATTCTGAACCATGATCTAAACATTTTTGTAAGACACAACAACCGTGTCTATGACATGCAATGCTAAATAAATTATCACAAATTATCTCATAGAAAATTTCTGGTGCTAATTTAGTAATGATTTTTTGAATTAAATGATTACCATTGGAATCATATATTAACGTAACAACATGTGGAGAAACTTTATCAATAATAATATTAATCTCTTCTTCAGTTTCAATAACATCAATTAATTTCTGGAATGCTCTTGTTCCATGAGGATCTAAACTAATTCTTAACAATTCTGAACTGGTATTCTTAATTAAAATCAATCGTTGATCCGAATTAACCATCTCAAATAATTTTTGAACCAAATAATTACCAAATGGATCAATCATTAATTCACTAATCTTTGGACAAATTTCATTGAATATCAAATCAGTGTTAGTTTCATTATACAATTCTCTTTGTAAAAATCTACATCCATGTTGATCTTTACACAATGATAAGATAGAACCAGTAAAATCTTGAACCTTAGCATTGACATATTTGTCAGCATCATCTGGATTATGAGGACCACCTCTATTTCTTCTCATATTTTTACGATGAACATTCATCATTCCATTATTACGATAACGTTGTTGTTGGTGGTGGTGATGATGATGAGGGTGGTTATGTTGGTAGTGAGGGCTTTGTTGCATTGAAATTGGCATACCATTTGGGTTTTGTTGAATTCCTTGTGGAGGTGCATGATGTTGTGGAACCATTTGTTGATGTGGTTGCATACCCTGTTGATAAAGAATTCTTTGGCTAGGAATTGGACTCCACATGTGATGTTGTGGTTGTAATTGTTGCTGCTGCTGTTGTTGTTGTTGTTGTTGTTGTTGCTGAGTTGAAGTATTGTTGATACCTGGTGGAATATGACCCATGTTTTCAAAATTTTGGAATTCACCTGGTGGTGAAGGAACATAACCTTGATAAAATGAAGGATGTGGAGGTGGGAAAGGACTAAATGGTGGAACTCCCATTGGTGCCATAGGACCAATACCTTGACCATTAGGATGATGAGGTCCAGGAGGTGGAAGATTTGAAACTCCATGGGGTGGTGGTGGAGGAGGTGGTGCAACAACCGGTGGGAAACCCATATTCCCAGGAACAAATGGAATAGCTGAATTGACCATTTTACTAGTTTCATCAAACAATGGTAAATTTAATCCGTTTGTAGTTTGTTTTTTATTAGCATCTTCTTTAGTTTCTGGTAATTCAAATGGCTTAACAAAAACTCCATTCATTCCTCCATTGTTACTACTTGATTGAGGTGGAGGGGCCAGTTGAGTAACATGATTCCAAGCACTTCCTCCTCCACCATTTGCCTTTGGAAAAGAAGCTTGTGGAGTTAAAGATCCATAAATCAAACCATCATTTACTCCTACTACTTTATCAGTTGGACTAGTAGTACTAGCAGTAGCTTCATCATCATCATCTAAATTCAAAGTGCTTATTGCACCAACAATATCAATATCTTTACTATTTGGTACATCATCCTCTTCTTCTTCTTTTCCTTGCACTAAATTATTATTTTTCATGTCTTTTCCAGCAGATAAAGAAACTGATCTGTTAGAACTCATTATATCACTTCACTCTCCTTCTTATCTAATATACAAAAAAAAAAATTAAAACTAAAATTAAAACTAAAATTAAAACTAAAATCAAAAACTTAACAAATAAAAAAAATCTAATATACAAACGAAATGAATATGAATAGCTAATATACAAAAGGAAAAGGAAAGAAAATATCAATAAGATGTATGTATGTAGGGAAAATACAACAATCTAAACACGTGTGTGGGAGATTTTATTTTTATTTTTATTTGTAAGGGAATCAGGTGTGTGTGTGTCCTTGGGAACTGTGTTGGTAAAATCAAAATAAAAAAAAAATTCGTGAACGTGAGAAAAGAAAAAGAAAAATTTTCTCTCACTGACAAACCCGTGATTTGGTTAAACGTGCACTACACTTAACCCCCCTCAATGATTATCACCAAATCATTAAACCTCCCAATCCAATCAATTCCTACATTAAAAGGCGTATTCTTTTTTTTTTTTTTTGAAAACTGTATATATATGTAAAAAAATTTGGTAATTAGTATCTATTTAATATAAAAAAAAAATTATATGATTAAAAAATGCTTTAATAAAAAGTTTTAACAAAACAAAATAATAATAACGTATTAAGCCACTCAACTTGATTTTTCGTGTTGAGTGGAGACTCTTTGCATAGAAACAAGGAAATCTTCCAAGGATCTTCTGTCGTGTTTTGGTTCTGGTTTCTTACCGTTACAGAAGTTGTCGAAAGCTTCAGAAGTAGACATCAAGTAGTAAGCACCACCCATGACACAGAAGACACCGAAAGACCAAATCCAGGTTCTGACAACAGTAACAATGTCAGTCCAGTTTTGAGACCACCAACCGAACAAAGTGAAACAAGTAGCAATGACATCGACAATCAAGACAGCACCAGACAATTGCCAAGATGGAATTGAGGACCAGAATGGACCTTGAGCTCTGGTAACGAAAATTAACCAATTTTCAGTCAAAGAAATTTGCAAGAACAAAATACCGTCAAGACCACCAAAGTTTTGGATAATACCACCCTTTGGCAACAACATGGTAGTCAAAGTAATCCAGGTACCGATAGCCAAGATAACACCCAAGACAATGGACATACCCCATAATCTTGGCAAGTTCCATTTAACTGGTTTTGGATCGTATGGAGCATTATCGTAAGCAATAGCCAAGGTAGCAACATCAGCGAAAATAGCAATGAAGACAATCAAGTTAATATCCAAAGATCTGTTCAAGATAGCAATCCACAAACCCAAGAACAATTCCAAGTGCAAGGACAAAGCAATACGGTAAACAACATAAGAGTACATACGGTGGAAAATTTGTCTAGAAGTCTTCAAAGCATCAATAATAGCAGATAAACCTGGAGCCAAGAAAACAATATCAGCAGCGGAACGGGCGGCATCAGTAGCACCTTCGACGGCAATACCGGTATCAGCCTTCTTTAAAGATGGGGCATCGTTAACACCATCACCAGTCATGGCAACCAAGTAACCTCTAGATTGTAAGATTTCAACAGCGTTATATTTATGTTGTGGGAAAACTTCAGCAAAACCATCGGCATTTTCAACGAAATCAGCAATTTCAGAACCAGCCATGTCACCACCACCGGACAAACCTAATCTGTCGGCATCGTAAATGTTAGTACCCAAACCTAATTGACGACAAGTTTCTTTAGCAATACCAACGGCATCACCAGTTAACATCTTGACTCTTAAACCTAATCTTCTAGCTTCATTGACAGTGGCAGCAGTATCATCTCTTGGAGGATCCATACATGGCATAATACCCAAGATTTCCCAGTGACCTTCACCTCTCTTTCTGGCAACACCCAAAGATCTGAAACCTCTAGAAGCAAATTCGGCGACAGTGTTTTGATAGTTTTCGTGGATATCTTCTGGGATTGGGTGATCATCTTCAACAGTCTTCAAGACGAATAATGGAGCACCTTTAACACAAATAATTCTTTCACCTTCTGGGGATTCGACAATAGCAGTAACTTTCTTGGAAACAGGATCGAAAGGTTGGAATTCAATAACCTTGTATTTAGTCAAAGCAGCTTTAGCTCTTGGGTAGTTAATCAAAGATTTCAAGAAAGCTTTATCGATAGCATCCAAACCCTTCTTCTTTCTAGAGGCAGCCAAACAAGCAGTCAACATCAAGTCATCAGGTTCAACACCTTCAACAGTGTATGGTTCGTGCAAGGACAACTTGTTCTTGGTCAAAGTACCGGTTTTATCAGAACACAAGATTTCAACACCAGCCAAGGATTCAATGGCAGACAATTTTTGGACAATGGCTTGTTTCTTAGCCAAGTAAGCAGCACCGACAGCCATAGTGGTAGTAACGACAGCTGGCAAACCAACTGGAACACCAATAATGGTGATAGCCAAGGTGTATCTCAAGATTGGGACGATTCTAACAGTTCTGTAGAAACAAGCACACCAGACAACCAACAAAGTAACAATGACGAAAACCAATAAAGTAGTACCAATACCGTTCAAGACTTCAGTGAAATGACCAGAACCGGCAGAAGCTTTGTTGACTAAAGCAGCAGCTCTACCAACGAAAGTGTTATCACCAGTAGCGGTAACAATCATGAAAGCTTCACCAGTTTTAACGGTAGAAGAGGAGTAACAAGAGTCACCAGATCTCTTGTCAACAGCCAAAGATTCACCAGTAATAGCGGATTGATCAACTTGCAACAAACAGTCTTCAGAAACAATTCTACCATCGGTTGGGATAACGGTACCATCTTCCAATTGCAAGATATCACCTGGAACAACTTCATTGGCTGGGATTTCAACCAATTGACCGTTTCTAACAACCAAAGCAGAGTTAGCCAAAGTTTTCTTCAATTCATCGACAATAGAACCAGCTTGGTATTCTTGGATGAAACCAACAAAAGCATTCAACATCAATAAAGCACAGATAACACCAAAATCGACCCAATCTTCCAAACCGGCAGCTAAAACGGCAGCGGCTTCCATAACGAATTGAATTGGACCGACAAAGAACATGACGAATTTCAAAACCAAGTTTTCTTGTTCTTCAGCCATTTGATTCAAACCGTATCTCTTTCTTCTCTTGTGGACTTCATCATCAGTCAAACCAACTCTTGGGTCGGTTTGCAATAATTCATCTGGGACAGCCTTGAAGGTACCTTCTTCTTCGGCTTCTTCGTCGTCGTCCAAGTTAGCTGGGTTAGATTGTAAATCTAAAACTAATTGATCGATATCTTCATCTTCATCATCAGAAAGGTTCTTGTTAACCTTTTCGTTAGTTGGTTCAGTAGCACTCATGATTTATTTTCTATTAAATTTAAATTAATTTACTCGTTTTTAAAAAATTAATCTCTCTTTTTCTTTCAAAAATATTAAATTTCCTCAATGATTAAATAAAATTAATACTAATTACAAACGATGTGGGTATGAATTAAAATTTTTGGGGAAATAAAAGAAAATTAAAAAAATTGGTTGGTTGGAATGAAAAAAAGTGAGGGATTTGGTTGTGAAAAAAAAAGGGAGGAGTGGTTGAGTGATTAATGAAAATAAATAGTGTGTTAATAAGTAAAAACAAGAAAAGAAAAAAGAAAAAAAGAGGAAATGGAAAGACAATTGGTTATTAAATTCAGAGGGGGAATTAATGGATATTTATACCTTTTGAGAATGTTTAGAGATTAGCCAGATTGGTTGTAAAAAAAATTTTTAATTAATTTGAGTGATTTTTTGCTTTTGCTTTCATTTTGGTTGTAAGAAAAAAAATTTTCTCTTCTCTTTTCTTTTCTTTTGGGTTGTAAAAAAAAAAAAAAAAAAATTGAACGACATAAACAAAGGGGAGAGAGACAGAAAAAAAAAAAAACCAAAACAAATTGGTTGTAAAAATTAAATAATTTTGTCCAAATACAATTAAAAAATAAACAGTTACACAAAGTCAATTATGCACCAGATTGTGCACAGACAAAACTATTTATCAATTTACCATTATTGTCAACTTTGAGGGATTAATCTCTGGGTGTGTGTGTGGACAATTCTTTTGTGTTGCCAAAATTATTATTTTTCTGTGGATTTTTGTCCAATTAGATTATGCGGAATTTTCTTTCCTTGTTGTCGTTTAATCTTAGTATGGTAACAATCAATCAATCAATTACTCAATGTTAGCCTGCCGTGCACTACCCACACACTCTAGCGGAAAGTCGTGTATTTGTTGACGATAAAATTCCCTCACTAAAATGGTTTTGCTTTGTTTTGCTCTATTCTGTTCTGTTTGAATTCGTAGTGTGTATTTTATAACGCTCATTGATTATGCATAGATTTGTAGGACCGACCGGAAGTAATTCTTTTGTCCATAGATTGTGTCATAATCATAATCATCATCAGCAGCAGTAGTAGAACATACACACGGTTAATTGTGACTGCCATTCCTAGTAAATTCAACCTCTGGCTTATTCTTCGGTTATTAAAATCAGGGCAATCACGATCTACAAACGTTTAAATATGTACTACCTTTTTCTTTTCTTGTATTCTTGTATTCTGTGGAATTAAGTAACTCTATTAGCCATTTACAACAAGATGTCTCCAATCCCGATGGTACCTGATAATGCTTAAATTTCGGGTATTTCTTCTCTTGACACACCACTACATCGATAAACTATCATCATTTGTTGAGTGTACAATTACAATTGGCCCGTGGCCCGTGTTCCCGTACGGATAATTATACATTCAATCTGGTCATAGGGCCAATTGTTCAATCCATTGATTATTCTAATCTCAATTGTAAGATTAATTGACCTAAACTATAGGGTTGGGTGTATGTGTGTATGTATGTGTGTGTGTTTTCGCCGTCCTATTCTCCCGTGATAACCAATACTGTGTCTGACCTAATTTTATTGTCTTACTTACTGTAGGTTACAAGAGACAGGCCTGTATATAATGAGACATCGCTTCCATTAGCCATACGCATGAGAATGAGAAACGGCAGGTCGGAACCAAAAATACTACTAATCCTGAGAAAAAAAAAATGTCGTATCGATAGAAAGCAAAAACAAATTTGTGTCTGCCAAAATTTTAATTTTTCCCATTGCCATGTCTCCCTCCCTTCCTCCCTCTCGCACGAATGAATACCGAGCTGGATGATAATTATTTATTGCTGGTTATTATTTTATTTATCTCACCAGGATTATATTTTTGTGAGATTTACTGACGTATTCACACTAAGTCACACTATCATTACCTCTATCATTAGCATTATGATTATCAGTTGATCTGTCTTTCTGTACTTTGCTTGTTGTACCCTTGGTTAAATTCAATTACAGCCAGCGCTGGCTCAAACAACCACATTTGGTCAGGGCACACTCCTCTCGTTTTGTTGTTGTTCTCATATTGTTGTACCTGATGATGATAATGATGATAACCATGATAATGAGGAGATTGAGGGATGCTATGGACAATTCCATCCCGAAGCTAACTTTGGTATGAACAATAAAACGATGAGAGACAAGAAAAATTATGTAGGGGAAGTAATAATGGGGATCCCCGTATGAAGTTTCTTTTTTAAACTGGTAACAGAACAAATAGATATGGGGAAGTAGAAATCAATGTATGGTATAGATTCAATTCCTTGTCTTGCCTTGTCTTCTTCCCCCTCCATTCCTTCCTCTTTCTTTCTTTCTTTCTTTCATTTCTTCTATTATTTCATTTCAAACCGTTCGGCAATCTAGGATAAAACAATTTAATAATAATTTATTATTAATACTTATAGGGTCATCTCTTTCCATCCAATATCTTCTCCTTCAATTCCTATTATTATTTTCTAGTATCCCTTCATTCATCCTCTTGTTCTCCTCTCTCTCTTCTCCATTAGTTTATGGATTATTTCGATAACTAACTTTCCTATATTTCACTACCTGTGCGTGCACATGAGCACAAAATAACCACTAAAAGTTTAATATATCGATACGTATCTGAGAGATGAGAGATGAGGAAGGGCAGAAGAAAGGCTGAATTTAAGGATACATAGTTTATACAGTAATGTTGATATTCACTTTTCTTTTTCTCTTTCATGATAACTTAATAATAGAAAATAGAAAATCTTATTCAGCCGGATATATACAGATCTCCATGAAAAGTAATAACTCATATGATTTTGGCTCAAAACGTGGATACACTAATTTAAATTAATGATTGTGGATAATAATTAATAGTATAATCCCCATCCATCCACTATATCTACAACATGTAAATTTCACATCTAATTTCTTTTCATTTTCCACTAAATATATTGGGACAAGAACATTTACGATACAATTTTGGCGAAAATTCTTGTCAATTAATTTAATATCAATTAACCCGTTCTGTTTCTGTCACTCTTTCTCTCTCTCTCTCTCTCTCTCTCTTCTCCAAATATTGAAACATGGAGTTATTCATTAATTGGTTACAGGTAATTTAAGCGGTAATGTATACTCACTTGGAAAGCAGTTTAACATGAGACACTGCGAGGCTCAGATAATAATAATAATAATAATAATAATAAGAACATTTCAATTTATGTAAATACCCAACTCCGAAATTTCAAGTCGGATGTCTAAATTAATATCTCCCATTTTTTTACTTATTCATTAATTCTGTCTCTCGTCAATTCATGAGATAGAATAATTTTAATTAGGATTATCTTCTTATCTATTGGAATATGTAAGAATGTGCCTTAGGCATGTTATTTTTATAGTATCAATTTAATTCATTCTTTTAGTATGAGAAATAGAACCAAAAGAGAGATGGCTTAACCGATATACATTTGTACGACATTTTTCCATTTCTAGCCCCATCTTCTACTCTACTCTATTCTACTCTACTCTACTCTACTCTACTCTAGTGTACTGTTACACCAAAGATTTAGAAATCTTTCCTTCTTCTTATTCTTCATTCTTCTTGGTGTTGTTTTCCCCCTCATATTGGTGAATTTCTTTTTTTATTTTCTTTAACAATCCAAAGTTTTAGTTCTTATTGTTTTACTTTGATTACGATACAGTCGACAAAATTGTTTCCACGTCTTCTTCTTCTACTGCTTCATCTTGTTCTTCTTCTTCTTCTTGAGTTTCAGATCTCAATTGAAACCTGGTTCTCCTTTCATTAATACTGTCGATTCTTTTGATTGGCAAGATAAAATGTACAAAAAAATTCTTCGAATCTATGAAATTATGTACATTATCAAAAGTGTTGAAAGATAAAACCACAAAAAATTTCAATAAACAATTTGTATTGGTTAGTATTTTTTTTTTTAAAGAGTACATTGGCGTAGACCGGGCTTACCTTCTCTTGCTTTCACCGTGGGACCTTGTTCTACGACTTCATTCTTGTACTACTTTCTCTACTTTCTCTTTGTGTTTTGGTTTTATCTTTTTTTTGTTTTGGTTTTTGATTAATTTTAGTGTGCCTTATGTGTATGTACGTACCCGTTTCGTTTTTGTTTCCTTGTTAGATTGCTGACATCACCACTGATGAATAAAATCAACTCACACCATTCCCACACATGGTTAGAGACATATATAGCGGATGGACAAAATTATTAGAAGATCTTCTTTTCAAAAAGAATTTCTTGAAAAAAATAAAATATCCGAGATATTTATATTAACCCCATTAAAACGATGCTTCGTTGGAAAAATAAGGAAAGAAAAATATACATTCACTTTAATAACCAATTGCTACAATAAAATACGTTAATCATCACCTTATTATGAGGATCAAGAGGGATTTGTGAGTTGTTTTGGTTTTTCTTTTAATCAATGTGTGGCTAACTGAGCCTTCTTCAATTGTATTATGGGTAATATCACAATGGATCTAACTACCCAAAAGGGACAAATATTGTACATCCTAGAATCCGATACTTATCACAATATCAAAGATAATTTTTTCATATTTTTCTCTTTATAACCGATCGTACTATGCAATCAAAATGGTCTTGTTCTCCATCGGTGTGGATTGTAATGAAAAAAATAAAAATAGCCACATGAGTGAATTTTCTTGCAATTGTTTTTTTGGTTTGGTTTGGTTTGGTTTGGTTTGTTGGTTATTCCTCGGAATAATATTCCACAAAACGGAAAAGAAAACAGAGAAAAAAAATCCGATCGGATTTTACCCAATTGTTGCGATGCGCACGACCCAGCGAGAATTATTAAAAGAATTATCCCGATTATATAACCGACGGGTTTTCCACAGGTGAAGAATCTTATGGGTCCATTCACAATGAGACATTTTTTTTTCTTTTCTTTCTTTTTATTAGGTTTAACTTTAAAATCAAAGCCGTTAAAGGTAGAAAGACAAATTAGGAATCAATAAATGAACCACTACAGATGCATTTGACGTATTATGGTTACGAGATAATCACCAGACACTTTTTTTCTAGTAGTATTTCTTCTTTCTTTCTTTCTTTACTATTTAGATTATACTAAAAGCCTTATCAAAATGGGTGGTGTCTGATGGATTGGTTTGATAAATGGCTCATATTGATAAGATTTGTAGCTTTGACAAGAAAAGAGAGTGAAACCTTAATTTATATAAGAGTAATAACCACCCTACATTCAAACAAATATTACAGGTCTATTTTGATTTATCTCTTATAGGAAGAGAAATTGTCTATGATGAATATTTTTTGTAATTAATTCTGAATTTGGTATAAATTTGCAACCAAAACTTTGATGATATTGAGCATTAATTGATCGGATTATGTAGATTTCAATTCCGAGTTACAACTTTCATTACGTAATGTCTTTTTTTTTGCAGTATTGTATCATTATTATCAACATAAACATCATCGTGTGATGATTATAAACTTTAAATTCATATCCATGGACAAAAGAATTTGATGCACCTCATATAAATCACATTAGTGCTACAAATGAATGAATTAATGAATGAATTAATGAATGAATAAATGAATAACTCCGTGGACGGATGGATAGGTGGCTATTGAATCAGTTGAGTGGGAATATTACAAAGTAGAAGAACAAAACCGTTTTCTGTTGGAACTAAATCCGAACATAATACAATAATAATCAAAAGGGTATAAAACACCTTTGCTTCGTTTCTTCCATTATATTTTGTGTGATAATTATTATCCAAAATGCAGGTCCAAAATATAACCAAACCCAAATTAATCTATGGAGAAATTAAATGAAGTTCATTGTTCATTTCGGAGAAATCACAACTGGTATAATCATCGTCATCATCATCATTATTATCATCCTCTTCTTCTTCTTCTTTCATCTTTTATTATCTTCCCTCTATCCCCACTTGGCTCTCCCCTCCTCATCTGATCTAATCCTCTACAACGACAACTACACATAAACTATGCTTAATGATTCTCCCGGTAGATTTGTGATTTCTAAACCCACGAGGGTAGGCGCAAGTAAGTTGAATTACTTCATCATATTCTTGATATTCACAATCACAAAAATCAAGTAAAAATCAAGTAAAAAAAAATCCCTCCAATATCAATAAATGATTGGTTCGATTGGGGGGGGCCAGGAGAAAATCCCTCAACTTTGTATTCATTGCTTTGTGAATTAATTTCATTATTCTGTCTACAATTAAATGGACAAAAGAATTTAACTATGTACACTATTTTTCTTTTCTTTTCCATTTCCTTGTTTCATTTTTGAGAGATTTATACAGTATAAATCGACAATGATTTCACTCACACACAGAACTCAAACTCAAACCAAAACCAAAACCAAGCCAACTCCAACCATTTTCTCTTGTATTTCTTGTCTTGTTTCTTTCTGTGTGTTATAATAATCGATTGAAAAATCGCCTTACACTACGTTCGTAACAGGATGGAGGAGGGGGGGGGGGAGAGACAGGTAAAAGGGATCACAATCAAAACCATTTCTTGTGGCATTTTTCTCCACTTTAAAACATCTTCCCTGTTCCTTCCTTCCTTCCTTTCCCCCAACCTTATTCCTCCACTTCATCTACCCAATTAAACCACTCTTATATCTTTCGTATGTTACATTATTAACCTAACTATAATCATCCAATGAAAATGTTTTACTTTTTTTTTCTCGTTGTTGTTTTTCAATGATGAAAATTTTTATATTTTTCATTTTGGTATACAGTTTTTTTTATTTTATTCAAGTAGGGGTGGGGGCATTTCTCTATGTACTATCGCTACCAAACCTAACCTACTTCTAAAATTATCTAATTTGATTTATTCTTCTTCTTTTTAACCTTTCTTTCTTTTAATTTCCATTTCAAAGGACGGAATCCTTTAAATATCAAAAATAAGAAAGCTCCCAAGAATCTAAACAATGCTAATCCAGCAACAATCCATAAAATAATCGTCAAGAAAATTTGTGAATTACCAGAAATTGACCCATCGGCATTGGTTGAATTCTTATTACTTATTATATCAACACCACCAGCTTCTAAAACAATTGCAATTAAAATTGCATTAGTTAACATCCACACTAACACAGTTATTGTTCTTATAAATGCATAATATGAATCATCTTTACTCTTTTTAACATTTGATGGAATAATTTGTGGTGGAATAACTCTTAAACTTTCTAATGCATTTAAATATTTATCATTTAATTCTTCAGTATGATTTTCTGGTGCAATCATAACAAGTTCATCATTATTCTTACCAAATGACTTGGCAGCTCCTAAATCTTTAGCTTGTTCTACTCCTTTGGTACCCCAGGAAACATCATGAATATTACAGAATGCATAAATATTCAACACATTAATATAAGTTGGTGAAAGTAAAACATATTGAACAAATGAAGTAAACATAAAACTTGGTTCTCCATACATCAATGCTCCAACAAAATATAAAACATAAGTAGACACCATGGAAACAACCAAGTCTCTGAATTTAGTATTGGTAAACACCAATACTATACTGAAATCAGTCTTATGATCAGAAACAATTGAGGTAACGGTATGAACCGCTAAGAAAATAGCAGCAAACATCATATATGCCATTAATACAGCAAAAAATATGGCTATAACAAGATAAAATTTCTTGGTACCTCTTGGAGTATTACCAAATGCAAGAACAAATGTACAAACAACAGATCCAACATAAAACCATAAGAATATAATAGCCAAATATTTACCAACATTAAAGTTCATATCATCAGCACCTAAATTAGCAGTTAAAATTCTGAAAACTAAAAAGAAACTTGCTAATGAAAACCAAGAAACAAGAATAGTTACCAATTGATAATAAAATTCCAATTGTAAAAATAATTTTCTAAATAATGAATGATTAGACCTCCAAATTTTGGTCCAATGGAAAACTGCATAACCTGCAGCAAACATTGATCCATTTAACCATCTTCTACGTTGTAAAACAAATTCATCAATATTTTCCGGTACATCAGTTTCAGCTTTTGCTTCATTAACATATCTTAAAATATAATTATGATTCTTCTTTGCAACCAATTCAAAACACAAGATTCTATCTTCTGCCAAATACATATTACTTGTGAAAATACCTGCTTCTTCAAAATTTTTCTCTTTAATATCACGTTCATCATCATCTTCGTCTTCATCAACTTGAGTATCTTGATGTAAATATTCCCCTTTGAAATATTTTTCTAATGGTCCTTCTCCATTAACATTTAATAATGCTTCATATCTATAAGCACTAAAAGCACCAGGTAAAACACTAATAAATCCAAATACTGATTCCATTGGTTTATCTAAAACATTTGAAATTTTATATTCAAAATTTTGGGCCGCTACCAATGGATTAATTAATAATTTTTTACTTGGACCTAAAGCAGTTCTCATTTCACCACAAGCACCAGCTACATTTTCATCTTTAAAAGCTCTCCAAAGATAAAAGAATGCATCTTTACTTGGTTTAGTACCACAATCTAATAACATGATAACTTTAGGTTTAATAATTGGACCAAATGCTTGGAAACACCAACGATGGGAATTAATCTTTCTACTATTTTTCTCTTTTAAACAAAATAAAAATTGTACTGGTGTTGAATTTGAAGTTAAATGAACTCTATCATTAACAGTATCAATGCCAACGGTTGAAGTATATTCATAAATATGACTTTTAACTGATTTATCATTGATTTTACTTTTAGCGAAACCATCTTGAAATATCCCTAATGCTTTTAATAAAATTTCAGTACGTTTGTTTAATTCTAATCTACCATCATTTACAATAACAACAACAATTTTCTTCCAACTTTCTTCACCCCAATTTGGATCTGATCTATTGGTAAGATCACGAATATTGTCAAAAACACCTTTTAATGTTCTACCTAATAAAACCTCATCTTCATTATACATAGTGATACAAACCATGATTTCTGTAGTTCTTGGAGGTTCGTATAATTCTTGACGTAAATTATAATTAAATTTAACAAAATTTGATGGTCCACAAGTACATGCAGTATATCTAACAAATGACATTTCTCTTGGAATATTATTCTTATTTGTAGAAATTCTTTTACCATAAGTATCTAATAATGAATTTGGTACTGGCATATCAATAATATAATTCCCATTAATTAATTTTGCCTTCTTAATGGTTTTAGTATATGTTAATTTTGGTTTAAATTCATCTTCGTCTTCATCATCTTCATCATCATCAAAATTAAGTTGAGTATCAGTATTTGACTTTCTTCCAGTAGTTTTACTACTTTTATTAGTATGAGATCTTTTAATAGTTGTACCACGACGTATAATTTCTTCACCAGTTTCCAGAAATAATGATTCATCATCACCAAAAGGATCTAAAGAATCATCATCATCAGCATCAAGTAATGGATTAATCATATAATCATCACCAGTAAAAGTATTGACTCTTGCTAAACTGTTACTATTACCATTACTTAAAGTAGATCCACTATTTGAATCATTTTCTTCTAAATCATAATCATAAACATTAACTTGAGATTTTTTACCTGGTGAATAAGTTAATGGTGGATATTCAGGTTCATTAAATTTAACTGTTTTAGATCTACCAAAATTCATTGGTTTTTCCTCAAACATATCATCATCTTCATCACCATATTCATCATAATAATTATCTTGATGTAAATTATTATATTTATCATGATGATTTTCTTCCCATTCATTAGTATATAAAGTACCACCAAATGAACTTGAACCAGAATTTGAATTTAAATTACTTGAGTATCTTTTTTGTCCTCCTCCAGACATTGAAAAAGTACCCAAACTTCCTTGTCTAGAATTATGACGTTGATGATAAGAACCATTATTTCCATAAGTTTGAAAACTATTCTGAGGAGCACTTGGTTCTTGTTGTTGTTGTTGTTGTTGTTGATTGAATGGATTATAAATACCTTGATTATTAGTATTAGATGATGATGATCTTTGATAAGGTGTGATCAAATTAGGAGTAACTGGTGGTTGATTGATAGTATCATTATCATTATCATCATCCGAGAATAAATCATCTTCTTCATCATCTGAAAAATCAATACGTCCTGGTGGAGGTGGCGTATGTTGTTGATTGTGTTGATACGCCATGTTTGGTGGATTATATATTTTATATAAAATGGCTTGTTTCTTAAAATCTCCGAGGCTTTATATCAAAATCGGGTATATGCAAATTATCAAAAATTAACAAGAATCTTTTAACTACCTAAAGATCTTCTTGTTCAATTGAAATGAAAGAAAATCAATACAAAATTTACCAAAATCTATAAACCAACTAATAGAATTCAAAAGGAAAAATTTTAAAAAAAGAAAATGAAACAGTATTAATAAAAAAAAAAAGGAAAATTTTCAAAATTAATTCTTTCTATTATTAGTCTTCTTCGTCTTGTTCTTCTTCTTGTTCGATTTCAACTGTAAAGTTTATCCCTCTACAGTATTTCCCCTTTCGAGGAATAATATATACACACATAAATAAATCGTTATTATTGTAACACCTTTTCACTAACAAATTCCTGCAGATAGGCTCATCACCCACAGTGAAATTCTAAAAATAATGAGCATCGTATGTTGTTTACAAATTGTCCCAATTGGGCCACCCATGGTGCTACCAATCAGTACACTCAAAAAACCACCAATTACGTAATATGGTGTGCAATTACCGTATCACGTGCCGTCTCGCTACCAAATATAGGTAGTTTTGTTCTAAAAGAAAAGAAAAAGGGGGTATGTAGGGGGGTTAGAAAAAGGGTTGTAGAATGAATGAATCGATAGAAAAAGTGGGAAAGGTGATGTATGAATGACTACATTGATATACGAAGTGGATAAGAGATGATAAGAAGGTGGGACAGTTATTGTAATATTGTTGATTCCATTGTTGTAGAGATAGAGCTCGCAATCAGTGATAATGATGATAATGATACTAATGATAATTTGAGGTTATAGTTCTAGATTTGTATTTTTGGATCCTGATTAAATTTAGTTAATTTCATGCATGATTTTAGCTGACAGATTAGTTTATTGATAAAGTATCATGAGTTATTCTGCGTTATATATATATATGTGTGCATGTAATTCTATTGTTAGATGCAAGTGAAAGGGATGAGATAGTGGGGAATAAAAGTATTTATAGCATCATTTTTAAGGAATCCCCTTATTGATTATTTATCACAGACTATACAATAATTATCAACCAGTAAATTCTTTAAACATTTCTTATGATAACCATGTCCACAATTAAAAAATATAATTCTCAATTCTTCAAAATCATTGCATGTTGTTGATGATGATTTCCAAATTTTTTGTTTTTCATTTTGCTCAAATGCTAAATAATGATTATTTAAATCAATACCTTTCCCAACTAGTTTCCCATCACAACATGAACAATTTAATGTTTCAATTATCCAACCATCTAATGTTTTCAATTTGATTTCATTCATTTTTTTAAAAATATCTTTATTCAACATGTATTTGATAATTTTCAAAATTTCTGAATCGGTTGAATAACTAATAAATACTTGATGTAAAATTTTCTTAATATTACTTATGGTTTTTTGATCATTATTTGAATCTTCCATGATGAACTTGTTTAAAATTTCAAAAAATGTAGAATCATTTTTACAATTATTTATAAAAATAAATGAATCATGAATACATTCATTTATAAAATCATGTATTTCCATATCATGAGATAATTCAACAAGTTGATTAATTAAAACAATCCACAATTTTTGATTCAATTCTTGGGAAATCTCATTATTTTCAATAGTAGAAAATGATAACCTTAATAATTTAGAAAAATCCTCTTGTGTCTCATTTGATATAGGACGATCAGCCACCATAGAGCTAATAATCACATTCAATGCCTTTTCATATTCGTGTTTACTAACCAACAATATAGTTTTCCCTTCAATGATTTCATTCTTTTCACAAATATCATATATCTCATCATACTCTAGCTTATCCTTCCACTGATTTATAAACAGTACAACTTGATCCTTATCATGTACTACCATCAATTCAATATATCTAGTTAAATAAGGAGCTAAATCAGCCAGAGATATCTTAAACAACTCACGAAGATATCTAAACACATAAACATCATCATCATGATTAACTTTCAACACTTCAAGATGTAAGTTAGGTGTAAATTTTTCAATTAAACTGACAAATTGATCATCTAGTCTCATAAATTTAGCAAAATTCTCACGAATGATTTTAACTAAATTCAACCTATCACTTGCATTCTTACTTGAATTAAATGAACTCTCAAGTAAATTAGTCAATTGACTTCCTTCTTCTTCTGCATCCACCACTTGTTCTTGGTTCACTTTTTTCAACCAAGTTTCTAAAGCATTGGAATATTTCCCTTCCAGTTTATATATACTTATAAGAACATTGTAATATTTGGCCATTTCTAATTTTTCAATTATAAATTCATCATAATCTTGACCATCATAAACAGGTAATAAACTCAGTAAACCCAATTCACAATCGTCAACAATATCTGGATTTTTATTTTGACACAAATTATCAATAACTTCAAAAAGTGTACTTTCTGATAATCTTAAAAATTGACTGTATTTCGGATAATTTCTACTAATGAAAATCAGTAATTGACATTTATCAAATGGTGTAAATTCTTCTTCATTAATTTCATAAATATCCAATAATGTTTCAATTAAATATTGCCTTGTCAATCGGGGATCTTCATTAAGAAAAGGATCTTCAAAGAATTCATTCAATGTGGATAACATTTCAAAGGAATTAAATTTCAAAAGAGTAAATAAATAGGGGAAAATTGTATCTGGATTAACACAAGGGATGTTAGGAATTGATGTACTTGAGAATAAAATATCACAAATGGATTTTCTAGCAATATCTTCTTCTCCTAACTTGGTTTCAATAAATCTATCAGTCGGATATTGTCTACCAGTCAATATATATGCCATATAGGTGTAAACTCTTACATCATCGCCACCTTTGTCTATCTCTTTTAAGAACTCAATCAAGGGAGTTTCATAATCATGAAGAACGAAATTCCAAATATAAATCAAACATTCCTTCATGTTGTATTCTTTACATAATTGAATAGTTAAATCAATATCCAAAGTTGCAATATCCAAGGTACAAATAATCTCAGTTAATAAATCACCGTTTTGTTCACGAACGTAATACTGAACCAATTTTTTAAGTACAACAGGAGGTAATGATATGATATTTCCACTTAGAATGAACCATTCTAAACTATGGAAATATATCTGATCATCGTTGACTGTTTCATACAATTGTTCAAGTAATTCAACATCGTTGATATAAGCAATAATGTTCAAACACAATAAAATATATGACTTTTTATCTGAATCACTAAATAAATGAGGTAAGGATTCCTTCATTATTTTAACAAGATATGGTTGAATTAATTCACCACGTTGTTTTTTATCCTTTGGCAATCCAATAATTGTTAATTTTCCTGGATTAGTTGAATTATAATAGTTATCTGCTATAGATAAAGCATCTCCATATGCTTCTTCGGATAATTTATTAACTAATATATCAGCCCATCCCAACAGTTGACCAATAAATAAGTTTTTGGATGAAGTATTACAAATGATTCTTCTTTTAGACACGTTTATATTTTGGAAAGTTGAATCAATTGAATCATTAGCAATAGCAGTTAGATTCTCATCCATGTAATAAAAGGTTCTCATTTCATGATTATCAGTGAATACACATATTATATCTGATTGAATCCATTTGACTGATTTAATTCCATGATTGCTGACCCATCTACATGTCATTTTAATTGGTAACTTGGACAAAACTTTATTTTTATCTTTAGAATCATTAATCAATTTGAGCACTTTATTAGAGAATACCTGATTTTCTAACTCTAATATCGTCAATACATTATTCCATACATAACATAGTTTAGCATTTGTGGTTACACCTTTGGATGTTTTCATTGAAGGAAACCAGCTTAAACAAGTATCTAATGAAGTTCCTTGCACCTTTTTTGACTTTCCAATTTTGAAATGTTGTTTAACAAATGGAATCTTAGGATCATTCAATGAAATAGTAGATATTATTGTCAATATCTCAGACGTCATTATTGCCATTATACCCATTTTATCAGTGATTTCAACTGATGAACCCAAAGGTAACATTTCACAATTTAGGATCTTAAATTTTTCATCTTTCAAATTAGCATCATTTTTACCTAATAATTTACTACTTGTATAAATCAAATTCATAAATTTTTTAACTCCATGATGGAAAAATATCAATCCCGAATCATCAATTGAAATAATCTCATAATTTGATTCTCCAACAAATGAAACAAAAGTAATCTTAGTATTTATAATATGTCCTTGGACGTTTTGAACGAATCTTGACTTTAAACTAATTGGATAAATAACATAAATGGGCAATATCTCTTGTTCTTCATTACCACCATTTTTCAAATTCCAAATCTTTATTGAACCATCTTCAAATCCAGCACATAAATGGGAACAATCTCCTGAAAATGAAATACAAGTAATCAAAGATAATTCTTCTGTATTTATACTTAATACAAATTCAATTTCTTGTCTATAATTAAATATAATGATCTTAGCACCAGTAGTGACTAACCCAATATAGATTGAATTTGATTTAAAAAATTGAAAATTCCCATATTTCTGAATAAATTCATGTGAATTGATCATCTTTGAAATATCATTCATTTCATTCCATTTAAAAATATCTTTCAAAGTAGTCTCACCAATTTCTTCATCATTTATATTAGAATCATTTTTAGGTTTGCTCAAAGCTGTATCGGTTGATGAATATAATCTTAAAGAAATCCCAGTTTTGGTTTTGGATCGATCATCAAATTTAGTCTTCCGTAGTGGTGATAACGTGGTTGCTGATGAACTATTCGATAGTAAACTTGTAGATGATGGTGAAGATATTAGACTCATTGGAGTAAGGTGGTGGGAGTGATGGTTCGTTGTTGATCCAAAGTTCAGTCAGCCGAGTTGTGTCGTAACTGGAAAATATTCTGTTGATAATGCGAATTTTAATCGCTGCTTTATAGTGGTTGTATTGCCAAAGAAACCAGCAGAATTCATCTGAACAGATAAATGCAATCTAAACAAAGTTAAACTGGTTATTTTGACCTTGTTTAGAGAAGAATTATTAATTTTCTTGTTGATTTGGTCATATTTTTGAGTAGTTTGCCACTGTAACTATATTTATCACGTGGTGTTTACACACGTGATGTTGGCTTCAATCTACTGAAATTCACAATGCCAAGTTAGGAATAGCTTATAGATGTATGTTATTGCAAAGAGACTCGATTTGTGGTTGTTATCAAGATTTAAGATATGTTTGTATTAACAATTTCATTGTAAATTTGCTTAAATGTTGGAATAAATTATTATCGACTCCTCATAATAAGTAATACCAAACTTTTAAATCAAACATACTATCAAAATACAAATTATGCTTGCTATAACGTGTCTTAGTTATGTTTGTCTCCTTTAAGAACATATACTGACAACTATGAACAATTTTTTTCAGTTTAAATAGCTATTTCAAGGGGCTAATAAATACCATAGTTCAAAACCGGACTCAAAGAACCGTGCAAAAAATTTATAAGCACAATTCACTGTTATCATGGAGTAGTTTAGTACTTTATATATCCATTCACATTGTTGATTAAAGTATGAAAATTCATTCTGATACATATAATCATGAATGCAAAAACAAGTCACGTGATACATATTGGCAGCGAACGATACCACGATTAGGGATCAATAATTTAAGGGAGTATCTAACCTTAACCTTACTTCGAAGACTCAGAATTGGATAGTAATATTCAAAAACATAAACCACCAGTAATTAATACCCATAGTTACTAGTTTCTATTTAATATTCACAGCGACGATGAATAATACCACAGAGAGACTATTGGAAAAGCAGAATTCACGTGATATTGTTAATATCCGACCTTGCTTCAAATCGTATGTTATCTTGGATATTCACCATTGCATTAATATCTCTTACATTTATAAATTATACATAGTTGTTATGTATAGTATGGGATTCACTATTTCATCCCATCTATAAACCATCAACTTTCTTATATATATCAGCTTCAACAATCTTGAATGAATGTCAATTTAATCATTTGAATCCGTTTACTACACAACTTAGACTTGTGTGCAACCGTGGTATTATAGTGATCTTTAAGCAAAAGAGGTGATCACTGAATTCAAGTATGTAAGAAATTGACAAATGTACACTTCAGAAATTGTTTGATTTCCCCCGCATATGGTAGCACTCGACATATAAAGTACTATACAAAAATACATACACAAATACCCCAAAAAGACTTAACTATAAAAGGACAAACAAACAACTTTCAAAAAAATACTTTTTTATACTACTTTCTTTTTCTTTTTCCTTCTTGTTTCATCAACAATTAATATCAATCACTTATAATATGATATCATTTATATCAAGTAAGTATCAATAGATGTGTTTTATTCATGGCTGCAAATACTAACTTAAATATAAGAAACCACAATCCATTATATCCATGACAAGTTTACAAAGAATCAGAAGTTGTTTGTTTCCCATATGTTGTTGTTGTATGCTCCCCCAGTAGTTGTTGCTTGTGTCACTTGGTTAAGTCATTGAAAAGAAAGTTACCAACTGATAGCTCCTTTAGTATGATGCAAAAACAAAAGAAGAACCTTCCAAAAAAGATAGCAACTTGGGAACACGTGCTATCTTGAACCTTAAAAGAGGGATCAACATATACAAGAAAGGGGCAATGTTGATTAGCGAAAGTTCTTCAAAAGATAGTGACTGGTCATCACTATCTTTAAAAGCTACTCATCGGGATATTGAACTAACCTATCCCGATGAGTAGTAGTGGTGGTTTAATGCAAACCACACTTGTAGAGGACCAGGTAGAGGACAGTCGACCAGTCCCCTTTCCTCCTGGTTCATCCTCTATCTATTCCCCCTTGGGCCAGTAGGGGGACGCGATATGGCAACTCAAAAAGAGGGCCATGGTCGGGCTGGGTCGGCCCCACACATACATGTGGGCCCAGCTCGTCCCTCTCCTTTACTTAGGAGAGGTGGTAAGTGGAGTGGAGGAGGCAAATCATCATCATTTGGTTCGTTCCTCCACCTCCACATTAGACATGTCGTCGAACAGGGTCATGGGGAAACTGAATGCTTCCTAATGAAACCCTAATAATGGTCCAAATTGAATAAATACATTGATAATTAGAAAAATAACCACGTTTAAAAATGAATATGTTAATTATTATTCAATTATTGTAGGAATTGTCAGGAATTAAGAGACAAGGACCTTGAAATTGGACTAAAAACACGCTACAGCCATAAAGTTGATAAATGGCTCTACATTAAATAAAAACAATAAAAGAAAAAAGTACATTGGTTAAATTGAATCCCAGATCCAAAAATAACAGACGCGGCAAATCTGCGACCTGAAAAAAAAAAAAAACCATCAAAAAATTACACACATCAACAAAGACAACTCTAGCATTATTCCTTAACTTTTCCTACCATGAATTTATCGTTACAAGATCCATTCTCAGTAGCGAAAGAATTTCCTGAAACATTAAATAACACGTTAAATTATGGCCATTCAGTATGCATACAGTTCAACCACAAGGGCGATTACTTAGCCTCTGGATTATCTGATGGATCAATTGCAATTTATGACATGGTCTCTAGTGGAGTTATTGCCCATTTAAAAGAGAACAGTCATATACGACCAATTACGTCTATAAGCTGGTCTAAATGTGGAAGATATTTATTGACCAGTTCTCAAGATTGGTGGGTCAAATTATGGGATTTACAATATGTGAATAATAATAATGATGAAAGTGGGGATATACAAAGTCCAGTGATTAGACAAATTAAATTTGATGGTCCTATTTGGCTGGCTAGTATGCATCCTGAAAATCATTTTATTTTTACAGCATCGTTATTTGAAGATTCTCCCGTGTATGTTGATTTGAACCAAAAGGGGAACTCACCAAAAGTTATAACACTAGAGACAATACCGTTAGAGGAGAATAATCAAGAAGTTGTCGATGATGATGACGAAGAAAATCGACGTAAGAGTGCTAAGCGGAGAAAGAAAGATGAGAAACATACAACTTTGGTCTCTATATTTACTCATGAAGGGAATTATATCTTTTCCGGTACCAGTAAAGGATGGTTGAATATATTTGATGTTAATGACAATTGCAAACAAGTACAATCGATAAAATTATCCAATTCCAATATTAAAAATCTCATGATATCTTCTAATGGCAGGAAACTAGCGATCAATTCATCTGATAGAGTGATACGCCAGATCAATTTACCGCCAGATTTAATCAATATTGATGATATAAGTGAGTTGGAATTTGAAATTGAACACAAGTATCAAGATGTTGTTAATAGATTACAATGGAATTCAGTTACATTTAACCACAATGGGGATTTCTTAGTTGCCTCAACTCATGGACAATCATCACACGATTTATATATTTGGGAAACCTCGATGGGATCGTTAGTTAAAATCTTGGAAGGCTCAAATGAAGAGTTGATTGATGTGAAATGGGACTATTCACGATGTACTATTGGATCAATTGGATTAGATAGTGGAGAAGTATACCTTTGGTCTGTTTCATTTCCACAGAAATGGAGTGCTTTGGCACCAGATTTTGTTGAAATCGAGGAGAATATTGAGTATGTTGAAAAAGAAGATGAATTTGATATTATAGATGAAGACGAGTTGCATAAAAAACGATTAGAGGAAGAAGATTTCCTTGTTGATGTGATATCCAAAGAGGTTACCGATGCTAGAGGGTTTGATATAACACAAGAATCATTTCTTATACCTATTAATTATGAAAAGAACTTGTATGATTAATGAAATATCGCTCGTTTAGGAAAAAGATCCTCGGATATGAAATTCCATCGTTATCTAAACTGCCGCTTAACAAGACCAAAAACAAACAGGGGGGGGGTGTGTGCTGTTAGTAATTATTTCAAGTAGACTCTTATTCTTGATATATATATATTTGAATACTTAGAGGCATCAATTGTAATCAAGGGTCCAATTACAGATCCGATGATCCTGGTTGTCTGGAGTTTGTACAACCAGCCCGGGAGAGTATAGGAAAAACTTGGCCGTGAACTTTAATGGCGGGAGTGAACCCATGGCTAAATAAAGACAAGCGTGCCCTTTGTCCAAAAATCAAAAAATTCATTCTCTCACATTTTAGGATTTTTGAGTTTTGTTACTCTTGTGGTAAATTGTTCCAATTTTCCGTACTCATTAAACAACCCCCAAAAACAGGAAGACAGATTGATTAATCGACATCTAGCTAACCCAGTCTAATTGTATTGTATCATGCAAACAATTTAGAATTGACATATGACCTATTGTTTGTTCAATTTGTAGAACTCATACGTTTACGGAGACAACCAATGGATTTCTCGTAGTTGACTCAACTGTTGACGAAGGGTACACGACCCGCACGGAAATTAAATTTTCTATTGTAAGAAGAAGAAGAAAAGAAAAAAAAAAAATAGAAAGAGCGAAAACCAAAAAACAAAAAAATTTTCAGACAACCAAGAGACAACCAAGAGACAGCCAAAAAAAATTTTGAAAAACAAAAACAAAAAATGAAAACATAAACAAAAACAACCAAACAAAAAAAAATTGAAACAGCAACAACAACAACAACTTTTTCTTACAACCAAAAGGCAGCACACACACACAAAATAGTTACAACCACTATTATTTATCTGATCAAGATATCTTAACCAACCCTTTATCCACTGTCAGCTTCAACAATTTCATTTTTTTTGCATATATTTCCTAGTATTCGTAACGAGTTATACCTCCCTCCTCCCAACTGGATTTTTATTTTTCTCCAACAATAAACAACATCACAAGGGCTAACTTTTTTTTTTTTTACTTTTACTTTTACTTTGTTCCTTTGTTTATTTCATTTGACTACGATATCAACCACTATCTACAACAGGAACTAAAAATAGCAGTATAGTCTTTCATATTCTATTTCATATCATCTTAGTTTAGTAATTCCCAATTCTGAATTAGAGAAAAAAGAAAATAATCTACCAAAAAAAAAAAGACCGTAAGGGAAAAATCTACCAAGCTAGTCATGTCTTCTGCATCATCATTTACTACTCCAAGGAAGAGAACCCTTCCAGACCATCAATTAGACAATTCCGGTCTCCCTACTTTTGATGATCATCAGGATATGATCAGTGCAGTCATATCAACTTTGCAAGCACCGGAGGAGAAAACTAATGTAGCCCTTACATATGCCAATGATAAGAATTTAGAAACTGAAGTTCAAGCTTATGCTAAAATCGCTGGTAGGGACTGGACATATTATGTGAAATCCTTGGCTATATCTATTGGAAGAAACACTGATATGTCATCTTCATCTTCTATGAACAACCCAAATGGGGGTAGCGGTCCTTTGATAGATATAGATTTGGGACCAGCTAAAGTTGTCAGTAGACAACATGCGTCTATTACTTACAACCTAGATTTGAGATGTTGGGAATTGAAAGTCAGTGGTAGAAATGGAGCAAGAATAGACGGGTCAAAGATTACTGTTGGTTCGCATGAAGTTAATGCCTTGCACTCTGGTGCTATTTTGGATATTGGTGGTACCCAAATGATGTTTATTTTACCTGACTCCCCAGCAGCAATTGCTCCTAAAATGTTGGAAAAGTGTCTTGCGAGATATAAGGAACAAACCCAACAATCTAAACGTATTGCTAGTGGAAGTAGAGGTTTTCAATTGTTTGGCAATGTTTTAACCCATTCACCTTCCTCTATCTCCGCCAATTCTCTTCAATCTAATTTAGATCAAGATTTATCTAAAGAAGATGCCAAGGACATTAAACCACCATACTCATACGCTACCATGATTACTCAAGCCATTTTGTCAAACCCACAAGGGGTAATGTCGTTGTCGGAAATTTATAATTGGATTGCTTCTCATTACGCCTACTATAAATACTCCAAAACTGGTTGGCAAAACTCCATTCGTCACAATTTGTCATTGAACAAAGCTTTTGAAAAAGTTCCAAGAAGACCAAATGAACCTGGGAAGGGTATGAAATGGCAAATTAGTGATTCATACAAGGAAGACTTTTTGAACAAAATTTCCGATGGTACTATTCTGAAAACAAGAAGAGGATCATCTGTTTCAAGACAATTAAGTTTGCATTTGGCAACTCACAAGCAATTGCCAGAATCTCAGAAATATTTTCAAGATCAACAAATTCCAAAGATTGCATCGGGACCAATACAAATGCCAACTCAAACTCAACAGCAACATCAAATACCACCATCCCAACAACAACAACAACAAACACATTATCAACAACAACAACCTCATCAAAACTATCCCATTCCTGCAAATCCAATGCAATCAAACCCATTAGGATCGATGCAACAGACAAACATTTATAACAATATGCAAAATGCAGGCCGTCCTTATACTTCATACCAAAATCAACCAATGGTATACCAACAACAACAACAACCACAACATCAAGGACAAGGCCATTTTCAACAACAACCACAACAACAAGGATATCCAGTAAATGGCATCAAACAGGAACCACTTTCACCAGTCAGAAAGACCTCAAGTGTTGGAAGTGGTGAAAGCCAAGGTGATGGTACACCTAAATTACCTAAGGGTTCTATTCAAGCAAGTGGAAATCCTCATTCTAGAAATACTTCCTACACAACAAGTCAATTACAAGAAGTGTCACAATACAATAGCTCTACAAATGAGAGTGTATCGACAGCTCCTTCAACTACAAATATTACTAACGGTGATATTGGGTTAAACTTTGCCAGTCCAAAGAAAATTACTGCCTTGGAAGCTTATACACCAGAAAGAGGATCCACAAAAGTTGGAAACAATTTAGTACCAGGAAATGTCAATGGAAATAACAACAACAATAATAATAACAACAACAATAATAATCACAATGGAAAAATTCCAGGAGGCCCTAACCCAAATCAATCATCACCTGCATTTTGGAATTTTGTTCAATTTAGTACACCAAATGGTCAACAATCACCAAGTCGTAAGAATAGTGAAGATGTTGGAAATACTAGTCCTACATTGAACAGAAAATTAAAACAACAAAAAACTAATAATAATAATGATGAAAGTAATACCAATATTAACAAGAACACTTCACCATTTAAGAAAGATCACCAAACAGGAATGGTTGATCTGTAATTTTGTTTTGTGATTATTTCTGTTTATTATAAATGATATATACAAAAAAATAAGAAGAGAAAATTGGAAAAAGATTATTTAGGATTTATATTTACAGTATTTTTTTTGATTACTTTATTACTATCATTATTATTATTATTATTACTATTACTTATCATTATATATATTTGGTTTTTGTCCATAATTTATTATTTTTTGTTACGTGTCTTGTAATATATAACTGATTTATAAATATAAAACTGTGCTAACTCAGAAGGAAGATATAAACGATCTGTTTTTCAAATCATTCAACTTCTTTTCAATATCGTTGATGGTTTTATTTAATCTTTTAGCAATTTCTGATTTTTCACCATTGGATAATTGATGAAATTTCTCCAATAAATCACCATCGATAATATTCTTCATTGGGTTATAATAACTTCTAAATTTCAAATGATCTTTACCTAATTCATTCTTTATGATATTTTGTAATTCCAATTGTAAATTAATCAACAATTCAACTTCTTTTTTAGATATTAATGGAGTTAAAACACCTAAAGTACCAAATATCCCACAATATAATATACTTTCATTATTATTAATGAATAGAAATTTAGTAATTATTTCACCAAGATGAAAATCAATTAAATTGATTAATTTAAATGGACAACTATTATAAATTGATTCTGAATTTTTCAAAATTGTCCAATCTTCTTTTCTTTGCAAGCGGATGTTCCATTTCTTTTATCCTTCTTGTGGTTTTATGTCCATTATACATTCATACATATACTTAATTTCTTTTAAAAGAAAAATTTTTCTTTCTTTTATGCCCAATATCCAATTATCCAATTATCCAATTACCTAACTTTTTAACTACCTAACTTCCTGACTACCTAACTACCTAATTTCTGTTTTGTATTTTAAGAATTTCACCTTGAAATTATTTGGCGATTCCTTTGCTTTTTGTTTTTGTATTACTTCTGTTAATTTTGTTAATTTTGCAGATATCCCAATTTCATTCTTATTCTTATTCTTCTTATAACCTAGCTACATGTTATAATAATAAGAATAATAATAAGAATAATAATAATAATAAGAATATAAAATATCATATATATATATAAAGTACTTTTTTAAAAACTTTCTTAATAATAATTTTCTTTTTTATTTTTATTTTTATTTTACATCTTCAACTTTCTTTCAAGAATAATATCTACTCACCAGGAAGAACAATAATTGTTTATTGTTTATTAGCCAGTAATTCATATCATCATCTTCACGTTAATCATCCCTATTCATCATTTTATACCCAAAAAAACGGGAAATAAACTCGACTGTGAATTTTAGTTTGAACCTGAAAGGAGAAAAAAAAAATTTATCAACTTATTCAAACATATTCATACAGACTACATCAAGATACATCAACAACCTGCCTTATTATTTATTCAATTGAAATTTCGTTCTATTTTAAATCATAATTGAATTATTTTTATTTGTTTCTCGAATTCTCGAATTGGCTCAAATATTATTCTTACAATTATTTATCAATTGTCAATTCAGTAATATAAATAATATCAGATCTTACCTTTTACATTATTATTCCTTTTCCCAACTTCTTACTTGATTACTATTATTATTTATTTATTTATTTACTTTGTTCAATCCTTCTGCTCAGCTCAGCTCAGGTCGTAAGTTATTATTTACTAAATTGGACTCACTTGAAATCTTCTGGAAATTCTGTATAAAGGCTTTTTCCTTTTTATTATTATCAACTCGAATTTTATTTCATTTATTATTTTATTTCGGGATCCAGATATCAACAGCAACAACAACAGCAGCAGCAACTATCAAACTACAACTTGATTACTATTTTATATTTATTGTACGATTATTATTCCTGTCATTTGGCCATCTCCCTTATTTGTTTATAATATCGCCAAAAATTTTACTTCGTTGATTCAAATTATATATAAAAATCTTCCCCAAAACATTTCAGTCAGATTTTTTTTTTATTTCATTTCATTTCAGTTTGGTTTCTTTAATATTTGTTGAAATATCATTGATCAAATTGTTTTATAGTATTCCTTTTGGGTTAACTTATTATTTGATTGCCACATCCTTGTTTTCGTACCCTGTTCAGATAATTCTACTACCTCATTTTCATTTTATCAACATCAACATCAACAGCTATATATGAGTTCATATTCTAATACTATCAACAGTAACGCTAACAATAATCCTTCAAATAATCCAAGTTCGAATAACTATCAGTTCCAACAACTCAAAGAAGATTTAATTTTTGATCCTCATCAAATGCTGATGTCAATTCCTCAACAAAGATTCTACAATCCAACTTTACTTCAACCTCAAAATCAAGCTGGTCAAGGATCTACTCCACAGCAACAGCAACCTTCACAGAATTCTCAGCCTCAACCTCAACCTCAACAACAACAGCAACAACAGCAGCCATACCTAATGAATGTCCCTCAAACTTATACTCAATCACAACCTCAACAATTGATGTATTCAATGCCCCCACTACAAGCTCAACAACAAGGCGGAGGTGCTGGTAATACTAATGGTTCAATGCCCCCTCCACCTCCTCATCATTCTTACCAGCAACAATCTCCCCAACAACAACAACAATTGCTGCAAATGCAACAATCTCAGACAAATAATAATTCCCAATTTTATGATTCTACGATACCAAATTATTTAATCATGGGTCAAGGAAGTGTAATACCAAATCAAACTACAAATCAACCAAATATATCCTATTATAATTATGCTCCTCCTATCCCTCCTCCAAATGTCCAACAACAGCAACCACTACAATCAATTCCACCACAGAAAACTCAAACAATCCCTCAACAACAATCTTTACCTCCACCACCTCAACGTACTGTTCGATCAAAACTGCAAACAAGTTTAAATTCAGGTAAAGGACGATCTAGGTCAAGTGTTGCAAGTAATAAAGGAACCAAGAAACAATCATCATCTCCATCATCAATACCAAATGGAGGTCCACCATTGAATAGTGTAATATATCCAAATTTCCCAGAACGAATGCAACAAATATTACCGCCCCCACCATTATCACGAGCGCCTGTTCGTCCAGATATGTCAATTAATTTAACATCTAAAAGAGCTAAAAGAAAATCCAAATTTACTCCCGAACAAGATGATTTAATTGTTGGATTAAAGAAAAAAGGGAAATCTTGGGTTGAAATTGCTGAAATTACTGGTGTTGGATCATATTTAGCTGCAAGAAATAGATATCAAGTTATTGTTGGACAACAAGGTAATAATAATTCAAGTGCCTGGGATAATAAAGATAAATTATTCTTACATCAATTATTGGATGCTGCGGAATTGGAAAAATGGAGATTTATTTGTTTAGAATTGAATAAATCAACCAATAAAAATTTCACAGATTATGAATGTCGTGAAATGATTAGGGAATTGTTTTTTAAGAATCCTGTTAGTTTTGGAGTTAATGAAGAAACTATAGCTGAAGCTCAAAGAGAAAAGAAATTAACTGAAAAGATTATTGATCAAAGAGAACAATCTCGTAAGAAACGTTCAAATAATCAACAACAGCATCAACATCAACATCAACACCAACATCAAGCTAGTTTACCATTTCAAGTTGATGCAAAATATATTGATCCACAATATAGAAATTATCAAACTTCACAATTTATGTCAAATAATACTTCAGCTACAAATAGTAATACATCAGGAGGTATTACTATAACCCCTCCTCAACAACAACATCATCACACTAATCAAGATCCGGCATTACCTCCACCTCCACAACCTATCCCACCATCATCTACAACTTCATTATCAATGCAACAACAAATATATAACAAACAATATTATTAATTTCCTTCACAAAACTAAAAACAAAACAAAACAAAACAAAACAAAAAAAGAGTAAAGCACAAAAAAAATCCTATATAGATTATACAATTCAAATAATTTACATCTATTTTTCTTCGTTTTCTTCTTGTTGTTGTTGATTTTGATTTAATTTACGATAGACAACATCTAATTTATCCTGAGGTGATTGATGTTTATCAGTTCTAGTACCAACTCTAATATCACTTTGAATTCTTAAAATTCCATGTTTATCATGTAATTCTTGATGAAATTGTCCAATTAAATCCATAACTTCATTCCAAGGTCCAGCAATTGTAGTACCTGCTGAATGTAAAGTTGTTTCTAAATGTGAATCTTGAGCTAATTTAGTAATTATAGCAACTTCATCTGAAACTGATGGGGTATTTTTACCAATCTTGATGGGAAAATAAGTTAGTTAATTGATTAAAATAAAGACGTGGATAGAGTGTTAAACGATTACATACTGGAATTAAACAAACATCAGCTAAACAATGTATGGTTACTGTCATCTTATTTAATAAATGTTTCTTGTAATTGGAATTGAAGGATTATATTTATATTGGTGAAGTGATTGTGTTGAGAATGAAAAGTCTTTCGTTTTGGTTTGTTCGATTTTTTTTTTTGTTTGATTCACCCCATTTTCGCACTACACACAAAAAGTTGAATAGCAACAACAAGATCGAGATGATTAATGCTGAATTACTAAAGGTTTTGTAATATATGCTTGATGAGTTGTAGGTGAGCAAGTTGGTGATAGTTCGTGATAGTTGATTTTAATAATTCTTGGGTTCATTTGAAGCTGTATTTAATTTGGATTAAATAATTCTTTTCGCCATATTCTTATCATAACATTTACAAGACCATAGTAAAGACTAGCCTTCTTTTTGAAATATCCTAAAGATGCTAGTGTTCCAATAAACATATGACTATTCAAACATACCTATAGATACCACTTGATGTGGTAATGTCGTTGTTCTGGGTATAATCACCAATGTTAAAGAAAGTCGTGCAACACTGCACAATTACTCTCTACTCCCGAACTATCCCTTATCTCCGCTACTTTTGGAAAACCGGGTAATCCACGACAACGTATAGAGGATATATGAAATGCATATCACCTATAATCTGAAATCCAATCTATGTTTGATTTTATAGACTGCTATGTGTTAAAAGGGTTCTTCCATACACAGTAAGATAAGTCAACATAGAATTTGGGTGTAAACTCCTGAAAAATGGTATTAACACGCAATATATTTTGTCCCGCATTGAATTATAATCAGAGACGACCCTTTAAAGTATCTAAAGAAAACCCTTTCTTCTTCTTATACATCTTTATATCTATATGGAAATAATATGTCAGTACTGTAAGTTTAAATGAAATAAATTTAAAACTTTGAATAATATACAATATACGGTTGTTTGAAAGAAGAATGCTTATAAAATATATTGGACATTCTATTTTCTTTTATTATTGTTACAAGTATAATGTACAATAATTATTATTCGATATTTATTATCAATATAATATAAACAAAGTTTTTTTTTTTATATATAATGATTAGGGTTAATTTTTTTTTATAAAAAGTACATTTGATAATAATATATACTGTTCAGTAATAATAAATAATAATGATAATAAGCAATTTATAAATTATACATTTATCATTACTTTTTAGCCTTTTACTTCAATTTTGATTTGTAATAATCTTGAGCTGCAATTGTATCGTTAAGAAAGGATAGTTAAAACAAAGTAATTATATAAGATATTCAACATATCTTGGGTTTCACTTCTAAAATGTACTATGTAATGATTAGTCATTACATAATTATTACCCCACGGCCCAAAGTGATGCGCAAAATCAATCGGTGGAATTAATCAGATTTATATTGTGTACCATTTTCTCTTCACTTCTCTACTCCTCTCTTCTCCTCCCATCCCACTATCCCCCACATTATTCATAGAAGATCAACAAGCACAATCCGAGTAATATTCCGAGCAGAACTTCGCCACTTCATTCTCATAGATACTTGTCCAATACGTTCTTGATTTTAGTCGTTTAACTAGTTGAGTAGAATTTTTTTTTTTTTTCTGATTTAAAGGAGAGAATTAGTGTTGATAATTATCACTTGGTCAATTTCGTCGACATCAATAACAACTACAAGTAAGACATGCCACAGTTCAAGGATAAAGAAGATTTTTGTAAACAAACTAATGTTAGACCCGAGAAAGATCAAGAATTAATTAAATTTGCCTATGAACACCTTGATCATTTACCCTTTGATAGGAATGATAAAGAGGCTTATGAAAATTATGAAAGAATGATAAGTGGTATGATTTATAATGATAGACAAAAAGATTTATTTGAAATTAGATGTAAATGTAGGGATTTCATGTTAGATTATGGTGATTTTAGAACTAGAAATTATAAAACTTTAGAAGATTATCAACTTGCTAAAACTAATCATTTAAAAAAATTCATTGGTCATGTTGGTGATGGTACATATATGGAATATCCCATTTATTTTGATTATGGATTTAATACTTATCTAGGAGAGAATTTCTATTCAAATTATAATTTAATAATTTTAGATGTTTCAATTGTTAAAATTGGTGATAATGTCATGTGTGGTCCAAATGTTTCAATTCTTACTCCTAGTCATCCAATTGATCCAACCTTAAGATATGAATATTTAGAAAATGCCCTACCTATCACCATTGGTAATGGTGTTTGGTTAGGTGGAGGCTGTACCATTCTTGGTGGTGTTACTGTTGGGGATGGTAGTGTGGTTGCTGCTGGTGCAGTTGTGAATAAAGATGTACCTCCAAATACTGTAGTTGCTGGAGTACCAGCAAAAGTGATCAAAACCATGGACCCAAGAGATCCAAATTTTGATATCCAAGCAGAATTGAAGAAATACGGCATGGATCATATTGCTTAGTAATTACATTAGTATGTACTGTATTAGTATGTACTGTATTAGTATGTACTGTATTAGAAATAACCACCTAATAAATGACAAACAACTCCGATACTTGTAAAGTGCACGACTTTTCCTTGATTTTCTTTTTTTTTTTTATTTGCCTTCAACCAAATTCTTTTTTTTGTCGAAAGAACAACCAAAGGAAAAAAAACGTCAATTGGAACCAACCGTTTATTATTCCCTTCCCCCCTTTTTTTCTTCTTTCTTGTTACGAAAGACAAAAGACAAACTACTACTAATACACATCTAAAGATGTCTGATAACATGCAAATAGATACTCCTTCTCCTCAAGAAATTGACGAAGGTTTATACTCTCGTCAATTGTATGTCTTGGGTAAAGAAGCTATGCTTAAAATGCAAAATGCCAATGTTTTAATCATTGGTCTCAATGGGTTGGGAATAGAAATTGCTAAGAATATTGCCCTTGCTGGTGTTAAATCATTGAGCTTATATGATCCAAATCCAGTTACTTTATCTGATTTATCAACTCAATTCTTTTTATCTGAATCTGATATTGGTCAACCAAAAGATGTTGCCAGTCGTGAAAAATTATCTGAATTGAATGCTTATGTCCCAATTAACATTGTCGATAATATTAATGAAGAAACTTTATTGAAATTCAAATGTATTGTATCAACAAATATAACATTGGAAGAACAAGTTAAAATTAACAACATAACCCATGCTAATGATATTGGTTACATAAATGCTGATATCAGAGGTTTATTTGGACAAATTTTTGTTGATTTTGGTGAAAAATTCACTGTTATTGACCAAACCGGTGAAGAACCATTGGGTGGAATTGTTTCAGATATTGAAAAAGACGGTACTGTTACTATGTTGGATGATAATAGACATGGTTTAGAAGACGGAGATTATGTTAAATTTGCTGAAATTCAAGGTATGCCAAAATTAAATGATGGTAACCCACACAAGATTGAAGTTTTGGGTCCATATGCTTTTAAGATTAAAATTGATGAAAGTTATGGTGAATATATCAGAGGTGGTTTATATACACAAGTTAAAGTACCAAAAGAAATTTCTTTTGAACCATTAACTAAACAATTGGCTAATCCAGAATATTTGATTTCAGATTTTGCTAAATTTGATAAACCAGCTCAATTGCATTTGGGTTTCCAAGCTTTACATGCTTTCAAGACTAGACACCAAGGTGAATTGCCAGCTCCATATAATGAAGAAGATGCCAATGAAGCATTTAGATATGCTGAAGAATTGGCTACTCAAAATCCATCAATCTTGGGTGAAGATAAACTTAATGAAGAATACCTTAAACAATTATTCTACCAAGCTCGTGGTGATATCCCAGGTGTTGTTGCCTTTTATGGTGGTTTAATTGCACAAGAAGTTTTGAAAAACTGTTCTGCTAAATTCACACCAATCAAACAATGGTTATATTTCGACTCATTGGAATCTTTACCATCAGAAAAGGAATTCCCAAGAAATGCTGAAACTACTAAACCAATTGGTTCCAGATATGATGGACAAATTGCTGTTTTCGGTAAGAAATTCCAAGAAGCCATTGCCAATTTGAAAGTGTTTTTGGTTGGTTCCGGTGCCATTGGTTGTGAAATGTTGAAAAACTGGGCCATGATGGGATTGGGTTCTGGTCCAGAAGGTAAGATTTACATTACTGATAATGATTCTATTGAAAAATCTAATTTGAATCGTCAATTCTTGTTTAGACCAAAGGATGTTGGTAAAAATAAATCTGATGTTGCTGCTCTTGCGGTTCAAGCCATGAACCCAGACTTGACTGGTAAAATTGATTCTAAATTGGATAAGGTTGGACCAGAAACTGAAGATATTTTCAATGATGATTTCTGGACTCAATTAAACATTGTTGTTAATGCTTTAGATAATGTTGAAGCCAGAACTTATGTGGACCGTCGTTGTGTCTTTTACAAAAAACCATTATTGGAATCTGGTACTTTGGGTACCAAGGGTAACACTCAGGTTGTTATTCCAAACTTGACTGAATCATATTCGTCTTCTCAAGATCCACCAGAAAAATCTATTCCATTGTGTACTTTAAGATCTTTCCCAAACAAGATTGACCACACTATTGCTTGGGCCAAATCTTTGTTCCAAGGATATTTTGCTGATTCTCCAGAAAGTGTCAACTTGTACTTGAGTCAACCAAACTATGTTGAACAAACTTTGAAACAAAACCCAGATATTAAAGGTACTTTGGAAAACATTTCCGACTATTTGAACAAACGTCCATACACTTTTGATGAGTGTATTAAATGGGCTAGACAAGAATTTGAAGTTAAATTCAACCATGATATCAAACAATTATTGTACAATTTCCCACCTGACGCTAAAACTTCTACTGGTGCTCCATTCTGGTCTGGACCAAAGAGAGCTCCAAAACCATTGGAATTTGACATTAACAACAAAGATCATTTTGATTTTATTGTCGGTGGTGCCAACTTGTTGGCATTTATCTATGGATTAAAAGAACAAAAGACTACTTTGGAAGATTACAAGAAAGTATTGGATTCCATTGAAGTCAAACCATTCCAACCAAAATCTGGAGTTGAAATTGCTGCTACCGATGCTGAAGCTGAAGAACAAGCAAATAAACTTTCTGGATCCATTGATGACGAAGAAATCAGAAAGATTGCTGCTGGTTTGCCAGAACCAAGTACTTTAGCAGGTTACAGATTGAGTCCAATTGAATTTGAAAAAGATGATGATACCAATCATCATATTGAATTCATTACTGCTGCTTCTAACTGTAGAGCTTTGAACTATGGTATTGAAACTGCTGATGCTCACAAGACTAAATTCATTGCCGGTAAGATTATCCCAGCTATTGCCACCACCACAGCATTAGTTACTGGTTTAGTTTGTTTGGAATTGTACAAAGTTGTTGACAAGAAAGATGATATTGAACAATACAAGAATGGTTTTATCAATTTGGCATTACCATTTATTGGATTTTCCGAACCTATTAAATCACCAGAAGGTAAATATAACGATAAGAAATTTGACCAAATTTGGGATAGATTTGAACTTAATGGAGATATTACATTACAAGAGTTATTAGATCATTTTGAAAATGAAGAAGGTTTATCTATAACTATGTTATCTTATGGAGTTTCCCTTTTGTATGCTTCATTTTTCCCACCAAAGAAAGTTAAAGATAGATTAACCATGAATTTAACTAAATTGATTAAAGAAGTTAGTAAAAAAGATGTTCCTGGTCATGCTAAACATTTAATTTTTGAAGTTTGTTGTGATGATAAAGAAGGTGAAGATGTTGAAGTACCATACATTTGTGTTAAATTATAAATACCACACAGAGAGAATACATGTATAAGTGGAGTGTATTAATTTTTTGATTGATTGTTTGATTGTTTTATATTAGATAATGTATATACACACCTTACAATTATAAGAAAATATCTGGAGATTTTGTAATTTCAGATAATTCTCCTTTACTTGATATCAATTGTAAATAAGATCCTTGTTCAACTAGTTTTCCATTTTTCAAAACAATTAAATTATCAGCAATTCTCATCATTTCTTTATCATGAGTAATGAACAATATTGTAAATTTCCCATTTAATGATTCAATTAATTTAATGATTTGTTTAGAATTTATTGGATCTAAATTTGAAGTACATTCATCAAATATAAGAATTTTAGGATTTCTTAATATTGCTCGAGCAATTGAAAGTCTTTGTAATTGTCCACCAGAAACCAACGAGTTTGAGCCTTCTCCAATACATGTTTGGATTCCTTCAGGTAAAGATACAATAAATTCATACATATTAACTAATTTTAAAACATTAGTAACTTCTTGCTCTGATACAATTCTAATTGGATTCATCCCATAAAGCAAATTATCATAAATTGATCCATCAAAGAATTTTGGAAATTGTGGTACTATACCAATTGTTTCTCGTAACCAATCAATATCAATTTGTGATATATCTTCATTAAACAATTTAACTGATTTGGCACCATAAAGACGAAGTAATATGGAAATGATAGTTGATTTACCAGATCCTGATTCTCCAACTAATCCAACAGTTTCATTAATATTAATATCAAACGTAACATTCTTTAGTTTAGGTTCAAGTAGATCACTTGGATATGCGAAAGTTACATTATTAAAGGAAATAGCTTTATCTGATGGTCTTGGTATGATTTTACCTTCAGTTTCCACTTTTGATATTGGTGTACTTTCTAATAGTTTCACAACAAATGTACCTGCTCTTTGTCCACGGGCAATATCTGGTAAATGGTTAATTAACAGGGAAGCATTTGAAATTGTAAATGTCAATAATGTTATAACTTCCAACAACTGAAAGTAAGAATATTGAAACTTGCCAGCCAATTGCATACCGTAAAATAAAATTATCCCCTGAGAAATAGCACTACACAAGTCAGAAATAGCAAATCCAATACCTGTTTGAAAAGCTCTATAAGTACCAACTGATTTTAAACCAACTAAAGCTTCATCATATGATTCTTTAAAATACCGATTCATATGAAATAACCTGATGGTTTTAATAGATGTCATTGTTTGGTGAATCTGAGTTTCAACATCAACAACGCTTGTCTTGTACTTGTTTTCAGCGATTTCCAATATTATGCCATAAGCACATGTTACGAGCAAAACAAGTGGTACAAATGCAATACCAACTAGTGCCAATTTCCATCCAGTAACAATTGACCAAATAACCCCAATCAATACCATGGTAACTAATGTAGTAACCAATGAAATGTATTGTGAAACCAAGCTACGCAAATCTCTAGTATCATTCATTAACAAGGTGGTGATTTCAGCTGGTTCTAACTTTGAATTGAAATAAGACATATCTTGATTATTAATCTTATCAAATGACATTTGACGCAATGAAACAATCCAATTTTCACTACAATACTGTAGTATAAACTCAGAAAGATAAGTTGAAATACCAGTGAAACCAGCAATAGACAATGAAATGCACGACCAAACTACGATTTTGCTTGTTACATTCACACCAATAGATGCTTCCATTGATATAGCTAATAATTTAGAGAAACAATATGAAAATATAGGATTAGCCGCACCTTCAAGTAAAGATATCAACACCCCCAATGCTAACAACCATTTCCTGGTTATAGACGAACTGCAATACTTCAAAATAGCAATAACACCCATGAGTTTTTCTTCTTCTTTATCCTCATCAATCGATGCTGATTCCAAATCTTTTAGGATATATGGGTTGGTTTTGTAGTCATAGTTAGTATGAGCTTTTTCTTTTGTCACTTCTGGTTCTTTCACTTCTTCATATGCTTGCGCTTTGTAACTAGTAACAACCTCATCGTTTTTAAATTTGATAAATTCACCTTGATCTTTTACATTACCATGTTCCATAATGATAACAAAATCATCATCTTCAATATTATCATATTCATGAGTGATGAAAATGGTAGTTTTACCATTTCTCCATTTTTTGATTCTTTGAAATAAAACTTGTTTATTTTGATTGTCCAAGGCACTAAAACTTTCATCCATGATTAAAACAGGTGAATCTTTCAAGTATGCTCTTGCAATGGAAATTCTTTGTTGTTGGCCACCAGATAACGACAGACCAGAAACTTTCATATCCAAATCCAAATCCAGCAACAAAGAAAACTTGGCAGCCTTTTCAACTAAATGTCTCGGAATGTCTTCTAAAGTGTCATAGTCATCAATTACTCCAAGTGCAATATTTTCCAATATAGTCTTGTTGTTGAACATTACTGGGTTTTGCTGAAGTAATGTAATATTTTGAGCAATATATTTGGGGTCCAAATACTGTATAGGAATACCATCAATCCGAACTGCACCGCCAATAGTGGGATATAAATTCATTATTATCAACGGAATTGTAGATTTACCAGCACCGGATTTACCAATTATATAATTGAACCTGTTCTGTTGTATTTTAAACGTTACACCTTTTAGAATAATTTCATCACGGGATGGATATTTAAATGTGACATTATCAAATTCAATATTATCAACCGAATACGATGGATAGCATGTGGCTAATTGAGGTTCTTCCTCAGTTTGTAAATATTTCGCAATTTTACCCGCAGCAGCATGGGATGTGTTCAAAACAGCTAACAATGACGTTACTCCAGAAATAGTTTGGCCAAGCATCAAAGTTGAACTAAAAGTCGTAAACAATTGTCCAATTGTAACTCTACCTTTTTGCATTAAGTAAACACCAAACCAAAAACCTTGAACAAACATCATCAATGTCAAGAATTTCAAAACACCAGAATTGGCTGCAATAGCATTGGCAACTTTGTAATAGCTTTTAGCAGATGTATTAACAATATGGTTGAACTTACTCAATTCGATGTACTTACCATTGAATATCCTCACAGAAATAGGGTTCACTAAACACCAGTCCAAAATTTTACTTGCCTGCGACGTGTATTCGTTTTCTTGTTCTTGTGCTTTGTAAGTCAATTTACCAAAATACCAACCGACAACAGCCATAACAGGAGCGCTTGCCATAACAATTAAAGTAATTTGCCAAGATTGATAAAATGACATGATAATCAATGATATTACCAAACCACATGTCTGGACAATATTAGCCATAATTTCACCATTACCAGATCTTAACTCTTCAATACATCTATTAACTTGAGTCATTTCTCCCATTAAATTAGTATTTAAATCATACCATGATGTAGGTTCTTTCAAAATTTTATCAAATATCTCTTCACGGGCCCTGTGTTGTTGGATTTCACCAAATTTCAACCAAATAAACATACCCATCCAAACAAGAATCAATTTTGCACCACCAACACCAATTAAAACACCACACAACCTACCAATTTGATTAATAAATAAATGATAAGATGATCCGTTAATGTAAAATTCAGACAATTGTCCCATAATTTTCCCATATACATAAGTATTAATTGGTGTTGCTGCAGCTGAAGCAGCCATTAATAATACACCCAATATAATTATTGGCCAATCTTTGGATAATTCAACAAACATAAACACATTTTTAGAAACATCAACTTCCAAATTGTCAGCATCTGTTTCTGGAAAGGGTTCTTTTTCGTCAATTTCTGCCTTCATCTTTTTGTAAGTATAATTAGTTTAACAGACAATAAGGAAGAGAACAAAGAAAAAAAAATTCCTGAACTTCAGACAAGTTTCATGATAATTAGAACATTATATAGCTTAATCATAGATTAAGCTTTCAATGGCAAAACAAGGGATGTCATGATGAAACATACTATTTAGTTTCATACTATATAGCATCCCTTGAATGGGAAGGAAGCCCTTGCTGATACCTCAAATGTATGGGTTGCAAAAAGAGAAAAAAGACAATACAACGCTAATATGTTTTTTTTTTTCACTGTTGGCAAAGTTTTGTGAGGAATTACTCTTTTGAGCATCGACAATGAATGAACAAAATACTCTCCCTGACTAATGTAATGTACATTTTAATAACTCTTCTATCTACGGTGATAATAATTGTTCTAAATTTTCAACTTTATTTTCTTCAGCTTGTAATCTGGTAATGGTCTCTTCTTGTTCTTTGATGGTCTTTTCTAATTCACGAAGTTTATTAATTTCATGTACTTGGAAATTGCCAATAATGTAATAATTCAAGAATAAACACCCCACACCAAAAAGACCCACTATAGAAATACTCTTGTGACTTATTGTGTTGAAAAAAGAGTTAATTATTTCACCTAGTATCTCACTGGTAATTTTCGAACGACTGATTAATGTAGGATCTTGATTTTGACACTTTTCCAAAAAATTACAGTCAGCTTCAATTGCTGGTGGTCTATTTGGTGAATCACATTTATTTAACAAATATTGTTTCAGGCATTGGGAAATTTCATCTAGTAATTGAATAGTATAGGATTGAATTTTGAAATTGATATCTGTTTTAAGTGCTGAATATGTTATGTAAATCGCATATAAAAACATTGCAATAACAATCAAGTTAAAAAACAATTGAAAGTATAAGGTCAAAGTATAAGGAGTCATTGGATCTAGAAATACATTATAATGCGATGAAACTGATGAATGAGCCTTGGGTTGCTCTGGTTGTGATGGCAGAATGACAATTTCCTCTGAATTCTTCTTTTGTTTCAGTGGTGAAAACATAGTATAAGCAACATTAACTGGATTCAATTTACCGCTTTCTTTACTTGCCATTTTTAGTTCAGGATGGGTATTTATAATTGAGTCTAATTCTTCTTCTTCTGTTGTAGAAAGGTCATTGGGATTTTGCTCAATTGTTATCTCGTTGACTGTTATGTATTCAGCTGTAGTTTCCCTTGACCTTATAGGTGTTGACACCAGGGTGATTCCTGAAGGTGATATCTCTGAATATTCTTTATTCTCCATAATATGTGATTGCTTGATGTTATAGAATGTCAAAGAAGTTACTGTACTCAATTTTTTTTTTCTTATGTGTGTTTGTGTGAGTAAGACCCTAAAAATTTTCTTTTTGGTGATAGTTCTGTTGGCAGATAGATGTGTTTGTTGGATCAATGGGGTGAATATGACTAAAGATGTGAAAAGAAAAATTACCAAACCAAAGAGATCCACTAAAAACCAGTTAGTCCTTCCGTTTTTGAAACCTTCGTTGAGTAACAAATTACACGTGTTATTTATAGGATTTAATGCTGGAGAGAAATCAGCTTTAAAGCAGCATCGATATGCACATCACACAAACCAGTTCTGGAAATTATTTAATGAGAGCAATTTACTAGAAAAAGTAACAACATCACAGAACATCACAAAAGATGATACACTAGAGAAATTACTACTGCATGGTTGCAAAGCAGTTCATGATTATCATTTAGTTAATTATGGTATTGGATTCACTAGTCTTGTTGAAAGATCTACCAAAAATACTCTGGAGCTAGGAATAACTGAAAAATTAGAAAGTGTACCACGGTTGCTTAAGGAATGGAATGAATCAAATGCTGTTGAAATTGTAATATTAGGAAAAGGCATATGGGATGTTATCGTGACGTTCTTTAGTCGAAAGCTAAACGTTAAATTCAAATTAAATGCTATAGAGTTTAAATGGGGAGAGGTGGGTAAAACTCATGAACATGAAATTTATAATTTGATACTTGATTCTATACATGATTGTATTCCCAAATCAAGTAAGATACATGTATTCCCAGACACTTCAGGATTAGTGCGTCATTTTAAATATGAAGATAAACTAGATTTATGGAAAGATTTTGTACATAGACTATAAATAGACGTTGACATATCATTTGATGAAGACGGCGCGAGCCCTGTGAGTTGGTGTTTGTTCAATCAACCCATGAAAAGTCATCGCGAGCATGAAATTGAAATACAACCTGAAAACTTTCTCCTTCTTCTACAATAGCTCCAGGTTCTATCAACTATGGGAGAAGTGATTAGTTTATCATTTGGACAGGATTCCAATCATATTATAACCCATCTATACAACGCTCAAGAGTCACTAATTCCGTATACACCTGATGCTATAGTTAAACACGATTTACAAGTATTTTTATCAAGATTTAAATCATCTACCTCTACGTCAACTTCATATTCACCAAGAGCTTTAATATATGATCTACGTAATGGATTAGGATCATTAAACAAATATGAATATCATGAATCAATTCCACAATTGAATCTACCTATATTGAATGATCGAAGACCACCTAGTAAAAATGAGTATCAATTAAAATTAGATCAAGGAGTCACTGATGGATCATTGTTAAATACTCAAAATACTACATATTGGACAGATTATAATAAATTGATATATAATCCAAAATCTTTAAATACACTAACAAATTTTATTCAATCTCCTAATTCCAAAGGTCACCATTATAATTTTGATAAATTAAAATTTGACTTCTTTAATATTGGACAGGAAGAATTTAAAGAGAATAATAATGAGGATGACGATAAATTAATAGAAGATTTTAGATATTTCTTAGAGAAAACAGATGTTTTACAAGGACTACAATTGTTTACAAATATAGATGATGCATGGGGTGGTTTCACTAGTGATATGGTATTACATTTAATTGATGAATATTTCAATAATAATAATAAAATGAATTTATGGATTTATGGTATTCTTGATCACACTCAAGGAAATACCATTAAAAATAAAGTATCAAGGATTAAGACATTGGTGGAATTAACTAAACAACTGAGTTTAATGTTTCCAATGGATTTAAACAATTTAAAACAGAATTCTTTGTTGACAGAAAAATTTGATGAAATTTCTTGGTGGCATAAGTCAAGTATACCAGCCATGTTTATTAATTCAATTTGGGGATTGAATAATCAACAAGAAGGTCAAATTAATATGTCACATTTACAAAGTAATATCCTGAAATATAATGATAATCGTAAAATAATAAATGAAATTAAAATTGTTGGAGAAAATGAATCAAACAATAGTGATATGATTATGCAAGATATTGATATTACAAAATTTGATTTCAGTACTTTGGGAAATAAAACAAAATCAGAAGAAATCAATTTAGGTGTTTCGAAATCAACCAATCCAAGAAACTTTGTAAAGAATTATATCAGATCTAATAAACTTGAGATTGATGAAGAAGAAGAAGAAGAAGACACATATGAGTATGTCAACCCATATATTAACATTATACTCGATGTTGATACATTCCCAGTGGATATATTATCTTCAGGAAAGAAGACAAAGTTTTATGCTGAATTCAATATGCACGAGGGATTGAAGACATATCTTAAACCATATGAGAAACTTATTTACAACATCCGTAATCAATTTGAGGATATAGTCGAAGATAAAAACGAGTTGTTAGAAGATTTGAGTAACATTATTCAAGAATACTCATATGGTTACGAATCTGATGAAGATTACGAATAATTGTATTATTTTTTTTTTTTATTTACAAAATTGTTCTATAGAATCTAGATAGTTTTTTCAACCAAGTAAATACCATATTTATCTTTCAATTCTTTCATGATTGGATCGTTAATATCAGAGGTCATTGGTGCCAACAAACCTTTCTTGGATAAAGTACCATTCAAGATTTGTTTAGTAGCAACGGCACATGGAACACCAACCAATTTAGCCATAGAAGAGTAACCCTTTGGATCACCATAATCAACCAAAGTAGAAGTTCTAGTTTCTTTAGAACCATCTTTCCATTCAATACCAAATTTATGTTGCAAGATAACTAAATCTCTTTCACCTTCTTCGTATTGCATCAATGCTTCCAAAGTAGCACATAATGTATCTAATGGGTTACCTCTTGGAGTAATTGGCTTGTCAGATAATAAACCTAACCATTTGAAACCAGCCAAGATTCTTTCTTGATCTTCTGGTGATTTGAATTTAGTCAATTCATTGATTCTAGAAACAAGATCAGCTTCAGATTCAGATTTTGCGCCAATCAATTCAGCAGTAGCTTTGTTCCATGGACCTTCTTTAGAGAAAACTTCCATTGAATCATCCTTCAAGAAACCGGTATCAACGAAAACTTTGATGAATTCTGGGAAACCTTGGAATCTCAAAGTACCTCTAATAACAGTTTGAGCTTCTGGAATGTTATATAATTCTTTATAAGTGGTAGAATCTCTGTTTGGATAACAAACCAAGGCGTAACCTGGGTAAATGAAATATGGTTTAGCACTAGCCATCAAATCTTCACTTGAAACTTCAACAACTTTACCATCTTGCCAATATTTAGCTTGGTTTCTTAAAGCTAATAAAACACCTCTTGAACTCCAAGAGAATTTATAACCCAATGGATTGTCAGAATCTTCTGGAGCTGGTAAACCACCACAGTATGACAAGAAGGAAACAATTTTACCGCCAGCAGCATGAACTTCTTCAATAGTTTTAACAGCATACAAGTGATCAATACCTGGATCCAAACCAATTTCGTTCATAACAGTGATACCAGCATCTTCAATTTCTTTTTCCAAAGCTTTCAATTGTGGGTTAATGTATGAAGTGGTAACAACATTCTTTTTGTTTTTAATGGCAGATTTGACAACTAAAACATGGTAAGTGTATGGAATCAAGGAAATAACCAAATCATGAGCAGCAACTTGTTCATCTAAAGCAGCTTCATTGGTAACATCAAGGGAAATTGCTTTAGCATTATCACCAGCTAATTCTTTAGCTTTAGATAAAGTTCTACAAGCAACAGTAACTTCAACATTTGGTTGTTCAGATAAGATATCAACGGTTGGTTTGGCAACGAAACCAGAACCTAACAAAAGAACTTTTTGGACCATTATAAAATCAATGAATTGAATATAATTAAAGAAACGAAAAAAGAAGAAGAAAGAAAGAAAGAAAGAAAAAAGTGAACAGAGTTTTCTTTAAATGAATTGTGATTCTGTGAATATTGGAGAGTGAGAGAAATTTTTCACTTATCGCTCCGCTCCGTCAACGCGGCAATTATTTAGTGGAGTGTCCCAATTAGGAAATTTAACCAGAGAAGGGCAATTTGAAAAAGAATGAGTCAACAGAAGAAAAAAAAATTCTTGCTAAGTACACTAACTTACGCTTAAATTTCCATTTTGGGATTGGTACCACAGGTCGTGCAAGGGTAAATATCAATCAGCCATAAAATCGTATATAAACTTATACTATTTCTTTAATATTATCTACAGTACCAACTTATTCATCACTAGCATGTTGAATTTCATTGTTATGATCATGGATTTTTAAATTCGTATGGAATCTTTCGGGCCCCATGAAGATAATCACTAAAATACTGGTGAAAACAACACCACAGAAGATACACATGCAATAACTGTAAGTATCCCTTCAAACAATGCCGACATTAGTGTACCATGCCAGTACCCGCCAACAGTTTCCCCTTCGATTGATGTAACAATAACTACAGTTATCTAGTTCAATGCCGTTTGGTAATGATTCATCAACACGGTGGCTTACAAATTGTGAAAATAAAAGATCCAAATAGCAAATAACAACATCAAATAAATAATCATGAACCCTTCAATATCAGTATCAAATTAACGTATTGTATTTATGCCACATCCCTACTTGAACTACCCAACTGTGGGTTTGACGGGATACGAAATATATTCTGACATGGTTGTTATGTGTCAATTTTAATCATAGTTGCTGGAGACGTGTACCGAAAGAAGTTGAAAAACAAGAAACTGCGATAGTATGGGTACGTTTGTAGTGAATAAGTCCATTCTTTTTTAATATATTAGGGGCATTTTCTTCTTAGTGACCGTGACCAGTCATTTAAAAACAACAAGCATCTAACAATGATCATATTTGTAACATGTAAAAGAATCATTTATTCATTAATAGATATATATAAAAAAAGAATACATAAAATAATAACTAGACTTTCTCTCTAACACTGTCAACAGTACTAGAAGATTCATCTTCAACTTGTTGAATTTCATCATCATGAATTCTTAAATTCTTATGGAATCTTTCAGGACCCAAGAAAATAATAAACAACATGTAAGCGAAAACAGCACCACAGAAGATACACATAACTTTCCCATAATCATACATTCCTGGTTCACCAAGAGGGAAATTTTCACCAATTCTAGCTTCAATTGTGGCACTTGCTGAAGAAATTAAATTACCTAATTGATAAGCAACACCAGATAATAAAGTTCTATGGGTAGAATTAACTAATTCTAAAAGATATGCTGGACCAACACTGAAGGAAGCATATACTGCACCAATTAAGAAAATATAAGCTGGCCAATTTTGATCGGCATTAAAAAATGAAGGATAAAGGAATGCACCAGCAACAACCATACTCACCATAACAGTTAATCGTCTACCTAATAATTCAGACATTTGACCCATTATAATACCACCCACAATGGCACCAATATTACTTGTGACGATAATAACTGTTCTTTTATCAATTCCAATATGATATTGATTTTTCAATAATGTAACATATAAATCTTGTGAACCATGAGTAGTAAAATTCCAACCAGCATATAACAAAACTAAATAAGTAAACATTAACCATTCAGTTTTCAAAGTAACTATAATTGAATAATCGAATTTTTGCCAGAATTTTTTCTTTTTATTTGGATCATCTTGATTTTTAAGTTGTTCATTAAATCTTTTCTTTTTATTTTTCATATTGATGAAATCTGGAGATTCTGGAGATAAAAGACGCCAAACAATTAGTATAACAGATAATCCAGCTGAAAACCAAAGTAATGAACGCCATCCTTCACCATCTTTATAAGTAGTGATGAATAATCTATACCAAGCCATTGCTAAAATATAACCAAATGTATAACCTGGTAAGAATAAACCCAGCAATACTGATCTTGCTTCAACAGGTTGACTTTCTAAAGCAGTAACCATACTAATTGGATACATAGCACCCATAAGAATACCAAATACGGCTCTAACACCTAAAAATTGTTGATAAGTTTGAACAAATCCAGTTCCAATTTCAACAACACAGAATAATGCACATATAATAATATAAGTCCATTTTCTACCAAAATAATCAGAAGCAATACCAAAAATTAAAGCACCAACGGATCTCAACATTAAAACTAATGTAACACCCCAAGTAACATCAGTAACACTTATATTTAAAGTAAGAGCAATTTCAGGAGCAGCAACAGAAACACAAAAGAAATCCATAGCATCTAAAGCCCAAGCAAAGAATCCTAAGCCATAAAAATTCCAATCAGAAGCAGTCATTAATTTCAAACCAGGAATAGGATTGATCACTTGATACCATCTTTTATCAGTATGATATAATGGTAAATCTAATAAAGTAGTTAATCTAGTTGCAAAATAATGACGAATTGAAGCCATTGAAAGATCAGGCTTTTCATTAAATAATTCATCATCATATTCTGTATTATTATTATTATTATTGAATTGATCATCATTTGAGTTTAATTCATAGTTGTAACTATCTTGACTTCCCAAACGGTCAAGATCATTTGAATTGGCACGAGAAATGTGTTCAACTTCTGGTTTTTTATCCATGGTTGGTAGTAATGGTGTTTGTATTAGTTATGTCTTCTACAAAAGTCAAGGTGTAAGAACAGGAAGGAAATTAAGGTGATTATATACTTTTGAAATAACAGTATCGATTCTAGTTAGTTGCTGTTGTTCCTCTTACTCTTGATACCAGTTACCACTAAACCTAAATTTTTGTGGGGTTGCAAAATATAAGAAGTTAGTAATCACAAAAAGAGTAAAAAAAAAAAATGTCCGTAAAATGAATTTGCTATTATCCCGGACTCCAATAACCATATAGAAAGGTATTAGTGGTAATAATCCAAAGGGGAAAAGTTGGGATAATTCACAAAAGTGGGAAAAATTCAGTGTCTTTGTGGAGGAGGAAGGGGAGGAAGAGGAAGAGGAGGAGTAGTAGATAGAAAAAGGGTAATAACCACATGGACAAGGCATTTAATTGACGTAAGAATAAGAGATAAATAGCTTATGGTTTAAGTATGACTGCATGTTGTGGGAATAATAACCCACCACTTTAAAGGTTGCATGAAGTTTAATTGGGGGATACCTCCCCATTGTTTATTATTATTGCGAATCGTTGTGCAGCCATGTCCAAAACCAAGTCTGCCGCGTGAATTAAATAATTTGTGGGGAAGAACACAAGGAGGAACAATATACCTGAATATAACAGCAACAGTGGTTCCTCTTTTTGCTGATAAGGCATTTTATCTATCACAACAGCTGATTAATGATAGCCTTCTCTCCTCTTATTCAGACAGTCAGATGATGCGTTATTGGTTAATAATATTAGTAAGAGTATCAAATGGCTGAATTACCTATAACTATTTGTGTGTCGTCTGTCAAATGAAAATAGTTCTATTTTATCTTAACTTGAAATTTGAATTCAAAAATATCCCGTATAAATGATTTTAGACATATTACTGTCCCCACATTTGTGTTTGGAACAATGTGTTTTTCCATTATCAGAATTGAATTGCCTTTTAGATTCAACTACCCACAGAAGGAAAACATTAAAATTCTCCGAATATTTTTGCGGTGTCAAAGAAGGAATAATTTTAAGTCGGCGTTCCGCGAGACATGAAACAAATAGAAAAATGGGCCAAGAATTTATCACGATACGTTTGATAGACACATAGATAGACAGTATGATTCATTGATTGCTTGATTGATGAGCTGGAGCATTCCCACCAGTTTAAATTGGTAGATGCTATGAGATCAAGGCACCATTAACATACTAGGCTTAGTAATTAACAATGAATGATTCACCACTCGAATATTTCTAATGGTTTAATAATAATATTTCTACTTTAGTGGGGATATATCTTTTTTATTTTGCAGTTGCATTGTTATTCCATTGTCGAATACAGGGGGAAGAGGCTTTTAGTCAGATGATAATACGGAGGTATACTTTCACAATTCTGGATAATTTTACTACTCTTGTAATACATTCTCCCCACTTCTGATCTAATTCTAGAATAATAACCGATGGTAAAACTATTAACCGGTTTATCGTACTCTGTATGATCTACATTTATAATTGAACATAGAGATCTTCCCCAACTCTTTTCTTGAGTCATTCAGTGGGACAATGAAAACAAGACTCCTGGAGATTAGCTACAACTCCCGGAGTTCAACAAGTAATCCACCTTTTAAATATATAAAAATGAATACCCCTCCTCCTTGTTCAACAAAAATTGTTGATAAGTTATTCTTTGCTCTCGTTTATCTACAATCATGTGATGACCAATCACGTGTTAATACTCGCTTATATAACAACACGTGGCAGCAATTGAAAAAAAAAAATTTTCACATGCAAATTTGAAACATACACACACACGGTATATTTTTTTTGGGTTGAGTTGTAAATTTCTTAGCTTACATAATACACCCAACCACTCTCCACCAATAAACCCATTGTATCATAATAATAATTACCATCATCATCATTACCGACAATTATTGATTGTTCTGTTGATTCTTTTTGTTCAAGTGAAAAATTTCCTATCAATTGATTCATCACTTTCTTTTGTTTTTTTTTCTTTTTCTTTTTGATTAAATAAATTTCGTTTCATTGAATAAAGTTATCTATCACGATCTAACTAACTAACTAAGTGTTGAGTAACAATGTCATCCGTTTCACTCATTAATGAATTGACTACTTTAAGTCAAGATATAACTTATTTAATTCAAAATTTCACTCATTATATTAAATTAGATAATGAATTATATTATGCTATTGGATGTATTTCATTTAATCCAATTTTTTGGAATATTGTAGCTAGATTTGAATATAATACTCATTTTTTAACTAAAATTACTGGACTGGCTAAAAATGGATGTTATTTATTAGCAGCTATTATATTTTCATTAGGTATTTATAGAGATCATGTTTATCATCAAGAATTATTAAATCAACCTACTTTTCAACCGTTTATTGATTCTTTAATTATTAAATCTTTAGCTATTTTAACTTTTGGATTTGGTAATATTTTAGTTATTTCTTCAATGTGGGCATTAGGTGTTACTGGTACTTATTTAGGTGATTATTTTGGTATTTTAATGAATGAAAGAGTAACTGGGTTCCCATTTAATATTAATGATAATCCAATGTATAATGGAAGTACTTTATGTTTCTTGGGTACTGCTTTATGGTATGGTAAACCAACTGGAATTTTAGTTACTTTGTTTGTTTTTATCATGTATAAAATTGCTTTGTTATTTGAAGAACCTTTCACTGCTAAGATTTATGCCAATAGACAAAAATTGGATTAATTTATTGATGATAATGGTTGGTTGTTTTAAATTATGTACTTCAACATGTATATAGATTATCATTATTTGGCTAAAATATCTGAACATTTAACATGTTATGAATTGATTGAAGAAATATATATATATATATAAATGTATAAACTCAAATAAAAAATTACACCTAAAAAAAAAAAATGAATGCCAAATATAAATGTAATGAACAATAACTAATATGTAAATAAAAAAGAAAATGAACTCCCTGAATATGACAGATGATATTTCTCCTATCTGCCTGCTCCCCCAAATAATAACAATAAATCATAACCAATATATATATATATAAAACAAAAAAAAAAAAAATTAGAAGAAAAACATCGTGTTACAAAAAAACCTGTGTGTAATCACATTAATCAACCAACAAAATCATATAAAATCAAAAGTGCCGGAATCAACAACGTGATTATCAACGTGTCGAAGTGACAAAGATTGAAATTTTTCTGAAGATTTATGATAATACAACCCACTAATTCCTCCTGGCATTAATCCATTGTATTTCTTTGATAAATCATTGGAATTGTTACTATATCCACCAATATTCAATACAATATAATAAAACCCTTCAAATGATGCACCGGTAATTTGTTTAATTCTTGAATCTGGTAATAAAAATTCCTCTTTCCATCTCATATAAATATATTGATCATCTTCTTCACCACGTTGAACTTTTTCTAAACGTTTAATCAATTTATCATCGGATAAAAATGTAGTTGATTGAGTCAATTTCTTCCAATGTTCAAAATCATTTTTAGCAAATGACCCCCATTGTTTGTTTTCTGTTATGAATGAATATTTTTGAACTGAAGGCTCTTCATAAGTATTAGAATTGGTATTTCTCCACTTGAATGAATGTAATGGATTATTTATAATTTCTCCTTTGAAATATGTAGTAATTTCTGAATTTTCATCAGTTAACCCACTAATTTGTAAAAAACCAGTAACTACAGAATTAAATAAATCAACTGTTTTAAATTCAACTTTAATATGGAAACTTGATTTACCTGATTGTTGTTCCCCAATAAATTGGGCATTTGGTTGTAAGTAAATGCTATTGAATGAAGGAATTCTATTCGTTTGACCATGATGATGATATCTATACTGATCAAAATAATCCAAAGAGTATCTCTTCTTCTTATGATGATTTATAGATAATTTATTATGTAAAGGAACTTCCACAGATGATCCGACATGATTAGATGGTGTATTGGTATTTGCGGATGCTGATTGATTAGTAGAATTATTTAATCTTGAAGATACTACAGGACATGATTGGTTATGTTGTTTATGTTTTGGATACAATCCATTATCGTCATACTCATCATCATCATAATCATCATTGGTGGTGTATTCGTCAGATGCAAACAATTGTTGGTGTGTGCGTGTGCTAATTTTTGTCTTGCTGTTGAGTAAATTTGTGCCATAAAAACTGGAGTTATCGGTATTCTTGTTCAATTCATCATCCGACACGAAATCTTTATCTTTCTGTTGTTGTAATTGTTGTAACTTGTTGAAGAGTTGTTGTTGTTGTTCTTGAGTGGTAAGACTATCTATGAGACTATTAGTTGAATCCAAATTATCATGATTACTACTATTCAGCTGATTAGATTGTTGCTGTTGCTGTTGTTGTTGCACTTGATTATGTGCTGCTTGTTCTTGTAGTTTCTTGTTAATTTCTGTGACTGGCATTATGGATTAGTTGAATAACTAAAGGATGATGTATAAGTAATAAGATCAAACTGAATGAGAATGGAAACACGTATGATCTGATAACGTAAAAATAGAAAAGAAGAATAGTATTTCAAAAAAAAGAAAAATAAAAAAGATGTGATCAATTTTTTCTCCTTCTATATAAGTGAATGAGTGAGTGAGTGGGCTGAATTGTGTTTCATTATAAATAACTCACCAAAAAAAAGAAAATGAAAAATTGGGATCACTCGCACGAACAAAATTATTAGTCGATTGTGGTGGTGAGAAAAGAGGGGAGAGGGGGAGGAAGATGGCTGATATTATGTAATCACATCCCATCGCAAGATTAGAATGTAATCCTGTTAACGGAACCTAGATCGGAAATAATACTAATTAACACTTACCGATATCATATTCTACTTCAACATTCATAAGTATGGGTAAGTCATGGCCTTTTTTGTTTTATTTTGTTTTCATGATCATTACTGGTTAAAGCGTTACAAGATCAAATTGTTAATCTTTATAATACGTTGATCTCCTATTGTACTATATAATTTTTCTCTTAATTAAGGGCTCAACAACCAAGATGATGTGATTTTAATTCTATACATTTCTCTGATTTTTAGATATACGATTGGTTTCTCTTACAAAAAACAAAATGTGTTTTATAAATTTCTGATCGTTAAAGGCATAAAACCTTACGTGATAACAAAAAAAAACATATACACACTACTACAGGGATATAAACGAATATATTACCTGTTGTAGTAAATATCTATTTTACAACCCATTATACACATGTCAATATCATCATCATTATCATCATCATCATCAGACTCAAGTGTCAAATTGTTTCCTTTCTTCCATTTATCAACTCGAGAGTTAAAAAAAATTAAACGAACCATATCGGCATTTGATTGAAAAAGAAACTTAGCATTGACAGGGGTGTGCAGTATCTGTTGAAGAATGGATCAAATTCTCATCTGTGATTGGATCTATAAACTATAAAATAATCGTATACACCCGAATTCCACTTCTTCTTTTGCATTCGGAGTTGGTATAACCACCACCAAGTAATTCCCGATGTTCTGTTCTCGACCGATTTCTACGCCGAGTGTGTGAGTCCGTCATTGGCTTAATTTTTTTTTTCTTCTGCGTCCGCTTCATACGCGTCGTATTAATCTTTGTACCACACGAGGTCGAGTCGTGTACCTATGGGGAATTAATTGTTGGTCATGAGGCGTCAAAAGTTATTACTTTTTTTTTCGTTTGTTTCAGTTTAGTTTAGTTTGTCTCCACAACGATAAATCCATAGGTACACCATTCAGATACAACAATGGATATAGATAGTCAACAAGAAATAAATTCACCTCCTACTCCAATTCATCCTGCTCCTAATGAAGAATTAACCAATGATTTACCAACTGGGATAATAGCAGATTCAAACATAGATTTAAATCCAGATTTATACGATGATGATGATGATGATGATGATGATGATGATGATGTTCAGGAACAAGAACAAAAGCAACTGATTGAACAGAATGAACATGTTACAATGCCTTATATTCAACAACTACAGCATCAAGACGCGACTGTTTCAGTATCTGCATCAGCTACAGAATCTGAATTAGAAGATGTTGATATAACTCAATTACAACAAATTACATTACCTTTTAATGAATCATATCAATTACTTAAAATAAGTTTTGAAAATTCAACTAATAATAATGGAAATATAACCACTGGCCAACAATCCAAATTTATAAATTATCTTGATGAAATATTATTACAAATTCAAAGAAAGTATATTAAACAAAAAACTGAATCAGTGATGATTTATTCATTAATTGAATTATTACAAGATTTATCAAATGTAATTAATTTAATTTGGGTTTCAATTCAACAAAAACTGGTTTTATTTGGACAAATTGAATATTATATTAAAATATTAGGAGATTTAGAAGATTACGTATCGAATTATCCTCATTTATTTAATGAATCTTGGTCAACAGGAAGTGGTTCACATCGTCATTTACAAATAGATATGCAAAATTTAGTAATTTTCTTTAAATTTTGGCAAAAAATTGATTTACAATTAAGTTTTTTAATCGATGGTTATAATGTTGATATAAATGGGAATGGTAAATTGATGAAGATGAATACAACTGAAATAACAAGATTATTACCTATTATTTCAAGATTAAGAATATTGATAATTTCCAAGATTGATATGATTAGAGGTAAATTGAAACATGGTGATGACCATGATGATAATATTCTAAACATATTTGAAGTTGAAATAAGTCGAATATTTGAAGGTGTTTTGGAAAGAACTTGATGATTGTATATGTAAATAGTATTATTTTGTATAGGGAATGTAATAAAACGTTGATATTGCAAAAATGCGGGTTTCATCAAACACTCAAATCGAAAAAAAAAAAATCTTCTAGCAATAAAATCTCTTTTTGTATTGAAATAGACTATCCTTGTTACAACAACTATGTGGCCATTTACTAAATCATCAGATGACTCAAATGCTAAAGAAGATATAACGAAAGAATTACCAGCAGATTTGCAATTAGTTTTCCAAAGAGAAGCTACATCATCATTAGATGGTTCAAAATTTATACCTGAAAGATATGCAAAAATAGTTGAATCAAAACTTGAATCATTACCAGAACAACAAATTACATCAGAAGATAAACTTGAATTTGAAAATTATAAAATTGAATATTCTATTAAATCAGTTAAACAAATAAATTGTTCAGAAATTGAAAATTATCTATTAGAATGTAATAAACATCCATGGTATAAATTTTGGGCAATTCCAAATTTAAAAGTTTCTAAAGATTTGAAAAAATGTGAAAATTTAACTGTTGATGGTTTGAAATTTTTAAATTATGATAAATGTTATAATATTAAACATTGTGATTTTATAAGATATCATTTAGATAAAATTTATACTAAAAATTTTGGTGATTTGGGTGAAAATGTTAATGATGAAACTAGTAATTTATATTATAAAGATTTACATGAATTATTCTATAAAGTATGGAAATAATTAATCTAAATTAATTAAATATTATGAACCATTTCTTGCCATAATTCAAGTTTTTCTGCAAATGTTAAACTTGCTACTAATCCTGACGTATTTGGGAAAACATATAATTTAGTAGTTTTAGATAATTCCTTGTATATAGACTCAACAATTAAATTATAATTTTTATCATATCCAGTATGATTATCATCCTCTTTTTTACTCTTTTGTAATCCCCATTTGAAATTATCTTTATTAAGTTTTACTTTAATATCTAATTCATTTGATAAATATTTAACTATGACTTCCCAAATACCTTTACCAATAATAACTATATTTTCAACATTACTATCTTTAAATTCTTGTAATAATCTAGGAACATTTTCTAATTTTTCTTCATTTGATAATTGTTCAGCTTTAGCAGTACATCTTAATACTAAATCAGTAAATCCAATATTATAATCAAGTAATTCAAAATCATTCTTAGCACTACATCCATTCTTAATTAATTGTTTCAAAAATTCATCATTTTCAATATTTAAATCATCAATTTTAATAATTTTTTCAAGAATTTTACTTTGATTAAATAATTTCCAAAATAAATTCGAATGATGTGCATAATGATGTTGTTGAATTGATGATTCTACTCCAGGATTAAATCCAATGAATAATACTTTAAGTTTTGAATTTATAGATTGTCTTAAATCCGGTAGGTCTTTTGTAATGTTTTTCCGTTTGTTGATAATCTTTGGTTTGGTTATCTTACTCTTGGAATCTTCATATCGAAATGATTCTAATTTGGATAATTTGTTGTTTGTCATTTGACTAGTACGTTAATTGATTGAAATGATTATCAATTTAATTTTTCTTTTTGTATTGCATTGCATTGCTTGGTCGTGTCCTAATACCGTCGTGTCTCGCAGAAAAGTAGATCTATAAATATGGGGTATCTCTGACACACCTTTCAATCAACAGAGGCTCATACTACCTATTTAAATGGGAGGTAATTGTTAGCTAGAGATATTTCTGTCAACCCTCTTTATTGTAAAATTACCTTGATGTGTGTGTGTGTGTGTGTGTGTGTGGGGAGGGGAGGTTGTTTACATTTCTGGGAGACTAAAGAGATCATTGAACTAAAACCAAAAGGCAATTCAGAGAACCTCTCCTAACAATAACCAATTAATATTTGTCTAATTATTATTACTTCTTTTAGAGATACAAGACATATAATCAAGAATTACAACATGTAGATGAAATGTGTGTTACATCAAGAGTTCGCGTGATATCTTCGCCACGACATGTTAATAAATGACTCTAAATTTTTAAATAAGCTTTGACTTTTCTTCTTTTTTAGATAGAGATCCTCTATCAATATATCGTCTGTTCTTTATGACACTTTAAACAGATGATGAATAGTTTTGATTGATATCTCACGTGAACTACCCCCATTTTTTCCTAATTTTTGTGTAATTTGTTTAATTTCGCAATGAGAAGTTTAGTTTTTTTAATTCAAGCATTGTAAATTCATCCAATACTAAAAATTATAATAGGACGTGGTAATTATTTCACTATTTTGTGGTAACATTGAAATAGCAACTTAATGCATTATGTTTAGAAAGAAGAACCCCGTAGTAAATTTCTTATTCGAATCTAGTGGTGGAAAAAAAAAAAGAACAACAACATCATCAACTTTCTTTATTCCATGAATCAACACGTTCTAATGATTAATTATAAATATAAAGCAAAGTTCCCATTCTATTTAATACTTATATTCTTAATAACATTATTCACATTAATTACAATTACAATAAATTTAAATTATGAACAACTACAAGAATTTAATTTTATAACTTCCAAACAACAAATTGATCCTTATAGGAAAACAATTATCTTTCCAAATAGTTTCCATTTACCTGATTCAAAACTTAAAGATTACTACATTGATACATTACAGCAAACATTAGATTCAAATGATGTTTTAATCAAAAATAAAGTATTGTTTAAACCATCAATAGGAGGTATACCTTATTCATCACAAGAAATTCAATTATTTAATGCTACAAATAATAATAATAATCAAGAATGTTCTGAATCATCATCAAAGATAAAAGTAGATATAAGTCCAGCATATAATAAAAATACAAATATTACAAGAATAATTGAAAATTTTATAAATGAAAATAATTCATATTATAATGAATTAAAACCATTTTTTCCAGAAATTGAAAATCAATTAAATCAAGGAATTATTGAAAATTATTGGTTTCAACTTATCGGAAGTTCAATTTGGTTAAAAGAATATGGTATAAATTTAATGATTTCAAGAATTGTTTATTCAAGTAAACAAAATCATGGATTTCCTCAATTTTCTTTAAGTTATCTTCAAATTTATGATAATGAATGGAATGAATTAAATAATATAGAATTAATTGTACCTACAGATAATGATGGAGATGACGAGAACAAAAAGTTTAAAATAATGAAGTATCCTAGTATATCACCGATTCCTATATATCATAATATTAGAGATTATTCAATTGGTAAACCTATTGGAATTGAAGATCCAAGAATTCAATTAATTAAAAATGAAAAAGGATTTGAAGAACCTATAATTATATTTAATTCACAACATTATAAAATCAATAAAGAAAAATCTAAACCAGGACAAGAGTTAAAATACGATAAAAATAGATCAATTTTCATTGGATGGTTATGGAAGAATCAAAAGGGGAAATTTAATGTTGAAGAAATATCAAATTCAAAATATGATAATTTTGAATATATTAAAATTAAACATATGGAATTACCTAATGATGAACAATCAGGAGTTGAAAAAAATTGGTCATTAATGATAAATAATCAAGATAGATTAACTTTTGGATATGATAAGTATATATATTTTGTTTATCAATTTCTTAATTTGAAAATATTGAAATGTTCACTTCAAGATGATGATACAACATGTGAATGGGAATATAAAGCAAATGAATCTAAAGAAGTTGGATTATTCCATGGGGGCACAGAATTAATCAATATAAATCAAATCATAGAAGAAGATAACAATCCAAATAAACAATTAATGAAATTACAACAGAATATACCTAAAGGAAGAGAAATTTGGATTGGATTTGCAAGAGCAGTATTATTGCATTGTGGATGTGGTAGTACTATGTATAGACCAAATTTAGTTATAATTATGAAAGATAAATCAAATTATAAATTAGCTTATGTTTCATCCTTTTCAGATTTAGGTATTGAAATATTACCATGGTATAAAAATGGCAAGTTATGTGATGTTAAAAATTTAATTATTCCTAATGGGATTTCTTCATGGACAATTGATTCTAATCCAAAAGGTAATATTATTGATACCATGTCATTTACAATAACAAGAAGAGATGCTACTGTTGATTTGGTATTTATGAAAGGATTATTAACTGCTGTATTGTTTGACTCAAATATGAGATTATTTGAGGAAGACCATGAAAATCAAATTGGGTTTAAATCTAATCATAATATCAATTGTGCATTGGCTGAATCAATGAATTTTTGTAAGAAATATGGTAAATTACATAAAGATTAACAAGATGATGATCCACGTGATGACTACTCACATGATAACATTATAAGTTAAACTTGCAATGGTTATGTATTAGTAATAGTAGTGATGTTGTGTGTATAAAAAAAAATAGGAGAAGTAAAACGGGTATTTAAAAACTGAAAAATCATGTGACGCGTCTTGGTGTCAAAACTTACGTAATCAACGCGGTATTGGAGTTGGTTGTCACAAATTGTAAAATACACTTTAGAAACAGAAACAGAGAAACAGAGAAAAAAACTTTAAAGGGAAACAACAAACAACAAACAACTTTCCTCACAACTGTAACAGCAAAAAAAAAAAACAACAAACTGTTCTGTTCTGAACTGTACATCACCATAGTCTTAGATTCAACTTGTATATTCCATACACTTAGACTATTACTACTATTATTATTAATACCACATCTTCAATGGCAGAAGTTGACCAACAATCTACTACTCCTGTAGAATCCATTCAAACAGATATCTCCAATGAAACAAAAATTGGTCTGGGTATGGGTCCTGCGGGTCAAGATATCAATGATAAATCATTATCTTTACTGGTTGATGAAGTTATCAATCTGACAAGTATATCAGCTAAATCTGATTCTATTTCTTCATTATCTTCGATAAACACTACAAATACAACAAACAATATTATTGAAAGCTTACAATCAACTAAAATTATTGATGATGAGGAGAAGGACCAAACCGCATCTGCCGTTGCAGAAACATCAACTTCTTCAAATAACAACAACAACAACAATGTCTCCACCACAAGTTATACATCCACTCCAGATCAACAACCAAATTTAATTATTAAACAAATAGACCCCGAAACTTTAAATACCACAACAAACTCTCCAAAATTACCAAAATCAGTGGCATCAAAAACAAATTTTTTCAATGATTTATCACAACAATCAGTAGAAATTATGACACCAACATCTCCAAATGCAAATATTTCTTCAACTTCACCATTACCTAAAAAAGCTGTTAAATTTACTGTTCGTAAAGTTTCTCATGAAGCTATCATATCGCCAACTTCATCTCCAAATTTAGCAGGTAATGGTGGTAATGGTAGTGGTGTTGGTGCAGGTTTTGGAAAATCACCTAGAGTTGCATCTCATTCACGTTCCCATTCACATCCCGAAATGGGTGCATCGAATAAAAATATGTCACCACCAACATCATTTATTGCACAAACCGTATCATCAACTGAAGATGAACGTCATAAACAAGAATTGATCAAATTGGAAAAAGCACAAGCTAAATATGAACAATATGGAGCAAGGATAACAAAAATTGATAAAGAAATTAATTTTTTAACTCAATTGTTACCACCTTATAATGTTGAAGTTGATTATAATACAAGAGTTAAAATAACTAAAGCAATTGAAAAATTACGAATGAAACAAGATGAGATTGATAAGAGAAAATATGACTTGGGTATTACTATTAGTAGATTATGGAGACATTTAGATGATGGTAGTAATATTTGGGTTAGAAAAGGTGAGTAACTTACTGTCTATTGGATGATTTGTTTTTTTTACCTTTTTTTTTTTGTTGGATTTAGATTCAGGTAGTTATTTTGATTATGTATTATGAATATATTTATTGTAAATAATAGGATGTGTGACTGAACTAAATCTATGATATGTGGGTAGTAGATTTAAGATGTAGATATAAGATTTGTCTTTTGTGTATATGTCCAAATTTAATAAGAGACGCCTTACATGTTTAGTTTATTCACCTCTGTATGAGTTCATGACGGTGCTACTTTCATAAAATGGACGTATTTCTCCTATTAGACAAAGCTAACTTGTTTCAACATCATATCAATGAGGTGTCTATGTTGTGGGGGAATCAACATTCCTGAATGCTTTTGTTTTTTTTTTACTATTTCATGCAATAGATCTGCAAAATCTTACTAAAAAAGTAATGAAATCTAAAGGGACTTTTATGTACTACATTATCAACAATACTAATTCAGCAACAAGAAAGTAACCCCTGTTAGATGTAGATGTTTATCAATTACTAAATACTAAGAAAGGACCATCGACGATTGGAAATAAGCAGATTATGTTGTAGGTGAAGATTCTCTTTTTTTTTTACTTTTACGCACTATAGTTATTACGTCATTCGGGTTTATCTCTCGTATGTTTAAAAATACCATAAATAGAACATTCCGAACTAAATTACCAACATACATTACTCTTTAATTCTAACTTACGAGAATAATCAATTGAATGTAATTGAATTCATTTTGAAATACCGTTGACGATATTTAAATCATCATCAACATCATCAGAATTGTATGTCCTTCAAGATTGTTTGTCTCACACACAATCTTGTACACAATTAAACTTTTTTATTTTTTAAATTGAGATCAAAGAAGAAAGAAGGAAAAGAGGAAGCGGCTGTACACATAATTGTTTTCGGTTTGTAATTGTTTTGTAAATTGGGGGAAAGAATAAGAAATACTAACAGGAAAGATAATGATGTAAGAACAACTGTGAATCTTTGGAGATCTAATTATTAAATACAGACGATACACCAATGATTAATGGGCATAGTAAATGAGGAGGTGGAAGTGGTGGTGAGATTGTGTTGTAAAAAAAAAAAAAAATCAGTCGGAGATGCGTCCAATTTAAACAACACCAAAAAGGATTAAATTAAATTACAGCGAGAAATTAGATTTTTGCTTTGTTTTTAACCCGCAACTATACTGTCACTTCAACCACTTCAACTAGTAGAACCATTACAACTAGTACAGTTAGTTCTACTCAATCTAAACAGACACACAGATAGAGAAAAAGAGAAAATCTTAATTTCCTTTTCCCCCATTCCATTTGGTAGTTCTCTCTTTTTTTTGTTTTGTTCGACCTCTAATTTCTCCTCTGATTTCTTTGTTTTCTCTGACCCCCCTTTTTTTTTTGTCCGCTTGTTTTACAACTCAATTAATTTAGGGACAACCAATAGACAACCAATTTTACCATTAAATTTTATTGGTCTTAATTCCACTCGATCAACTGTTCTTATTACAACTTTAGTATTGAATCATACATCGAATAAAGAGATCTATCATCCAATACTCAAATAAAATCTTTTGCTTATAACACAAGCGCTTGAATTATTTATTATTTATTTTTTTTGGTTTAGCTTCCCTTGGTTGATGGGAAAGTTGGAAAATATAAAATAGAGAAGAAGAAGAAGAAGAAGAGAAAAAAAAAATTACACCAACATTAATTAAAACAAAGACAAGAACAACTACAACTACAACAAAGAGAGACAAACAATTCACATAGTTGTATTACCATCTTATTGGCTATTCATTCTACTTTGGTATAAAAGAAACACTCACCCCCATTGATTAACAAAAGAGAAAGACAATCTCAGAAGCACATTTATATCTTATTCATTATAATTAAATGCAATCGACCCATAAACCCCTGTTTTTCATAGATGAGGACTCTCAACAATCACAACAACAACCTCAACAACAACCACAGTTGCGTTCCCGTCCTCATCCTCCTGCAATAAAATCTTCACTCAACCCAAGAAGACCATCTTTGCAACAACAACAACAACAACAACTGCCGTCCCCTGTTATTCCGACAAGAGCATCATTCTCTTCATCAAGTTCAAGTAGTAATGACTTGGAAGATATTTTAAAGTTTCCCATTGAATCAGCTCACGCTTATTCATACGCTCACCTTTCTCCTAACTCCTTGGCATTGAGATTAAATGTATTGAAGAGATCTTTGGAAATTTTAAAAGATCGTCCCGATTTATTCAGATCTTTAACCAAAGATGTTCCAGAATCTACTCCAGAATTATCTAGAACCAGCTCCCACCATATGGAAATCGATTCACCACTATTGGAAGATCAAGAAGTAGATCCAATATCTTCAACACCGCCACCACAAGCACCACCTTCTAGAAAAGCATTATTCACTCATACCAATCATAGTTCAGATTATATTCATGATATTTCTTCAGGACATTCAAGTGATCACAAGAAATATAAATTACGTTCAAACGCATCTTCAGCAACATTGGCTGCCCTTTTTAGACCAAATATGAAAAGATCCGATAGTTTACCATTGGAGACTCCACAATCACTACGCCGAGCTTCTACTCCACCATTGTCATATCTACCTAGTTCATCATCAAGAAAGTCATCTTTAAATGCTTCACATAGTGATGATTTCAAAGATATAATAGACTTGTTGGAAAATGACTTAGAATCTTTAATAAATAATTCAGAAATTGCTACAACATTACACGATCTTTCATTATCCACTTCTCCTGATGACTCATCAAATTTGAATACAAAACATGATATATTGAAAAATAAGTTATTACTTGCATTGGCTATGCCATTTATGGAAACTTCAGTACAAACAACTTCACTATTAGAAAGTGACGGAACTACTGATCCATCATTAAACAAGACACATATACGTCCATCCACCACTGCATTAAATTTACTCAACAACAATTATCCTTCTTCATATTCTATGGGGTCAAGTGGGACCAGTTTTAACACCACAAATAATAACACCAGTAACCGTCCATTCCATTCATTGATAACCACAAAGCATTCCCTCCCACAGTCAGTCTTTACTATTGAACCAGATTTGCCATTTTCAGTTAAAGCCGCAAATGATTTAGCATGTTTGATGTTTGGTGTTCTGAAAAGTACCATCAAAGCATTGACTCTTATGGATTTGATTGCCCCACAATTCCGTAATTTTGTATTGGAAAGATTAACTAGTTTACCTGATGTCAATTTACGAGGAAACAAAAGTCAAGATCGAATATTGTTTGCCGGGGAAATCGTTGCCATTGTTAGACCTGGAGATCAGAACTTTGCATGGACATCTTTGTGGGCTAAAAGGAAAGGTAACTTGATCATTTGTATGTTTGATCAAATACCATGTGATGCATTTGATGTTGTCATAATGTGTCACAAAGCTTCTAGTACCTTTGAAGTCGAGGCGGTTAACAACATTGCAGGAAACTTAGTTGACGATTATGGTATTAAAGATTTAACAACATTGAAAGATCTTAGTGATTCATTAAATGAAGAATTACACGAAGTTCAAGCCGTTTCTCATCAAGAAACAGAAGACGTTGCAGTGATAAATCACACTAGATATTATACTTTACAATTAGAAGAAGGGAATAATGTCCCTTGTGCAATCACATCTAATCAATTAGATGTCAATGAAGATACACATGAGATCAAGTTAAAGATACACACGTTGCCATATATTGCTGGTATATTTGTCATTGATAGTGTCAACTACAATATCATTTCATGTAACAATGCTATTGCTAGAAATTTGTTTGGTAAGTCATTTGATGAATTAAATAATCATTGCATTGATGAATTGATTCCAAATTTTACAAAGATATTACAAGTTGGTATTCAATCAAGTCTTGATTCATCACAAGTGACACCAGGATTAGTTTTACCAGAACATTTTTTCAGACGATATGATGCTGCTGTTAAAAAGGAACAAGATCCAAATTGCACCGAGTCAGCTGATGATATATTCTTCAATTCACACGGTGTTGAAGGTATTCATAGGGATGGTAAAGTTGTGTATGTCGATGTTCAGTTGCGTGCATCATCCCAAGATACTTTTGTTGTCTGGATAACCTATTCAAGAACCAATAAAAACAAGAATTGTATTTCTGATGAATTGGATAAATTGAGTTCAGCATCGGCTTCATCAGTTTCCTTGTCATCAATCAACAAGTCAGCTACTTCGTTGTCAACAAATTCGAAAACAAGAAGTGTTTCAAGTCACTTGAGGGTTAGTGATATAAAATCTAATAGTAATCATCATGAACGTGCCATGTCCACGGATGTTCCATCCCAAATGAAATTATTTGATAATGAAAAGCAGAAAGATTTATTGGAATTTTCTCCTCGTGAAATCACTCGTAAATCAAGTACAAGAAGACCAAGAAAGGAAACAGAATTGGGTTTACCATTGACTAAACTTGATAGTTATATTTATAATGGTGAGGAGAAATCAAGTGACGGTAATCCGTTAACACCAATTGAAACCAAAGAACTTATTGATCTGGAGAATACGGCCCCAAGCTCACCAAGCGATACTACAAATGAGTTCCATATTGCATCAATGTATACCGAAAAGGATATTTTGAAATTAGAAAACGATTCACTTGCAAAGATCAAAAAAGAATCTTCACTTTGGCCAGAAGAAGTTGGAGCTCATAGAAGAACCAAAAAATTCTCGGAATTCAAAGTGGTAAAGAATATGGGAGAAGGAGCTTATGGTAAAGTAGTTTTAGCACAACATAAAGAAGACAAACATTACAAGATTATTATCAAATGTATCAACAAAGAAAGAATTTTAGTGGACACTTGGGTTAGGGACAGGAAATTAGGAACTATTCCTAGTGAGATTCAAATAATGGCTTATTTAAATAGTGAGCCTCATCCAAATATCATGAGAATTGTTGATTTCTTTGAAGACCTGAAGTATTATTATTTGGAAACACCTATATTTGGTAACCCACCCGCCATTGATTTGTTTGATTTTATTGAGATCAAGAAGGATTTAAATGAAGTTGAATGTAAATTTATTTTCAAACAAATTGTTTCATCAATATATCATTTACATCAAAATGGAATTGTTCATCGTGATATCAAGGATGAAAATATTATTATTGATGAAAAAGGTGTTATTAAATTGATTGATTTTGGATCTGCTGGGTATGTTAGACAGGGTCCATTTGATGTTTTTGTTGGTACTATTGATTATGCCTCACCTGAAGTATTACGAGGTGAAAAATATGAAGGGAAACCACAAGATATTTGGGCATTGGGGATTTTATTATACACTATGTTGTATAAAGAGAATCCATTTTATAATGTTGATGAAATTATGGAAGGTGATTTAAGAATACCATATGTCATCAGTGACAGTAGTTTGAATTTGATACGAAAGATATTAATTAGAGATGTTGAACTTCGTCCTACCATCACCGATATAATGGAAGACGAATGGCTTGCATGATTTGAATATGTAGATCTGAGAAGATTATAGATGTTGTATGAATAAAGAATAATAAATTGATGATACAGTAAACGTTGACGCGTGTGTGTGTGTTGATATTGGGTGTGCAACGAGACACAATTTTTTCTTCTTCTTCTTCAAGTTCAAGTTCAACACAAAGATTTCATTAAAACATCTCTTTTTTTGTATGATTCACAACCAATGAGTTGTTTAATAATCTCAACATTCAAATGATAATGAATAATGAAAATGAGGAAATTTCAAAAGATGATTCAACTATTTTAGAAATCACTAATCCTACTACGAATTCAACAATAAATATCAAAATATTATATCCAATATCAACGAAATCCATCTTATCAGAATATATCAATAAATCAAAAACCAGAAACATTCACTACTTTTATAATAATAATATGAATTTAAAAACACCTCATTTAATAAAATTTAATGATAATGATCAAAATGGAGTAATATTCCCCGTGGTTAATGATTTTTACGGATATTTCAATTTTGAAAACGATGACGACCACGACGACGAAGATATATGTGAAAGCAATGAATATGAATATATGAATATATCAACACCTAGTGAATTAATTAATAAATGTGAGAAATTAACACTTGGTGAATCAAAAGTTGAAATTGATAATTTTTCAATGAAACCACCACCATTACCACCACTACTACTATCATCACATTCAAATATAAATACCACGAATACTAATATTGAAGATATTGAAGAAGTAAAAGATCCTATTGAATTTTTAACATTTAGATATTATTCAACTTTATATTCATTAAAAGATCCATTAAGTTATTTTCCTAAAACTGCATTACCTAGATTTAAAAATTTATGTATTGAAAATAAATCAACTATTATTATGATTGATTTATTGAAAAATTTTTGTTTAAATATTAATGAATTTGATAATCGACATAATCATAAATATGGAATTTTATCTATTTCAAAAGGATTATCAAAAATTGAATTAATTGAACAAGATAAATTTAAATCAAGAAATGGATTTCTGATTGAACAGGAAAATAATGATGAGGAAGAGATAAAGGGGATAAGTTTAGAGAAATTATCTCAATTAATACTTGATTTGAAAATAAGAGAAGCTCAATTACAAATAATTACCATATTTGAAATATTATCAATGCTTGAAATAAATGAAAATGAATTTCTTGAAAAGAATAAGAAAATACAAAAAAAATTAGAGAAGATAAAAGAAAAGAAAGCTAAACTGAGTTTAATAGGGAAGAATAGAAGAAAGAAGGAAAAGAAGGTTCAAAAAGAGGTGGATGATGGAGAAGAATTAGGAGGTGATGAATATTTGATATATCAATCATTGAATAATCTTATTGATAGATTAAATTTATGGGATACTTTATCAACAAGAGCAGAAGGTGCAGGTACATATGGATTTATGGCATATGTATTAGTACCATATTTCAATAAGAAACTACCTAATTTAATGAAACATGTAATTGAAAATATGAAAGGACTGAATATGAAATTAATAAGTTCAAAGAGAAAGAAACATGAAAATGATGATAAAAATCAACAAGATTCTAAAAAATCAAAATCAAAATTTAGAAAAGTTTTATTGGATAAAAAACCACCAAGTTTATCTAAATCTGATACTATTGTTGATTCAGAAGATTTTAAACCATTAACTTCATTGAAAAGATCACAATCTAATTTATCTACGAAAATGCTATCAAAAAGAGAAGTTGATTTAAATATTAAAACTAAACCAGAATCACTTGATTCAAATTCAAATTCAACTCAATCATTTATATTTAGATCACAACTTAAAAGATCAAAATCAACCACAACTACAACTACATCAACAATGACAATATCAAATAAACCTAAATTTAGAAAATCATTATCTCAAGTAGAAGCAACGCCAGCAAAATCAAGAGTAATTAATATTTCACAATCACAAGTCCAAGCAACACCAGTAGTAATAATGAAAAATTCAAATTCAATTCACAATAATACTAATAATTTCAATTCATTATCTCAAATTGAAGCTACTCCACATACTTCGATTCATTCACCACCAATTTCAACTCCATTAAATAAATTTATTAAACCTGATAAAAAACAAAATTCAATTAATGAAAAATTACTCTCTGCTTCAAAAGAAATAGATCTTATTCAAAAAACTCCAATAAAGTCAACAACATCAACAACAACAAATAATACATTGACAATGATTGAAGCTACTCCTGGATATTTAATTGATTCATCACCTTTGAAAAATTTGGATTCTAGTCATCAAGGTAAACCAAAACCTGGTGAACCCATACCTATTGAAACTTCACCATTATTAAATGTATTAAGAGATTCTGAATCTTTAATACATAAAATGAAACCAGTTAATTTATTTACTGATCATGATCATGATTATGAGTATGATTCTGATGAATTGTTAAATCCAAACAAAAACAGATCCAACAAAACATATTCCAAGAAAAGACATTAAAATTGTATTACTAAGTGATGATAATGATAATAATAATAATAATAATAATAATACATGAAATTAAATAGTAAACACTTATTCTATATAGCTACTTCACCAAAGAAAATTCCATTGATTATTTGTTTACCATCTGATTGTTCAATTACTAATTCAGCTAATGGACCACCTATTCTTTCTTTTAATTTATCTTTAATTTCATCAGATACATCAACATCCATATTATCATCTATATCACCTTTGGATAATTTATTATCAATTTTCAATTTTCGAAGTGTTTCTAAAACAGTATTAATTAAAATCTTCTTTTCAAATTCATTTTTATTTTCTTCAATAACTGAAGAATACCAAACTTTAAGATTACCAATTAAAACTAATTTTAAAACTTCAGAACCCATATTTTTTAAACCTAATAATGCACCATAATGAGTACCTATAGGTTTTGTAGAATCTAATAATGCACGTAATAAAGTTCTTGTTACTCTTGGACGTAATGTACTATAAGAAGAACCATAAACTTTAATAATATGTTCTAATAAAATAGCTGCAAATTCTCTTACTGCTAATTGAGATTTTAAAATTTCTTTAGATTCTTCAGATTGAGGATTTTTAATTATTGGTCCAATTCTTTTAGCCAATAATAAAGTTAATATACATGGCATTAAAGCATGAACATAAGGATCTAAAAATATTGTTTTATTATCAGCTAATGCCAGTATTACTTCCAACATGGTTGATAAGATTTCAATATTTCTTAATTGATTTGTAATTTGTTCAGCTACAAATTGAATAAAATAAGGAACTAATTGATGTAAACCAGGATCATTTTTCAAAGAAGTTAAAGCTGCATTTTTTAAATGTTCTTTTTCTGGATCAGTTGATATTAAAACTTCAACAACTTTGTCAAAATATAATTTCAATTCTTTAGATAAAACATGTTTAATCAATGGTTTAATTTCCAAATCCTTTTCAGTCGTTGTTGTTGTTGTATTACCAGTAGTAGATGAACCATTTCCAGAACCTGATTTTTTATTTCCATTAGATGTTGAATCAGAATCATCATTTTTATTATTATTTCCAAGACTTAAAATATCATTACCCAACATTGTACTAGTAGCACCTCTAACAACAGCAGGTAAATTTTTAATTTCACTAGGTAATGGATTTTGAGGAACCATAGGTTGAACTCCTTCAACAGCTAACCAATGAGCTGTAAAATTAACTTGACGTGGAACTTTTGGTAATTCTTGATTAATCAATTTTTCAAATTCAATTTCATTATCATCAATATAGTATAATGTTTGTCCACCTGCTCCAACCATAGTTTCTTTATAATTTAAAGGTTGTGAATTATCATATCCATATAATGGTTCAATATTAAGTATTTTTAAAGCATAACTTATATCCGTTGTGGTTAATTGTCTTCTTTTAGAATGTCTCATGAATTTAACTGCGGTTTCTATAATTTCATGAATATGATATTCAACATCCATAGCCAAACTTTTAGCTGTTTCATCAGATATTGTAATACCTAGAGAATCAGCAGCATCTCGTACTGTATCATAAGGTGACCATAAAGAATGTGATACCGGTGGTTTTGCGTCCATTGTGATCTTCTTGTTGTTGTTGATGATGATGATGTGATTGATTGACTTAACAGGGTTTGGTTTAGTTGATATCCCGTTTTGTTGTTTTTCTTCTTGTTAATTAAATTTTTCGTTTTTGAATTTTTTGTTTTTTCCCATCAAAATTTGGTCGTGTCGAAATGGATAGTGCACGTGATTGGTGTTGTTACTACATGCAGTACATTGATTTTTATGGCTAATAATCTATGTAGTAACAACAAGAGTTTGATAGATAGACTACTGGTGGTAATTGACATAGTCCAGTCAAGATAGATTATATATTATGATACTTTTTTTTTTTGATGGTGACCACTTATCGTAGTGGTGAACTATTAAATATACTACTTAAACTAGAAGTTCCACTACCACTTGCCGTTCTACGTGAATATAATGAATTAGCATATTTACTTGAATCATCAGTTGGGAATTTAACTTCTGAGTAGATAGATTTTGGTTTATTATAGAATCCATGTAATGATCTAATCATTGGAACACCATTAATCAGTACTTTACCTAACTTATCTCTATAATAAAAACCAAAACTTGGATTTGTAAATTTATCTAAATCTTTTAAATTATCAACTATTTCAATTGATTCATCTTGTAATAAAGCTTCAAATTTCCCATCTTCAAATTGTTGTACTGCCAATTGTTCAAATTTAATATTTTTAAGAGCATTAAGAGCTCTTGTTCTAAATGGAGGGATTTTATCAAATGATAAAATTTCATTTGAATTTTCATGATAAACTGCAAATTGAATAGGTTGAATAGATTCAATATCAATTGGAAATAATTCAATTTTTAATTCATTTCCTAATATTTGAATAATTTGAGATCTAATCATTAATTTAGTATTATCAACAAATGAATCTATTTCTAATGATGGTATATCTGGTAAATATAATATACCTTCATTATCATACATTGGTCTTGCCATTTCTCTAATAACACTTTTGAAATATTTGGGAAGTTTAAAAATATGAATTATTGAAGGAAGAAAACTTATAGCAGGATCATATCTACCAGCTCGATTACGAACTTCTTGTTGATTTATAATAACATAAGCCTCTAAACATGTATGAAGATATGAAACAACTTCATCATCTGAAACTTGTAATAATGTAGATATTGATTGACACATGGTTGATATAATAGAACAAATATCATCAAATTCGGTATAATCAAGTTTAACAAATCTAATAGGTTCTAATAAATGATCTGGAATACCTGACATGGTTGTAAAAGGAAGGTATATCAAATAGGAATAATAATAATACAAAAAGGAAGATAGAATAATTAAATTAAAGAAATGAAAAATTTATAAGAATAATAATAATAATACAAGGAAATGAATAAAAGTATTTATATGGGGAAAGTTGAAAAAATTTTCCCCTACTTGTTCTTCTAGTTAAAACCAATTATATAATTAGATTGGGAAAACAAAAGGTGAATAACACACTACAAAGACAATAATCAATGTAATATCAACGGGTAACAATGACAATATTCACAATATGTGTGATTATTTTAATATTAAAATTTTTAGTAGATTTATTGAAATTAAATTGGGTGCAGTTGCGTATTTGTGGGATAAAGAAAATGTATAAACTTGCAAAAAAAAAAAAAAAATTAAAAACCACATGAAAGGGGGAAAAAGACGGGAAATTAATATCAATTATATATATATATATATATAATACCAATTGCTAAGCAGATAAACAATGCAGTAGTAATCGGTAACAAAACAGTAAATCCCATGAAAGAAGAGCAAGAACAGGAAGACCAATGTATAAAACAAAACAAAACAACGTAAATGGTCATAATTGCTTTTTTTTTTTTTGTCTTTTTAGGCGGTAGAGTAACAACGGATTTACTATGTGTACCTCAAGAAACCTCCTTAAAAAAAAAGAACCATTACTGTTTTTAGTAAGGGGAAACACAAAATGTAGATGTGTTAAAAGTAATACTATTTTAAAGATGTGACCAATAATAAACCTGAAATTTCGAGTTACAATTTAATAATTAAGAAAACCTGAACAAAACTCTACAATACGGAACAAAAGATGAATCTAGAAATGAGTCCTCATTTGTTGAATTTTTAATTTAGACGAGGAATGTTATTCTGACCCTTATTGTGTGATGCATGAGTGCGTCGGGCATTAAAAAAGCAAGCTAATGGGCGATCTTTTACCATTTTCTTGTTGTTGTTGTTGTTGTTTTTAGAGTAAGAAGTACAATGACCTATTTGATTATTCATCTTGCACAAAGTATCAATCGGATATTATGGCTCAAAGTAATTGCTTAACCTTTTTTCCTACAAGATAGGGAAATTCATGACTGTTGTAATATCAAAAAATAGTATAATGCAAGAAGATATGGGCGACACTGATAAACAAACAAAAGAACACGAGATGAAACAGTTGTTGTTGACCCTTTGTAAAAGGTCTATTGTTCTTGTACTTGTCCAAAAGTATTTGTTCATGCAACCATTCACCAGCAATTTTTATCGCGTAGTTTTTCAAGGTGCCAAGTCACGCATTTTGCATCCAAACAAGACAAATACTTTTGTCCATTCAACATTGTCTTGCTCCGCCCAAAGTTGCCCACTGTTAGGGGGAGGAGGAGGAGGACATGGCAATCAAACTTAACATGGTACAAAGATTATTTAGTTGGTGAAAATGCATGGAGTCCTATTATTATTTGTTGATGCATTAGGGTCCTTTGTATTTAAGTTCTAGAATCTTATGATTATTACATTTTTATCGGCTGCAGTTGAAGTTGTCAACACCACTCTAAGCGTTAATTCAATTCCTCCTCCAAGCAATGAATTTTTCCCTATTTAACCAATAAATAACGCGTTTTGTAAAGACAACTAAAGGACAAGATTTTCCTACTCCCCCCATCGACGTTGTTGTAAATGATGCAGAAGGCATTAGTTATGTACACTGGTTCAATGAATGATTTTCGGAATGGATAATGGATGATTTACTGAAGAAGTGATTTACCTGTAATGCGCAATCAATGCCTGTTAATTTTCTATTCAAACTACGTAAATAAAAAAATGAAGTACAATTTTAGACCAAAATCAATTGGTTTTATAATTATATAATAATATTAATAAAGATCCGATACATTTAAATATGAGACAATGTCAATAATCAATCTTACTTTGATTGTGATAAAGAAGAAAACTTTGAATCTGTTGGAAAACGATCGTTAAAATCTAATTGAAAATCTCTTGTGTCAACTTTGCTTCCTAACAATGATAATGAATTAATGGTAACTTTACCATTATTTCGATATACACAAAATCCACTTATCAAATTTGTTTCTTTAAATATTTGGCTTGCCTTTTGCATCTTTTGAAATGGTTCATCACTTCCTTTATCCAATTCCACCCAGTTGTCTTTACAATAATTCAATCTGAATTGATTAAATCGTATATGTTTCAAAATTGCAATTGTCCAAAATCTAAACTCTGGTAATTTATTAAATGAAGATATAAGATTTTTTTCATCATGATACATTCCAAATTTAGCAGGTTCGATTTCTTCAATTTCTAAATTATCCCAAGAAAGTTTCCTCAAATTTATATCAAATCTAAGTTTATCAATTAATTCTTCTTGTTCTTTTAATTTTCGATATTTTTTTCTACCTGATATTTCCAATACTCGTGGAATATAAATTTGTTTATGAGGTGTAATCATAGGACGTGCCATTTCACGAATTAAATCTCTGAAAAATAATGGAATCCGTATTTCATTAATATACTCTTCTAATAATTCAACATTAGAATCTAGTTTCCCTGTTTGAATTCTAAGTCCTTGTTGGTTGATAATGACATATACTTCAAAACAATGATGGAAATATTCAATTGTCTTTTCAACAGAAATTTTTGTCTCAGAAGATGTGAAATTACAAAGTTGTTTTGTAATATTATCAAACTCTCTAAAACAAACATCATATTCAACTATCTGCATCATTTTTAGAAATAGGTTGTGGTGATATAATACAATAGAATAGAATAGAAAATAATAGGAAAGGAAAGGAAAAAAAGCAAGATAATCGATATGATTTATATTTTATAATTTTGTTGGCTATATGTACATAGTGTGTTACAAATAATTTCAACATGATGAATACTTTAATGAAACAAGAATTTAAAGAGATACCGTGTTCATTATCTGATACTCTTATTCTTCTTCTTCTTCTTCTTCTTACATTCCAGCAAACTAAAAATATTCTGCGGGGACACATGGGGCCAGAAGTCCGCCCAACGTGTCGCGGTGGAACTTATGATACAAAAAGTGAGACGTGTCCATTCAATGCCTCGGTCTTTCGGCGATAACCAATCACTAATGTTTATACGAAATTAAATGTGTACTATTTAACTATTTTGACCAGTCCCATTCATACCTGCTAATAACTCATGATTTAATTCTAATAATCTTTGATTTTCATCTTTTAATTGTTGTAATTTTTTATCCTTTTTAACTATTTCATCTTGTAATAATTGATTTTTAATAATTGACAGTCCTTGTTTATATTTTTCCAATAATTCTTTAGATTCAAGAATTTCATCATTTATATCATCTTTAACAACATTTTCCTCTTCATTTGAAACATTATATAATTTATCCAATTGATTCCTATATTTTTCTTCTAATTTTTCTTGACTAATCTTTGACATCAATTCAACATCTTTATATTCTAATTTCAATAATTCATACAATATTGCATCACATCTATCTTTAGCAACATACCCTAATTCATTCATAGGTCTACCATGTAATGCTTCTGATCTATTCACAGAAAGTTGAAAATAATAAACTTTTTTAAATTCTTTATATAATTCTTCAAAATATTCACGAACATAAATACCATTCAACTGAGGCATAGATTCAATTTCATCAACCACATTTGAAGTAACTGGTTTTTTAATACTAATTCCTGAGGATGATAGCGATGATGATGATGATGATAAAGTTCGTGATTTACCATTCTTATTATTATTATTAGTATTATTTGAGTTTAATATTTCTGAATATCGTAAATTAGTCAATTCTATAGCAACAATTTCCCAAGTATCATCTTTTATTTGAATTGTTGGTTGTAAATGTGGTAGGAATTTTAATATTAATTCTAATAATGGTTCTTTTATTAATGATTTGATCTTCTTTTGTTCTTTTTCATAAAATGATTGTCCCATATCTGCTCTAAAAAAATTTTTGGACCCTTGGCCAATATAGTTGATTGTCTGTTTTTATTTTTTTCAATTTCAAGTTTAGAGTTGCACGTCTTTCACGTTCGTATAAATACACTTTCCATTTTGTATAGTGAGGATGTGTCTGCACCAATTAATACCCAAAATTTAGTGGCAAAAATATAAACATATAGAAAGAGGCACAGTACTACTACTACTACTACTACTAATGAGATCATTCAATAATTAAGATGTTTATTTCATTTCATTTGCTATTCTATTCTATTCTATTCCATTCTATTTTTTAATCTATTCTCTATAAACCTTTATCATTTTTACTTTGTTTGGCTTTAGCTCGTAATCTATCACTTTGACCCATTTTTTGTTCTTGTAATTTCTTATATCTTTCTTCAGCTGCTCTAGCCAGTGCTTCTCTTGCATTCATTGGTATATTATTATTGTTATTATTATTAATTCCATTGGAAATATCTTCGTTATCTTTACTACCTAATAGTCTACTTTCTTTAGTGAATTTTTGAGACGACGTTAATGTTGATGTTGATGTTGGTTTTGGAACTGATCCCGATTTTGAATTGGATATTGATGTAGATTTAGTAGGTTTTGATGATGAACTTAATCTAGAAGTAGTCTTGGTTCCAGAAGACTTGTTCTTATGTTTGGATGCATGGTGACCCATGGTAAATCAAAAATAAATTGTTTGATTATCGGTTTACATTGGACATTAAGATTTTTTTTTTTTTCATTTTCATTTTTATTTGGTTTGAATTCTCAACTAAATCGTCGATGTTTAACCCCACCAGTTCATACAATACACACACCTACAGATAAAGAATTAAAAATAAATTATTAATTATTAGAAAGAACGAAAAACAAAAAAACAAACAAGACTACATACTGCTAGTAGTAACATCTATATACTTAAACATGATCTGTTTTTGTTTTTATCTTGGTATCTATTCAACTAATCTAGGATTAGCATCAGTAACTTCTTTAGTCACTTCACTGTATCTAATATTTGGTTTCAAGTTCTTGAATACTGGAACAGCAATCTTAACTTCATTTTCAAATATTGGGTTTTGTTCAGTAGTCAATTTGCTAATAAGTTTATAAGCTTCAGCATTTCTAACCCAGTTTCTCAAGAATTTAATAGCAGCAAAGTTATGTTGCATGTAATCCTTGTATTGTTTCAAGATTGACAAGTACAATGGAGTTCTTTCATCCTTGAATTTATCAGAGAAAACAGTAGCAGCTCTTAATGCAGACCAATCAGCATTAGCAATATAGGAATAACCTTCATCATCTAATTTAGCCAACAATTGGTTCCAAAGAGCCAAAATTTCTTCATTGGAAAATTCAATTTGACCAGCTTGTTTCAAGATAATACGATGGGAGATAAGACTCTTTTCAGCGTTATGGGATTCATAAGAGTCAACAATCTTTTGGAAGATAGCTTTATTATCCCAACCCATACTGGAAACCATGGTGTTCAAGAAAACTTCATCAACTCTTGGACATCTTTCAAAAATTAAATCTAATAATTCTATAGCTTCTGGTGTTGGTTCAGGGTACTTGTTGAAAAAGATTTTAAACAATCCAGTATTAATAGTAGCCAGTTTGGAAGACAAATCCTGGTTATCAAGAATGTATTGCATGGAAATACGTCTCCAGGTTTCAATAACTTCTGGCATTGAATCACCTCCAGCAGAACAATTTTCCAAGAATGAAACCATGTATGGAGACTTCAAAACAACAACATAAGGCAAACCACCTGGTGTTAATGCCTTTTCAAAGAATCTCTTGGCGATAGCAATGTCTTTACATTGACCAATAAATGACAAATGCAATTGAGCCAAACCTCCAAGAACTGATCTTTCTTTTGGATTTTGTTCATACAAAGTCATCAAAGATTCTAAAGCATCCAATCCTCGAGCATTATCAGCTTCATTGATAGCAACTTGACCAATTCTATCACTTAAAAATGGGTGGACTGGTTCACCTTCAACAACACTCATGTCGTAAATTTGTTTGATTTCTTCATAAGTGAATCTGTGAGTCTCATAACCTACTTGGATAACAATGGATAAAACATCATGAGCAAGGAATAATTTACCAACTTCACTGTTGACACCATTTTCCCAAAGACTTAAAATTTCAGTGTTTAATTTGAATTGCAATAAAGTACCAAAAACTTTGAACAACATTCTTGAGGATAAAACTTCATTCAAGTCCCCATTGATAATCAATTCAGACAAATTCAAAATGGCAGTTTGATAGGTGACATCTTCATTGAAGGCGGCTGCTTGATCTTTATCTCTGTTTCTAGATTTACCCAATCTTGATCTTCTCAGGTTGATAGTACTACTATAAATATTGGAAGCAAATTTGAAAAGATGGGATTCTTTAACTTGGGCTCTAAAAAGGTCATCTTGTAATAAATTCAGGAATTCTTGGATGTCATAAGTTGGCATACCATCTTCAACATTCCATGATTCACCTTTAAGATGAGCTGGTTTATGTGGATTTAATTTGTATTTACGTAATTTTGCTTTATAGGCTTCGCCGTCTTGAATAGTTGGTTGTGAGTTATTTTGTGAAACGGCTGCTGATGCTACCGATGAGTTATTTCTAATTTGATAGTTAATTATATTGCTATTGTCTATTGATATCGGCTGAGTTGCAGAAGTGAACTTGGTAGTAGTTTTGGCATGTTTTACTTTCAGAAGTAAGCTTGGTCTAAAACCTTGTTGAGCATTTGAAGCAATTAATCTAAACATCATGTATATATATGGGGGTAGTTAATAATAATAATAATAATAATAGTGTGAATAGTTGGAGTTGAATAATATTAATAAATAAAAGGAGAAGGGGGTTTGATTATAGATTTGAATATTAGAACAAAGAACACCTTTCTATGTACAGTGAAAGTTTTTTATTTTGATATTTGGGATCTTTATGGGTTCTATTTATGCAAAAATAATGATAATACCTCGTATGATGTAAGTTTAAATAAAAGCAAAAAATCTGGTAACTTTTTGTTTCTTTTATTTTCTGCAGGTGTATAAGAAAATTTTTCTTGCTTTATTTTATTTTTGCCGTTGGCTGACATTCTTACTGTGAGTGATTAAGTGAGTGAGTGATTCCTTCTTTCTTTCTTTTTTTTTTGTTCTATTACCAATGATGATCTCATGCGCATCATTCTGACTCTCATATAATTTGTTTTTCTGCCTTTTGTGTTTTACATAAAGGGGGGCACAGGAAAATGCAAATGCAAATGTTGAGACACCAGTGTTCAAAAGCAAAAGTGGTCCGATGAACACACCCACTTTGACCTGTCAAAATGGAAGATGCTCACCCGCAGCGACTCATCTTAAACTATGTTTAAATGATAAGGGGAGAAGAGGGGGGAGTGGGAAAGAGAAACAAGACATTTTCCACTAGTGATTCAGGCAACTGTATCGGAAGTTAATTGTAGTGAATTGGCAGGTTTCCCAAGAATAAGCCGAATACGGGAATTATTGTTAGCTGACTTCTTTCTTTTTCTAGATCAAGCCGTACTTCAAAACGCAGGTATAAAGGAAAAATTTTCTGATTTTTTGTTTTTACTTGGCCAGTTGATTTATAACAGTCAAAACTAATGTTTGACCTGATGTTAAACTAAAAATTTTGTGGTTTAACTTTTTCTTTTTTCATAGTGAACCAATCTTTTGTAACTCACATACTGCAACATGCAATTGTTTTTACACAGCACAACAAAAAATTCAGCCAGATAATCGTATCACTTTCATGTTGGTTGGTGAGAAAAAAAACCACAACAACGGATTGTGTTACTGCAGCAAGATTCGCCGATTCTTTCCCTTTTCTGCTTTTGGTGGGTTTCGTTTGGTTCGTATGATGATATTCATTTGTTTGAGTGAATAAACAACCAACAAACGAATTTGGCAACCGCCGAATTATGCCAGCTCGTAATAGTTATCAATTGCGTATTTGAGTCAACATTGCCTAACCTGTTGGATCTCATTATATGATCGTATAACCCCTAATCCTAATCGGACTTTTAGGATCTGTCAAATAGGGGACCCTCATTGGTGTGATGATTGCTATTTTGAAAGTGTATGCAGCCATCTAGCAATTAAACAACAACAACAAAAAAAAAAACTCGTTTTACATACCCGCTGCTGCTAACATTTCGACCTAACCACCAGTCGAGTTATTTTTTGTTTTGTTGCTCCCGCCCTCTTCCCACCGCGAGACGTGACAACCCAAACAAGCAAACAGCCCCAAAAGAGAGAACAAAGAAAAAAAAAAAAACTCTTCTCTTATCTTTGTTAATTATTACTATTCGTATTATTATTGTTAGCGATCACAATTTTTTTTTTGTTCTTTCTCTCACTTCCACTCCACTGCTGATAAACTTCTCTTTATTGTTCTGATTTTAGACTATTTGAAGAAAACCATAATAACTTTTCATAACTAGATGGCTGTCACAACCAAAAGATCATCTCAACCACAACATCCCCTATCAACAAATGAATGCTCACCATTACTATCAACGAAGAAATCAAACCAGACAAATTATTCTAGTAACAATCGACAAAATGAAAAATCCAATCTGAAATCTAAGAATAAAGTCGAGAGGAACCTTGGCACCTTCGAGGGAGTATTTCTCCCTACTTCATTGAATGTTTTGTCCATTTTGATGTTCTTGAGATTTGGTTTCATCATTGGCCAAATGGGAATTTTAGGTACTTTATTTTTATTAATATTGTCGTATTCGATAGATATATTGACCACTTTGTCAATCAGTGCAATATCCACAAATGGAACTGTCAAAGGAGGTGGGGCTTACTATATGATTTCAAGATCATTGGGACCAGAGTTTGGTGGGGCTATAGGTATAATTTTTGTCATTGGACAAATTTTAAACTCATCATTGAACGTTGTTGGTTTTATTGAACCTTTGTTGGTTAATTTTGGTGTTGGAGGTGATATGACCAACCTTTTACCAGTGGGTTATTTATGGCTGGTTTTGTATTCCACAATATTATTGGCCCTTTGTACTGGTGTTGCCATGGTTGGTTCACTGCTTGTTTCCAAAACTGCATTTTTTCTTTTCGTTATATTGACCATCAGTACAGTTTCAATTCCAATTTCTACCTTCTTTGTTAAACCATACTACCCATTAGCTCCTCCATATGAGAATGTTCTCTACACTGGGTTATCGTGGAAGACATTTATTGATAATTTATACCCTCATTTCACCAGTGGAGCCGCTGGTTCGGTCTTACCTAAAGGCCAAAAGGAAACATTCCGTGATCTTTTTGGTATCTTTTTCCCGGCAACTGCAGGTATTTTAGCTGGGGCATCTATGCTGGGTGAGTTAAAGACCCCTTCCAAATCTATTCCTCAAGGTACGTTGAGAGGGTTATTGGTGACTTTTATTTTATACGTCAGTGTTATTGTCTCCATGGGTGCTGCTATTCCTCGAGAACTTTTATACGTCGACATCAAAGTTATTCAAACCGTGAATTTATCTGATATTATTATAATTCTTGGTGAATTTTCAACTTCATTATTTTCAGTAATTATGGGTATTGTTGGTGCTGCAACTATGATTAATGCTATTGCTGATGATAAAATCATTCCAGGATTATCTATTTTTACCACTAACAAGAAATCAGCCAAGGGTAAAAAGAAAGCACAAATTTATAGTATTATTGCTACATGGTTTATTGCCCAATTGTTTTTATTTGCCGATATTAACCAAATTGCTACATTTATTACCATGGCGTTTTTGATGACATTTATTGTTACCAACATTGCTTGTTTTTTGTTAAAAGTTGGTTCTGCACCTAATTTCAGACCATCATTCAAGTATTTCAGCAGTAGAACTGCATTCATGGGCGCATTTATTTGTCTCGTTGCCATGTTTATCGTGGATGGTCTTTCTGCTACTTTGGTTATCTTCTGTTTAACATTTTTGATCTTGACCATTCATTACCTGACACCACCTTCTAAATTTGGTGATATCTCACAATTGTTAATTTACCACCAAGTCAGAAAATATTTATTACGATTGAAATTGGAAATGAGCGTCAAATATTGGAGGCCACAGATTTTATTATTATGTGATGACCCTAGAAGTTGTTGGAATTTGATTGGTTTCTGTAACCACTTGAAGAAAGGTGGGTTGTACGTTTTAGGTCATGTTGTGTTGATGAATGATGATACAAATCCATCTTGCAACACTGACAAGAACTCGAGAATCTTTTCTGCTGTGTCATACCAAGAAGTTAGAAAACAAAAACAAGCTTGGATTAAATTGAGAGACATGTCCAAGATCAAAGCATTTGTTCAAATTGCATTAGGTCCAACTTTACCCTGGGGTGTACGTAATGTTTATCTTGGATCAGGTTTGGGTGGTATGAAACCAAATATTACCGTTCTAGGATTCTATGATTTCAAGAAGCATGGCATTTCACTTCCAATGTTACCGGTCTACGGGAACAAACCGGAATTATTAGGTCAATTGCCTACCGACAAGTTAAGAAAGGAACGTAAAGTGTCAATAAATCAATGGGTACAAATTGTTGAAGATTTGATTGTGTTACAAGCAACTGTTGCTGTTGCGGCTAATTTTACACAGATGGAATTACCTAAAACTGAAGAAGGAAGTGGATTATTTAAATTGAAAAAGCACTTCAATGGGAAAGATGAACCACAAAAATTCATTGACTTATACCCAATTCAAATGTCTTCAGTTGCGCAATTAGAGAATGGTCAATCTGTGTTATCGACTAATTTTGATACTTGTACTTTGATTTTGCAATTGGGTTCAATTTTGTCTACTGTTGACGAATGGGATCTTAATAATTATAAAGTTAGAGTAATTGTATTTGTCGAGTATGCACTGGAAGTTGAAGATGAAAGGGATAGATTAAATGCATTGTTGTCATCTTTGAGAATTGATGCAGTAATTAAAGTTATTTGTTTGGAAGATGAAGGGTTAGATTCTTATAATTACATGGTTAAAGGTTATTCCAAGTCTCAACTGAACAAAGTGCAATATGACAAAATTGATAAGACATTATCTGGAGATCAATGGTGGAAAAATTTGACAAAAGCTAGGGAAGCCTTACGAGAAGTGGAAAAGCGACGCACATTAAGTAAACAAAAACTGAAACTGATTATTCCAAGCAGAAGTCCATCAAGAACATCACTTGCTCCAGAGACATTTTATCCATTGAATTTGAATCCAAGTAGTCCAACAAATGTGCAGTTACAAGGTATTAAAAATAATAGAAGATATACCATGTCCAACTTACAGGAACAAGGTATGTCATTGTCATTTAATTTGCGTGCAGCACAAACAAATAATGACAATTTGTTCTATTCTGATCCAGTTAGTGATGATAGTGACAGTGACTCGGAAGATACAGGTACTTTGACAGCATCAAGCAGTAACAGTAATCTTGCTTCTGCTAGGAATAGTTCTACTAATCTTGCACTTTCTCAATATTCAATGGATAGGCAACCACCACAGAGCCAAGAAGGCCCAAGATTCAAGAAAGCTTTCAGTGAACAGCTTCAGCGTACTGGAGTTCAAACACCAGATCAATTATCCATTAGATCATCTATTTCCAACTTGCGACCAAATTTTCTGTCAGTCAAAATGCCAAATGCGAAGGTGAATGACGATGCAGAAGATGGTGACGATCAAACGGAAGATGAGGACGAAGAAGAGGAACAGAAAGAAGGAAGTGACAAGATTTTGAAGGATGACAAGAGAGTTACCATGAAGGATAGGCCAAAACAATCAATTCAGTTTGTAGATGAAGATGAAGATGACGAAGAACAAGCACATACCAAAGTCATCACTACCACTCCAATTGGTTCAAGGGATAAAAGAGTTACATCCAAAACTAGGAATATTATTGTTAATGATGATGAAATTATCCAACATATAACTACTCCACAATTTTTGGCAGTTGATGAGGATGAAGACGAAGACGATGCCAATGTCCCTTCAATGTCTTTAAAGGATAGCAACATGAATATTGCCTCTAAACCTTCATCATCTAGAGCTGATTTCTACAAGAATAGACCTACTCTTTCAAGAAACCAAAGTGCAACTGAAAAAACAATTACTAAGAAACAACTTCAAGAAGAACTAAAAAATTTAAGTTTTAATGATATTCCAGCAAAGGGACAACATTTAGTTTTGAATGAATTGATGGCAAAGATATCACCAGCTAGTCAAACCCTGGTTATTTTCAGCACTTTACCTGCACCTTCAATTGGTACTCATTTAGATGATAATGAATCATTTGATTACACAAACAATCTAGCAATTTGGTTAGATGATTTACCACCAGTTTTATTAGTCAACTCACAAACTGTCACTGTAACAACTGCATTGTAGACTATATATCTATTCAATAGTTTATTAAATTATTTATTCATAAAATATACAAATCCAATCCAAGTGGTTGTATAACAATAGCTCTTGGTTGTTCAAAAAGACAAAAAAAGTCGCAACATTGAGCAGCTTCATGAGCAGAGGCAGCAAAAAAAAAATAAGAGAAAGTGGACAAAATCCTTATCATCATGTTGATCTCATCTCATATTAACACCAATCCAAATTTGAATCAAAAACAAGAGTGTGTAATCTAAAAGTATATACATAACTACAGTAAAAGAAAAAAGCATGAGTATTTTGGAGAAATCGACTACAGTAAGTGATGGTAGTCAGAAATCAAACATTGCCAATACTAACAATGAATTGTCAAAAGAAGAAAAACTCAGAAAACGTAGAGAACAATTAGAACTTTGGAGGCAAAAGAAACAACAACAACAACAACAGCAAGAAGAACAACAAAAGGAAACTATTGAGAATGCGAATTCACAAGATGATAAGAAGAATAAAGAAGAAGATATAAAGAAACTGAGACAACAGAGAATTGAAGAATGGAAGAAATCAAGATTACAGAAACAAAATCAAGAAAAACCTAAAACAACAAGTATTTCAATTAAAAAGAAACCATATACAAGTACTGGAAATAATGAATCCAAGAAAAGATCACTGGTATTTGATGATGAAGATGATGATTTGAAAAAAGTAAAGAAACCTATGTTTAAGAAACCTGATTTGAAAAACATAAGTCTGACAAATAATAAAGAAGACAATGAATCAGAAGATGAACTTGATTTATTTTTGGCAACACTCGAAGAGTCAGAAAAGAAGAGTATTACTCCAGAAATTCACGATGATGAAATATCCGATGATAACAATGATGATGATGATGATGACGACGAGGATGATAACGACGAGGATGAGGATGAAGATACAAGGTTACAAAATTTGATTTCCTCAAAATTAACCAAATTACAAAATAAAGGCAAAGAATTGCAATCAATTGATCATGCTCAAGAAAATTATGAACCTGTTAGAAAATCATTTTATCAAGAACCTTATGAATTACTGTCATTACTGCCAGAAGATGTTATAACTATGAGGCAAGAATTGGATAATACCAAAGTTCATGGAATTGATGTTCCTAGACCAGTTTTAAAATGGGGTCATTTATCATTACCTTCAAATATTTCATCAGTGATTCATGATAAATTAAAATTTGAAAAGCCATCTTCAATTCAAAGTCAAGCACTACCAACTATACTTTCCGGCCGTGATGTGATTGGTATTGCGAAAACTGGTTCTGGTAAAACATTGTCCTATGTATTACCAATGATCAGGCATATTCAAGATCAACGTAAACTTGAATCAAATGAAGGACCTATTGGTTTGATTCTAAGTCCTACAAGAGAATTGGCGTTACAGATTCAAAAGGAAATATTGCATTTCACAAAGGATAATCCAAATCTCCGAGTTTGTTGTTGTTATGGTGGTGCATCTATAGAATCTCAAATTAATGAGTTGAAAAAAGGTGTTGAGATTGTGGTTGCTACTCCTGGTAGGATGATTGATTTATTAGCGGCCAATTCTGGTAGGGTAACAAATTTGAAACGTACTACTTATGTTGTGTTGGATGAAGCTGATCGTATGTTTGATTTGGGATTTGAACCACAAGTAACCAAGATTTTCACACAAATTAGACCTGATAAACAAACTGTATTATTTTCAGCTACTTTCCCCAAAAAAATGGAAGTGTTGGCGAAGAAAATTCTCGTAAATCCAGTGGTGATAATTGTTGGTGGTATTAGTGTTGTTGCTTCTGAAATTAAACAAAAAGTTGTGTTATTCAACCACACGTCAGATGACATTTATAAAACTGAAAGAATGAACAAGTTATATGAAGTGTTATCCGAATACCAGATGTTCAATCCCAAATCAAAGATTCTTGTATTTGTGGAGAAGCAGAGTGATGCCGATGAATTAGTAACCGACTTATTAAGATCTGGTTATCCCTCAGTTGCATTACATGGTGGTAAAGATCAGATGGATAGAAAATATGCCATCAAAGAATTTTCAAGCAATGATAGTGGGTTAAACATTTTAGTTGCTACTTCTGTTGCAGCAAGAGGATTAGATGTCAAGAGTTTGGGATTAGTTATCAATTTTGATCCTCCTAATCATATGGAAGATTATGTGCATAGAGTTGGGAGAACAGGCCGAGCAGGAAGTAAAGGTCAAGCTATCACATTTGTTTGTTCTAATCAAGAAAGGGAAATTACAAGCTTAGTAAAAGCATTGAGATTAAGTAAAGCTGAAGTCGATCCGGATTTAGCAGCTATCGCAGACAAGTTTTTGTGTAAAGTGAAACTGGGTAAGGTGAAATTTGGTTCTGGGTTCGGAGGTAAAGGATTGGATAATTTACAAGAAATTAGGGAATCCAAGTTACAATTAGAGAAACAAAGATACGGAGAATCTCTGGAGGAGAAACAAAACGATTCCAATAAACAGAAATCTCCCCTTACTACTAGTACTACTACTACGTCATCAACGGAGATATCTTTACCAGAATTTGAAATTGTTGAAGGAAATACTCCAGATGCTTCAGGACCAGACACATGTAAATTCCATTGTCGTATTGTTATTAATGATTTACCACAAGAAGCCAGAATAAGAATTGTCCATGGCCCAACAATTGCAAAAATAATTGAAGAATCACGAACTTCGATAACTACAAGAGGTCAATATTATCCTCCAGGTACGAAAGCTCCAAGTGAAAATAATAAATCTACTTCGAAATTGTATTTATTAGTTGAAGGTCTAACCCGACAAGCAGTGGCTGATGCTATAACACTGATTAGAACGAGAATTGTTAATGCGTTAGAAAGAATAGATCATAAGGAGAGTACTCAACATACAGGTGGTAGATATGTTGTATAGGAAATGTATTTCGATGATGATACTCGGTCTAACTATGGTGGGGGTACAAAGAAAAAAAAAAAAAGGTGCGTGTGAAAAAAATAAAAAATACATATACCAAACTTGTACCGAACCCCACACATGTAGATAAAAAATTATAAGAAAAACCCCACGGAAGAATATCAAAACTATAAATCCAACTGCAAATTCCCAGGAGACTATTATAATTCCACTTTGATTTCACCAATATTGGATATCTACAAACCACCAAGATGACTTTCAATCCAGAATCTTATAAATACGAATTTTATACCGTTACTCAAATCGAAGACGGATTTGCTCATGTTCAATACACAAATCCAAAAACATTAAATGCATTCACTGAACAAAATTGGAAAGATTATGGAGAAATTTTTAGAAGATTAGATAAAGAAGAAGATATTCAATTAATTTTATTTAGTTCAGGAGTTGAAAAATCATTTTCATCAGGATTAAATTTAAAAACAGCTGCAAATTTATTTAAATCAGAAACTAATTCTACTGAAGAAGCAATTAAAGAATTACATGAACATATAACTGGTTTTCAATATGATATTGGAACTCCTGCAAGAATCTCAACTCCAACTATTGGAATTTTAAATGGTTTAAATCTTGGTTTAGCTCTTGATATAGCTGCTGCATTTACAATTAGAATTGCTGTTGAAGGAGCTCAATTTTCAATTGCTGAAGTTAATATTGGTATTACTGCTGATATTGGTTCATTACAAAGATTACCAGCTATAATCAATAATAAATCATTATTATTTCAACATGCTTTAATGGGTGATAAATGGGGTACTGATGAAGCTATGAAATTGGGATTTGTTAGTACTGTTGTTCCAACTATTGAAGAAGGTATTGAATATGCTAAAACACTTGGTGAAAAAATTTGTAGTGTTCCTGCTTGGGCTATTAAAGGTACTAAGAAACATATTCAAGATATTATTAATGGTACTACTGTTGAACAAGGTTTGAAGGATGTTGCCAACTGGAATGCAAAGAATATCACTTTAAGTAGAGGTAAGTTATAAAACCAGTATAAGTAGTTTGATCTTTGGCGGGGGGGGGGAATAAATGTCGTACACTGACACTTTGGTGAGTATTTTGATAATTGATTGGCGGACAGTGGGCGCGACACACGACCTACGACTTACGACTCTCAACGGTTCCGAAAAATTTTTCTTTCTCTCTGTCTCTCTCTCTGTCTCTCTCAAGTCAATTGAAGACTTTTTCAATACTGAAGTTAAAAAAAAACTCACAAGATCTTTACAAATCTACAAGTATACCAAGCCATGCAAAGTGTTTTCAGAGCTAATAAGCATGTTGCTAGTATATCCAAGACTTTGAGACCTTACTCAACTATTGCCATATCGCCAAATGAGGATGTAGCTTCAGTTAATGATGTTTTCAAATCAAGCCCTGTCACTACAACCACATCTACAACCACTACAGATCAAATGTCAAATTCACAAATAAAAACTATTCTTCAAAATTTACCATCAGCAAGACTTATAGATTCATACAGAACAAGTTCATTACATGCTACTGTCTCTCCAGATGTGGAAACTACTCGAAATTATCAAATTCGTCAAGAGTTGATCAAATTAAGAGAGGAAAGAAATTATAATAATTTACTTGCACTTTTACAAATTTGGTCAGCTAGAGATATTGACAATATGGTTGAAGTGTTAGGTCATGATGTTATAAGTGATTATCTTACGGAATTAATTAGTTTCGGCCATTTGGCAGTACATCAACATTATAATTTAAATCCAATATTGAAATCATTAAAACTTCAAAAAAATGAAACTACCAGAATTAAAAGTAGAAGATTCACTCCTAGAGAGAAAAATTTTCAAATTAGAACCATTTACAAAAACTTGATTTATAATTCTAGTTCCAAGGATTTCTTTTATGATCTTGAAAGAAGACAAGATATTTATAAAAGTGAGAATTTAACTGGATATAAATTAACAATTAAAGATTTCGAAAATTTAATTCAATTAGAACTTAATAATTTCAAACTTGATAATGCATCAAGATGGTTCAAATTGTTTAGAAAATATTTTGGTGGAAATGATGGATTCCAAAAATTCATGACTCCAAAATTATGGCAATTAGTGTTTCAACTTGAAGCCAATGGTGAAAATAAACATTGGGTATTAAAAGGTACAGAATTATCAATGTATAAAGTTAATCCATTAAGTGATGCTATGAATGTTAAGAAATTTAAGAAATTTCTGAATTTTTCCTTTTCTGATTTTCAAGATGAATCAATTTGGCCAGATTTAACATTGGATTTCCATGGAGCTGTTGTTCAACATTTTGGATATAATGGTAATTTATCACAATTAAAAAAATATGTTCAATTTATATGGGGTGTTGATGAATCAGGCAAATTGGTTGGTAAAAAACTCAATCCTGATGATAGATTATATCCAGATATGAACCTTTTAAAAAATTTATTTGTTTCATTATCATATAGTGGAGAATTCTTTTCTGCTATCAAATACGTTAATGATTTTCAAGCAATTTATGATTCTATTAAAGGTTATAATCCAAAGGTATTCTGGGAAAGAGTGTTCAATAGAGCTCACATTACTACTTTATATGATGAAGAATGTGCCTTTAAATATTTCTTGAAACAAAGTAATTATTCAAATATCAGTATAAACTTAGATGATGCTCAAAAGGATGTTAATTTTGATTATGAAGGATATTTACAATTTATGGAAAAATTGAAAACTGAAAGACGTAATGTATTTGGACAAATTTGGAAGATTGTTGATAATGAAAATGAAATTGCTTATTCCAATTATATTTATAAAACTTATTTGAATTATTTGAAAGAAGAAATTGAAGAAAATGTTGAACAATCATACTTCAACTATTTATCATCCTTGTTGAAACAATACCATTTCTATTATACTGACCCTGCATCATTCACCAGAAAGTCTGAACTGGGATTCACACCAACACCAAAATATGATGAATTTATCAGAGTTCTTTACAATGAAGCAATCAGAGCATTGATAGATTATAAAGGAATGAATCTATTAATAGGTCAAATTGAACCATTGATTGAAAAATGGAGTATTGATGAAGAAATGAAGCAAGAATTGCATGAATGGGTTAATGAGGAAAGAATGATTATCTATAAAGAAAATCTAGAAACAAAACGTGCAGAATATATGAATAATTTAATGGAACAGGATAGTGAAGAAGATGATAAATTTTTAAGCTTACTATAGATACCAATTAGTGTATATAGAAATGCATAGCATAACCATTAATTTAATCTAATTTAATTTATTTATCAGGTCTTTATGAATTGTAATGTATGTCGTGCGTGCGATTACCGAAAACTGAAAAGTCCACGTAAATTGAAATTTTTTTCTTTTCTTTTCGACTCACAACGACCAGCGACACCAAAAGGAAAAAAAAAAAAGATATTCGTTGTTCGTAATCATTTTGTTGATTTGTACAACTCAACAACAACAACAAACAAACAACTTATAAACTATAAACTATAAACATGGCTGCTGAAGGATTAGAAAAATTGACTGAAGTTCCAGTTGAATTCTTTAAAGATGGAAGTGCTTTTGTTAAGAAATGTCAAAAACCAAATGAAAAGGAATATTTGAAAATCATTAGAGCTGTTGGTATTGGTTTCCTTATGATGGGTGTTGTTGGTTATGCTGTTAAATTAGTTCATATCCCAATCAGATACTTGATTGTTTAAATCATGCCCAACAAGAATGAATAATAAGAATGTGAATAGTTTTTGAGAATTCACTATACTACTTGTTGTTTTAATGTCATTTATTTTTGTTTTCAGTTCATACAGGTAATTTAACTTGAAAATGGGTATTAAATCACTCTTCATACATATATATATAAAAAAAAAAAAATTCAAACACATATACTGATCAATTAGTTCAGGTTTTTGTATAATATTATTTTGTTAATATAAATCATTAAAGAAATCAATGGACGTGATTTTGATATACTGCCATGATGAGTGGGGCACATCTCTCTCTCTCTCTCTCTGATGTAACTTGTGAGCTAAAGAAATGTTCTACCACTCTATAAATCATTAAGAAGTCAGACTCTTGCATGTTCAATTCATTACGGCTGACTTGTTAACTGTGTTGATTGATATTCCTCTGTTAACCTTAAGATCTCACAATATGCAGGACCGTGAAAAATTAGTGCAAAAAAAAAATCCTTCTCAAAAAAAAAAAAAAAAAAAATCAATCAAACCTCATCTTAAACAAGAAGAATAAGGCATCACTTTGTTTTTTTCTTTATTTACACTCCAGAAAACAAAACAACAATTACAATGTCATCATCTACATTTGTTAAGAAGCTAGCATCGAGTGATAAGAAAACTAGAGATGCAGCATTGGAATCCTTACAAAATTTTCTTCTTTCTAAGAAAGATCTTTCATTATTAGATTTAAAAAAAATTTGGAAAGGTTTATATTTTTCAATGTGGTATTGTGATAGAAGTAAAGCACAAGAAAGATTAAGTGAAAATTTGGGAAGTTTATACAGTGATTGTATAAGCTCGGAATTATTTAATGTTTTCACTTTAGCATTTTGGGAAATTATAATTATCGAATGGAAAAATTTAGATCAATGGAGATTAGATAAATTTTATTTATTAATTAGAAGAATTTTAAGACATAATTTTAAATTCTTAAAAAAACAAAATTGGGATGAAAAATTAGTTAATGAATGGGTAGAAGTTTTAAATAAAAGTGCATTAAGTGGTGCAGATAATGTTAGTATGGCATTACCTTATCATTTATGTGATATTTTCATAGATGAATTGCAATTGATTATGTTTGAAGAAATTCAAGAAGAAATTGATGAATTTGATGAAGAGAATTCTAGTATAGAAGAAAAAACAGAATTACTTAAAAAGAAAGTTGATATTGTTTCTGAAATTCCTGTTCTTAAATTAATTGAACCATTCATCAAGTTAAATAAAGATGCCAAATTAAAGACTTTAAGAGAAAAATGTAGGGAAGATATTTTGGATGATGAAAGATTAAAAGATTGGGGTGTTATTGAAGATGATAGTGACGATGAAGACGAAGATGAAGATGAAGATAATGGAAAAGATAGTGATGACAGTGAAGATGAATGGAATGGCTTCTAAAAGTATATTAAGTATTAATAGATCATTGTATAGTAAATCCATAAAATATTTGTAAAGACACACACACACACACACACACACACACACACACACATCGCATTAAAGAAGGAAAGAAAAATTAATTCCGAAAAATTATCACCAACCACCAAAGAAACAATTAACAAATCAACAGGATATGCCACGAGGGTCAGCACAGAAGATAGATAAGAAATCGAATAAATATATTCCTAAATTTATAGCATCAAAACCTTGGTATCAAGATGATACAAAAGAAGGAGATGAGAATGAACAAGTTGATGAATTATCACATCAACGAAAAACTGGAGAGATTATAGATCATAGTATTGCTAAATCGGGTACAGGAATTAAAGACGAATTTAAAGGTACTATACGAACAAATGATGAAAATGAAGATTACGACTCCAAAAGAGATCGATGGTATGGGTATTCGACAGAAGAATGGTTAACTCATTTGAAAAATTGGAAACAAACGAAACAACCAGATCAAGAGATTGAAAATAATGATTCTGATGATACAGATTATGAATTAGAGTTAATTGAGCTAGGCTTAGACAAAAAGGATTTAAATAAAAACATTAAAGAAGATCCCATGGAGAAGATGTTACGAGATCGACAAGATATACCAGCGTATATTTATAACATTACTTCGAATCCAAATAATAAAATAAGAATTGATTATGATCCAAAATCCCGATTAGCTAAAGATATGAGCAAAGGTTTTCTTAATGATAGAAGTCAATTTGTTAAAAAATTAACAGGTGCAGCCACTGAATTTACTGATTTGCAGAAAATAGCCTCTGGTTTGGATAATGAACATGAACAAGAACGTAAACAAGCACGATTAAAGCAACAGTTTTTTGGTGATGACAGTCAGTTTAAAAATGAAGTACCAGAAACCGATTTGAATCTAAGTCTTGAAGCCAGTCCTACATTGATGATGTTGAAAGCAAAGCAATTACAAAAGGAAAAATTAAAACTAAAAGATAAAGAAAAAGAAAAACCAAACAATACTAAAAATGAAATATCCCAAAAATATGCTAGCTCTGGTATCACAACCAACTTGGATAAAAATGGTTTGAAGAAAACACGTTACCCGGAAGATCAATTGACTGGAAATCACAAATTCATCTACGGAAGTTATTATGAAAATGGGAAATGGGGTTACAAGTGCTGTAAACAATTTGATAAGGATTCACAATGTACTCTTTAGATAACCCAAGCTTGCCAATTTTTGAGTCTAAAACTGGTACATTCATTATCAACCAATTCCAAAACAGGAATTTCCTCGATGGACTCCAAAAGAAGATTAGTATATTTGCCATTTTTTGTCAATATTTTCATTCTATTAAACTCCAATAACTGATCTAACTTGACGGAACCATCGTTTTTGTTGAATAATGATCTGAGATATGTATCCTTGCAAAGATTTTCTGTGGAAAAGTAATATTCTATTTGACGTTTAATATTTTCCTTCTTAACACTGACATTTCCTTTGGGAGAAATTGGCTGTTGAATAACAGGAGATGATGGCACTGGATGTGGTGATACCGGGGGTTTGCTTATCATTGAAATATGATATACTGGTATACCAAATTGAGGATATACTACTACTGATGGTGATGGAGGTGGCGGTGCTGGAGCTATTGGTAGTGGTAACAGGTGAGGGGCAGATACTGTTTGAGGTGTTTGAGGACGCAATGGAGTATGAACAAGAGGTGAACTTGCAGTCGAATCGATAAATGGAGATGATGTTGCCGTGAATTGATACTCTGGAGATATTGGTGAATGTTCAGAATAACATGGACTATTTGTATTAATAATAAAAGGAGGTAAATCTTTAGTGTTGTCTGTTATTTTGTATTTGTAGTGACCAGATCCCCCTTTAATTTTATTTGACTTTGGGAATTTTGGTTTCTTAATTTTAGTATATTTACCAACACTTACCAATACTTCTTCGTCATCCCCATTACAATATCCTGATTCTTGAGCTTTGGTGTAACTATTGGGATTTGATTTTTCTGAGAATGGAGCCAGAAATAAGGCTGTTGTTGCGGCTGTTGTACAGTCTTTGATTGATGGTGATATTGGTGAATGAGGAGTGGAAATGCTCTTGAGTTGACCAGAAATTATTTCTATATCATCATCACTTGAAAATGAATCATCTGAATCAGATGAATGGGCTTTCTCATGAGGGGATTTATTGTGATGATCATTATTGGTGATATTAATTAATTGATTTATACTCCAAGCATTCGTAGTTGGTGGTGGAGCAGGGAATAATCGTTTAAATGTAGACATAATGTAACGAATCTTTCTCTCTTGTATAATTCTAGTTGCTTAACCTAGTGGTATAGATATCTTTTTGAATTGTCTAAAATTGGTTGTAAAAAAAAATATAAAAATTAGCAATTAGCAGTCACAAAAAAAAAAATATCTTATAATAAAAAGTTGGTTGTAAAATTATGCAAAAAAATGGGCATAAAATCAAAATCAAAAGATAAATCTTACCAATTATGTTTCATCATTATTATTATGATCAAAAAGTACCCTTTTAACGTCAAACCATTACAAATTAGATTACTAATTAAGGAAGTTTATAATCATAGCCGTTCCGATAAGCTGCCAAGATTACACATTGGTTTTTCCAAAAATATGAAAAGACTTTGACTTCATGCATTGGAGCCGGGGATCGGGCAAGAATCTAAATTATTAATGAACCTGGATACACACACACTCACACACGATATTAACCAGTATTTATGCTCTTAGACACGGCTCTAAAGTTGCATGAAAATTTTATGAATGTCAAGGAGGCTTTTAATTTCTTTAATTAGTTCTAGTTTAATTTGTACAGCGTTTGAAAGACAGCCAAGGGGCTACTCAAGTCACTCATAAAAAAGTGATTTCTGGTTAAGAGTAACAATAATGAATTGTACTACTGAAACATATTAGAATACAGTTCACATTAAGACCAAAGATCAAACATGTGGGTCAAACGAGATATCAAGTATTTTTTTTAGCATAGACATGTGTCACACGTTGTTAGGATATCGGAACAATGCAAGTAGAATTATTATTCCCAATTAACTTAAACATCAATATTTGCTTATCAACGACACATTTACACACACGCGCACATGCGCTAAGATATGAACCCACGGAGTCACACATAGATCCATACATTTCAATCATAGATTCAGGGGATATAAGGTTATGATGTAAATTGGGTGCGTGTAAATTGGCCATATTGTTTTCTGTTAGAGAATAATTAAGCTGCAAATCTGAACGACAGAAAAAAAAAACAAGCACGCAGAAAGTGACACAAAATTGGCACCTACATACAAAAAATGAAGAAGAAAATGAAATAGTTAATTCTTGGTTTTGTGTAACATAGAAAACGTGGGTCTCTTCCCTTACTCCTCCTCTCCAACGAATTTGATTAAGTTGGAAGAACAAAATGGAAGAAACAGTACAAGAGTAAACGGGGGGGATTGAGCAGAGATTAAAGATGACACATGGGAGAAAGCAATTTTCAATAGAGTGAAATATGAAGTTTAATGAATAGCCACTTGTTATTCATATTTTTCCATTGGGAATGGAGTTTCTAATTGCCATAAGGTTGACCCAGTTTATGGAATTTATAACAACACCAGATACAATGGAAATGTCGGTGTGAAAGAATGATATTAAGACCGACATGAGATAAGAAAGTAGGAAAATTGAAATGAAACCGAAGAAGAAATGAAGCACGAGTGTCTTAGATTGGCTATTTTAAACTTTTTTTTTTTTTTAATTTTCATTTGTTTGAATAACCCTCGTGTGCCGCATTACTTGATTTATAGTCAATCTCCACGAGATACCACATATTAGAACACTTGAAGGGGATAAAAAGTCGAAAACGTTGCCACACTACGACGGATGGATTTCACACAAAATTCAAGAGTCATAGAAGTTTTTTTTTCTTGACTGTTAATATTCTTACTTTAGACTAGACCTGAGTTGTAATGAGTCCTTGTGATTAATACACCCGGTGGATTCTCACAAGATCTATAAAACCAATTAATACCGGTAGAATATGGCATGTAGTTGAACCGTGTTTTTCAATAATAGATACTGGTGAAAAGCCAATTCTGATAACAATCTGCAGTATCTTGATCAAATCGTGTATGATGGATTAATGCTTGCCCTATAATTGTTGGTTAAGTCTATTGTCAGAAGACATGCAAGAAATACAATACAAAAAAAATTAACTTACGTACTATGAGAGCAAAACGTGGGTACATCAAATTTCTTTTTGGTTTTTGTGTTCTTATGGAACACACATTCATAATTTCTAATTTTTCTTGAACCTAATAAATATTAATGCATACCCTTTTTCCCATCTTCAAACATTTCCTTTCTATGTTTTTCTTTTTTTTTGGTTTTTTGATTTCTAGATACTTTTGATATTGATAATCAAAGTTAGTACTTTTATAGATAACAACTCATTGAGACACTAAACAATGGTCTTACCATCGCCACCAGTATTAAAAACAACAATTATTCAATTGAATAAAGAATTGGATCCTGAAGATAATAGTAACAATTACGAAATATTAACCAATGAGTATAACGCTGATAATGGTAACGGATCAACCGATTCCAGCAATCCACAAACAGTGCCAACTTCTCCAACATTCGAAGTGAATACTTCATTACCTAATAAGAAAAAGAGAAGAAGATCGACTGCAAATATTGATAGTGAGGAGTTGGCTAAACGCAAAAATGAAACAAAACAATTGCACTCAATAATTGAAAAAAGAAGAAGAATTAAAATAAATAGAGAATTTGAAGCTTTGAAATATCTTATACCTGCATGTCGTAGTTGTAACTCAACCACTTCATCACCTAATGGTTCTACACCTTCTTCAAGAAAAGCAAGTACTGGAAATGCTAGCAGTAGTAACAATGGTAATAAAATCGATGGGATGTATAAATTAACAATATTGAAATCATCAGTTGAATACATTTTGTATTTGCATCATGTTATCCAAAAACAACAAGAATTGATTGCAAACCCAAATAATGAAAACTTAAGGAAACTTAAAGATTTCGATATAGACTTTGCCAAGATTCCATTAAATGTCAATCAATATAGAAACATCGACAAAGAGTTTAATTTCAAAGACTTGTTGACTGATCTAGATGGAAAGAAGCAACAACAAAGCGATAATGAAGATACTAAGAAGTTGTATAAAGTAAATCAACATGAAAATGATCAAGTAGAAGAAGAACGAATGGAAAAAGAAGAAGAAGAAAGTGAAAGTGGTAGCAGTAGAGGATCCAGTGCTATGCCACAATCGTTACCACCTTCTGTATCTTCAAGTTTAAATCTTAAGAATAAATCACTGTTACCAACTCCTGATTTCACACCAGACATGGCACCAATATTGAATATATTAAACAAATATTCCACTACACAAGCAGCTGCAACTGCTGCTACAAATTCAAATAGAAAAAACTCATATCCTGTTTCTCCTCAAACAGTTGGTCTTAAATCACAAAACCCATCACCATTTACAGTGCCCATGAGATCATCTTTATCAAATAGTGTCTCCCCATCTATGAATGCAAATAGAAGTTATACTGCTGGCAATAATAACCCGAAATTTGCATTACCAGATCCTGCAGTAAATCCAAATTCTCAGTTGAATGAAAATGTACCTAGAAAGAAGTTCAATAGTGGTAGAATTCCTGAAGAAGATGAAGATATGCTTAATGAAAGTACATCAAAAATTAGAGAACAAGATGCTTCAAAGACATTATTGTCATTAAGAAAATCAAGCATTGACAATTTATTAAACTGATTTTGTGGTTGATTGTTTTACATTGATTCGTTATTTATTATTATTATATATACTGCTTGTTTTCTATTTGTTAATGTTTTTTTATATATAGAAATTAGTTTTTTTTTATTTAGTTTACTGAGTTGAATATTAACTTAGATTATTCAATGCAGAATACTATTATTTATTTTATTTACGTCAACAAATTTGTATCTCGTAAATATTCTATATACTCGTCAACTATGCTTGGCCAAGCAGCCATTTCATCATAATCTTTGAAATTCTCTGGATCAGGTAAGACAACTTCTTTTAAAAACAAATAAAACATTGACCAACTATCATGACTAATTGATTTTTTAGTAATATAATCTGGTTCTGTCAAGAATTTATACCATTGCTCAATTCTTTCATTAACTTTGTTTTCATATTCTTCATCTATTGGATTATTTTCTTTAATATATTGATTGATTATAACTGGGATTAGCAACTTCCAATACTCAGTGGAAATTTCAAAGTCTAATACTTTTTGATTTTCTAGTTCCAAAGAAAATTTGAATGCAAATTCGTACAACTTTTGAAATGTAGCTGGCTCTCCAGTAGTTACATCAGTATAATTCAGTTCTCCATTAATCAATGCCTTATGAAACTTTGTTAAAAATTGCTTCATAGAAGGAATATCTATGCAGTTATGTTGTTCCCATATTTGACAAAACTATCCCTCAAGAAGATCCCCATTCTTGGAGATTTTAACAAGTACGCCAATGTTAGAGATGACAAATCTTCTGGAGTAATATCCATATCTTCCAAATACCTCAATGTTCCATCAATGTCTATTTGATTATTATCCTCAGGATCCTTATAGTTGTCAAACACTGCATTTAATGCTGCTATATCTTTTGGATTAGTCTTATCAACGTTGACAGAACCAGCTGACGCTTTATTAGGATGTCTATTAAAATAAGCATCTACTGCTCTTGGTAAATCATATCTTGAAGATTCCAAGTATTTCTTTGCAGTTGCTGGTGCAACTCCTGTTAATTCACAGAATTGAGTTTGTAAACGTCCCTTGCTTGACTTGAACAATGTTAGTGTTTTGCTCTTTATGAACTCCATACGATCATCTTACTCCATTCAAAAAAGGGGGTACTTTGATAATCAAATAGAAAAACTCCCCAAAATTCTTTGCAACACATACCATGACTAGTAGTATAAAAAAGGAAGAAAAAAAAAACAAACAAACGATATATATATATATATGAATATATATACAACAAAAGAAAATGAATATAGAAGTTATTATTCACGTGTATTTCCTTGTCACGATGTGTTGTAATTTGATAGAACAAGAAAAAAAACAAGTGCTAATGAAGTTAACATTATTAGCCTGGCTCTACTCTCCACCCGTCGTGCACATTTTTTCTTTTTCGTTTTGCTCGACTGAAATTTGAATGATAGACACACAGCAGGTAGTGTATCAAGTGATAAAAAATTATACTGGTATGTACACTTTTTTCTATTGTTTATGTTTTTTAATTTTGATTTTACAACAACCAAACGTGTTGCCAATATTTGTTTTATTCTACAGCAGGACAACCTGATATCATGCAGGTTGATATTACAAAAGATCTAATATCATCCATCATACCTTTTCCAAATCTAGCTGACTTATCAAATAGTACTTCAGATTTTGATAATGATATCCAAATTTTGTTAGATTGGTTAGATCCACATATTCCTTCAACTTTTATCAAACGATCGGAAGATGGTACACCAGCAGCTCCTTTATTATCGAAATTCCCCGAGCCATTGCAAAGAGTAAAATCAGCTATACGGAGTTGTCTTAAAGAAGAAAAGAACCAATTACAATTTATCGATCTATATATCAATACCATCAATATTAAGTTGTTAGATTACTTCAGTACTTTGACAAATTTATCATTTCTTGAATATATCGATGTGATCAAGATCCTACTACATTATTATAACTCCCAATTTGAATATTTAAATGTTACAGATAATGTATTTAAAATTTTTAGCAGAAAATTGAGTTTTATTATATCATCAAATCTAGTAGAACGAACTACATTCAAATTAACCATGAAACAATTTTTTGAGGATTCATTGTTTATGAAAGCCACTTTAAGCAATCCAATGTCAACAAATGCATTGAATTTAATTGACGTGATTTCAACTTTGGTATCGATAAATATGTCTACCCTATTGAATGAAATTGTGATCAAACTTTCAGTAGAGAAGATTAAACAACATACATTGTCTTTGAGTACAAATGTTTGGGATAAACAAATCTTACTGTTGTTGAATAATTTTATTCAAGATGAAATATATCCAAATTTCTACATCGTCATAAGTTACACAACGTCATCTACACTAACGGATACGATGAATAATATCTATTTGTATGAGTTGGTGAAAATTGCTCATGATGAATTGGTATCTTTGAGAATAAAAGAAATATATGCCATGATTCTAGATTACCCTAATTCGGATATCGCATTACATGAGTTACATTATTGTCTCCTGAGAAATATGTTCAATCATCAAGACTATGGTATTTCAAATAATTTATTGTCATATATCACAGATCTTTCAGTGAACTCGCAGGCAATTCAAAGAACCAAATTAGTGGAGAGTTTTATTGACTACTGTAGCAAAAATTTATTACACGCAGGAGCAAATACAATTGATGTTATCACAACTTATACAAAAACAATCAGATCATTTTTGATTATTGATCCCAAGGGTGTTTTGCTAGATAAAGTCGTGAGACCCATTAGAAAATATTTGAAGACGCGTGAAGATATTATTATTAAATTGGTACGTGGGTTGTTGGACAATTCACCTGAGAATGAATTGATTGAATTGGCTCGAGAATTGCGAGCACCAAACAAGTACCGTTCTAAATCACATCATTCTAAAGATCTCTTGGAAGACTTACTTGACTTAAACTGGGTTCCTGACCCTGTAGACGCATTGCCGGATTTTAAAAATGGGAAAGTTAGTGATATTATCGAATCATTAATTTCGATATTTGATTCCAAAGAGATTTTTATTGATGAGTTTACCAGACTATTTGGTGAACAATTAATTAACTTGAAAGATTACGATGTTGAGGAAATCGAATTCAATTTGAATTTGTTAAAGGCTAGATTTGGAAAAAATAATTTCACAACGTTGGATATCATGATTCGTGATATTAAAGAAAGTCGACATTTGAAGGAATTATTGAATGTTAATGATGATGGTGTTTTCAATACTGCAGTTTTGTCTCATTTATATTGGACAACTGTGTTGGATAGTATTGATCCCGAGCAACATAATTTCAAAATACCCGATATCATTGAACACAAATTCCAAGAATTTAAGAAGAAATTTGCTGAAGAGAAACACGGGAGAACATTAAAATTTGTACCAAGTTTAGGAACAGTAAGATTAGAATTAGAGTTTAAAAATAACACCAAAGAATACAATGTGACCCCAGACAAAGCTGCTATTATTTCATTATTCAATGATGAGGAAAATGAGCTCTCAGTTAATCATATTTCACAAAAATTAAACATGTCTGAGTATATGGTATCTAAAGGTTTGTCTTACTGGGTTAAAGAAGGTGTGCTTTTAGAACTAACAAAAACTTTATTCATTGTCAACGACGACGACGACGATGGTGATGAAGGCGGTGGTATAGGGCAACCAGAAGTTGATACCGAATTACTGACTAATTTTACTCCGAGTGATAATAATCCTACAGCACAATCATCAGCTAAATTTTCAGAAGTAAGTGTGATTGAACCATATCTTCTTACAATGTTGCAAAATATAACACTGTTAAGTTTTCAAAGAATTAAAACGTTGCTTAACTTAATGGTTCCTAAAGATAAATTAAATCTTACAAAGATCACAGATAGCCTTCTTGAAGAATATCTTGATTCACTTGTTGAAGATTCTAAATTACATATACGTCATGGTAATTATAGTTTACATGAATAATAATAATAAAAAAATATAATACACAATTGCATTTTATATAACCTATTCCTTTTTATTTGATTTTGAAATTGCATTCAATTTTTCAGTATATTCTGGATTAGCTTGCCATTTTCTAGCAGCTTTAATTTCATCAGTTGCATATCCAGGAATTCTTAAACCCCAATTTCTTTCTAAATTCAATTGTACATCTCTAATATCAATCCTATCTAATTTTCTATGTTTAGCCAATCTTCCACTAAATTCAACAATATTACGAACAAAATCATCAGCTAAATCCAAGAAAAGATCTTCAACATCATTATCAATTGGAATTTTAACGTCTCCTTGATCAACAGATATATTATTAATCATTTCAGTCAATTTCCTCTTGGTTAATACTCTTCCATCGTTATCTGGAATATTACTTGGTGTGACTTTTGGATCAACTGCTGGTTGTTGCAGTTGTTGTTTATTAGAAGTAGTTGCTGTAGTAGTGGTTGTAGTGGTAGTGGTAGCGGTAGTGGTAGTGGTAGCGGTAGTGGCAGTTGTTGCTGCTGCTGGTGTCGTTGCTGTAGTTGAGGCAGAGGTTGGAGTTTGAGCCAACCCTGGACGATTCGATTTACTTGTACTTGCTGATTTTGTTGTGGTTGAAGTAGGTGTGGTAGTACCAGTAGGTGTTGCCGGAGTAGTAGTTGTAGTAGTAGCTGTTGCTGTTGATTTAGATGCTGAACTTAATGGAATATTACTTGTAGATTGAGATTTTTGTTTTGCCTTTGAAGTTGTAACCAGAACTGTTTGAGGTTTAGTATTTGGTTTGATTTCTTCAGCTTTAATTAAATTTGATTTATCAATATTTGGAGTAGATGTACTCGTTGAACCATTAACTGGAGTAGAATTTGCAGATAATCTACCTTGATCAATTAAAATATTTCTCATATGTAAAGCAGCAGTATGATATTTTTGCATTTGACTACGAATTTCACCAAGTTGTTTATCGATTTCTTCCTTCTTTTCCGGAGTAGTATTTTTTGAACTTTCCAATGTTTTAATTTTTTCAAGAAGTGCTTTTAATGTATTTCTCACATTATTATATTTCTCAAGTGTAACTTGTTGTTGTGGACGAACAGTTGGTCTTTGTGGAGTAGGTGATTGAATCGAAGAAGGAGTTGGTGAAGTCTTCTTTTCTGTTGTAGATGTGACTGGTGATGGTGAACTCACAGAAGGAACTTTTGATTGCGGTTGACTAGATGATTGCAGTTGAGGTTGTGATTGAACTTGAACAGGAGGCAGAGGTTGACTTGGAGTTTGTGATTGACTAACTAAAGGTTGTGGCAGATTTGTAACTGATGTTTGACTAGATTGTTGTATTTGACTAGAACTTTGGACTTCTCCAGATTGTTGTTTTTGCTGTTGTTGTTGAATAGGAGTAGGAGTTTTATCATCTCCACTATTTGTATTACTATTATTTGCCTTTGCTTGTTGCTGTTGTTGCTGTTGTTGCTGTTGTTGCTGTTGTTGCTGTTGTTGCTGTTGTTGCTGTTGTTGCTGTTGTTGATATTTCACCAATATTCTTTTAATCTTTTCAGCAGTTTCCAAATGTTTTCTCTTTTCATCATCTTTATCAGCAGTTTTAGCTAAATACATTTCTTCCTTTAATTTTTGTAATAATATCTTGACTTTTTGTGGGTTTAATTCAGCTTCTGGTGTTGGTGTAGAATGTCCACTTTTACCACCTAGACTTTGATTTTGTATAGCCGGTGATGGAACCGATCCAGATGGTGTTGATTGTGATTGTGATTGCGATGGTGGTACATTGGATGAAGATTGATCCATGGTGATGATGATGATAATCGGTATAATTGATGAATCTTACTTTTTAAATAGATGCTTATGTTTTGTTTGGGGGATTTATGTTTTCGGGGTCAATTCCTAAAAAGCAAAAAAAAAAAAAAATTCTCCCGAAGAATCAAAAATTTCGCATGTCGCATTACATGTCGTGAAATGTCGCCACTTTCAATATGACTGTATACAGTGTTTCTACTTTCAGTTCGTACCAAGTTCAAAGAAATTATTAATACTAGTGCGACAATTTAATTTATAGTAAGGGAGATTAATTGTTCATAGTAAATGGAGTCAAAATGTTCACACCAGCGGAAATAATACTTTCAAACTAGCTGACCTTTTTTGTTCATACCATATATCATACATTTTCAGTATGAACAAATAGAGGTTACGTAATATGAACATTTTTTGCGCACTAGTATCAAAAATATTGACCGCCTTAATATGAACTTTTCTTTGCAAATAGTGCGAATAATTTTGACTCACTGATCTGAAAATTATGCTCAAACTAGCGCGAAATAAAACTGCAACGACTGTATAATTTGTAATAAATGTCTATATTCTATAAATTGATAATCTTTTGAATAACTTCATAAACATCATCATCTATATCAGTTGATTGTCCAGGATTGGATAATTTAGCATCAATTAAAGAATCCAAGATCTTTCTCAAATGTTTAATTAAAACCCCATTTTTACACCATGTTCTAATAGGTAACCAATTATCAATAACTATACCATGACTCAATTGACCAGAGTTAACACCAGATAAATCATAACTAAAATCACCGCCAAATAATAAAACTGATAATGGATTCGTAGGAGTTATATCACGGATATAAAGTTTTGTAGTCAAATGAGATGATCTAAAAGCAATAAATGAATCCTTTGATAATGCAGAAGAAGATGAAGAAGATGAAGATTTTGGTAATTGTGGAGTTTTAAAATCAATCAATTGTCTCGCCTTTTCAACATCGATAGTTCCATCTTCATGACTAATTTTAGCAAGGACTTCATCATCAAGAACTGTGAAATCTGAGTTTTTATCGTTAAATAAAACAGATGATGGATGAATAAATACTCTAGAAGCAGGTAATGAATCGTCTTTTTGTTCAGTATTTTTAGTCCAGAATTTAATTTGTCTAGCATCAGGATCAATTTCAACAGAACCAGAACTTGATTTAAAATATTTAGGATCAGGATACTGAACTCTTGCTATTTGAGGATAGAACGAACCAGCAACTATTGCCCTAACTAATGACCAATTAGTACTATTCTTATTATCGGATTCTTGATATTTTCTTGGTACAAATCCCAATTCTGTCAATAAAGAAAGGTACTGTGATCTTGTAGATGTGATATCCTTGATTGTGGTATACGACAAGAAATTATCATTTAGAAATCTCTTTGATCGATCCTTATTCATATATGCATCATAGGCATTTGCCATACTTATAAAATCCCCTTGTCCATTACTAAAATTCCGTTGTATTTGTTTTAATTTATCTCTTTGTTCAAAACTATTAATAAATGGACTTCCTGTAGAACTAATAGCAGAAAGGGTCAAACAAATATCCAAACATCCAAAAATACATCCCATTATTAATAATTTAGCACTTTGTGGATCTGTTGGTAAATATGATATATAATTACCCAATTTAGTCAATTTATTATCTTGCAATGCTCCAATTTCGTGTAGTATTTGATTGGCTTTATTTAATGAGGATTTATCAGGGGCATCCAATCCACTAGATAAGAATTCATCAACATTAGAAATTCCCATTGATTTGACAATCAAATAAAGATTCTCCAATCTGGTACGTTTGATTTCAGGAATTGGTTGTGGTTTCATAGATTCAAAAGTATCTTTGGTATACAAATGATAACAAACACCAGCTGTTACTCTACCTGATCTACCTCTTCTTTGACGAACTTCAGCTTGTGAACACCAATCTTCTATCAATTTGGTGGTGTTCAACTTAGTATCAAAGAATAAATTCTTGGATTTACCAGTATCAATAACAGCCACACAATCAGGAATTGTGATAGAAGTTTCGGCAACATTAGTAGAAACAACAACTTTTCTCTTACCCTTTGGTGGGGTTTTGAAGATTAATTTTTGTTCAGCAGAAGTCAATCCTGAATGAAGTGGTAATGCCATAAAATTAGGATTTTCTTTGTTTATTTGTTTAATAGTTTGTGAAATTTCAAGTACACCAGGTAAGAAAATCAAGATTGATCCTAAATTTCCTTCTTGTGTAAGCTTTTTGTCAATATAATCTGCCAATTTAGCAATTAATTCATAATTGATATTTCCTGACTTGAAAAAATGTGAATCTGGCAGTGGAGTAACATATTCACCATCGGAATTCTGGATTTTATAATTCAAAGAAGACAAGATATTATCCAAATAGTAGTCTTCAATAGGGAAAGTTCTACCTTCGATGTGTAAAGGAGTCAATGGTTTGGAGAAGAAATTAACAAAAGTTTCAATACTAATAGTTGCTGAAAGTAAGACAATTTTTAATTTGGGGAAACCTTTCATCATTTTCTTTAACAAAATCAACAAGAAATCAGCATCAACTGAACGTTCATGAACTTCATCAATTAATATATAGCCAATGTTTTCTAATATACCATTGGTTTTAGATGATTGTAACATTCTTAATAAAACCCCAGTGGTGACAAATGTAATTCTAGTATTTTTGCCGGTTTTGTTTTCACCACGAATAATATAACCGGTTTCTTGACCTATGGAGTCAGTTCTTTCCTTGGATATTCTATCTGCCAAACTAATTGCTGAAAGCCTTCTTGGTTGGGTACATATGATCTTGGTTTTAAAATCACCTTTGGAATATAAATCATCCATAATGAATTGAACAACTTGAGTGGATTTACCTGAACCAGTTTCACCAGTGATTAATGTTACTTGATTCGAGTTGATAGCCGAAACCAATGCTTCTTTTTTAGCAAATGCTGGAAGTTTTTGTCTTTGAGTAATCATATCCTTGTATTCACTAGATGATGTTCTTGAAGTATATGATTGTTTCACGTTTTCAATATCTTTTGCAGTTATAAATGACACTTTATCAGAAGCTTTTCTTTTTGATTTAATATCAGAGTTTGATGTTACTATCTTGGTTTTGGAGACTTTTTCCTTTACTAATGGGCCTGGATTATTGATGATCTTATTAGCATTTTCATTTAACCAATCAATAATTGTATAAATCATACACTCACCAACATAGCTTTGCAAATAGTCCAATAATTGTCGAATCATTGAAAGTTTAATATAGTTCGCCAAACTATACCCAGATTTAGGTACAATCACTTGAATCCCGGGAAATTCATTAGGATAATTTTCACTTTTGAATATTTTCACTTCCAAGAACTCATGATTCAACTTCACAGTGGCGGTATTTTTTTCATATTTGATTGGAATTCCCGTTATTTCAAGTCCTTCAATTTCCTGATTCCAGATATCTTGACTATCGGGTTCATTGACAGTTTCAATTTTTGGACCCAATTGCTGAGTTAAATCAACACAAGTTTTATGTTCATCATTGTTGTTCTTCTTATAAACTTCAAGGATTTCATCTTCATCAAATCCTGATTGGGACATTCTTTTCAATGCATATTCAAATTCTAAGTTTGATGAAATTTTCAATTGCATTTTAGAGTCTTTATCTGATTTACTAAACATTGGAGGTAAATCATCTTCAGGAATATGAAACAATAACCATTCTAAACAATCAGAAAATTTTGAACAATAATTAAATGATTCTTTAATATGAGGTTCTCTAAATCCAAGTGATAATAAATTATTCAAAACTATAGTTGAATTTGAATTTTTTAATAAATCATGATCTGTATTCACCCAATCAATATGATTTCTAATGGAATGCTCAATTGAAGTTCTCACTTCTGAAGGAATATCAACAAATGGAGCATTTTCCCATACTTTTCTTGGGAATTTTCTTGTAGTTTCTGATTCCAATACTATTGATCTTTTACTAACTGGTTTATCTTTATTTATAGTAGTATTATTACCCAAACTAATTGTAGGTTTTTTAACTTTCATTTCATTTTGTTGTTTAATTAATCTTTCCTTTTCTTTCTTTTCTTCTAATTCTTTCTGTTGCATATAAACCATGAATGGATTCACATTAAATAATCTATCATGTAATTCCTTATTATCTTTCAATAATTTAACTCTATCATCTTCCAATTGAGTCCAATAATCACGAAAAATCACAGGTAATAACATTTTCATATTTTTAATATAATTAATTCTATGTAATACAAAAGTAGCAACCATATGTCTTGCTTCATTTGTAGTTTCTTTTGGTTCATAATTTCCTTTTAATTTAATACTTATCAATTCTTTAGTTTTAGGATTCTCCCAATTTAAAGTAACAATTCCAATAAAGCCAGATGAACCTTTTTTAATCATATCATATTGACATCTACCCCATTTTTGTTTTTGACAATGTTCATTAAGTAAAGTAACTGGTAATTTCCCAGTCCATCCAAAATTATCACCAATTGCTAATCCTCTTTGTGGTTTAGCTGGTGTTGTTGTTGTAGATTGATCTGATGAGGTATCTTTATTCTTCTTTTTGTTTTTGGTTGGTGGTTCTGGAGTAGAGTCTTTTTTAGATTTACCTTTACCTCCTCCTCCTCCTCCTCCTGATATTGGTTCGGGAGTTGATTTGGAAGATTTCCCCTTTTTGGCCATTTTTATCCAGAAGTCGTTGTGTGATAGGATTATAATGGTTATAGTGGTTTCTAGATTTAGATTTTCATGTATTTTCTTTTTTTTTTTTTTTCAAGTCGTGTTAAATCACCAATCTTAATTGATGTTTTTTTTTTACAACAACTTTGCAGCAACACTTTAATAAATATAAATTACAAATGCATTAAACTAAATAAATTACTGTCTGATGAACTAAAGAGTAAATGAAATCAATCATCTATATATAAATATGCTAGAGAGTATAATCACCTTTTTAAACCATTTCCGTTAAAAACAATTAATTAATAAGAAAACACTCCAACTCCAACATGTCAAATTTATAAACAATCCAATTAAAACCACGGCCCAATGAAACATCGGGGGTTCAACAAATCTCTGGAATAGTAAGTTAATACTAATCAAACAAAATATCAAACTTGTAAGGATACCCAAGATTATAATAACAATAATGCCTACGTTATCCTTGACCAAAAATTTATATTCCATATCTTGTAAGATTGATATAAAAATACCCAATTGAATACCAGAAAGGAAAATTGAAACCAAATTAAGCGAAAAATAAACATACGACAAAGTTCTGTCATAATTATACTCATAAGTTCTCTTGTAGTCGTTTCTTTGTAGGTATGGAATCGGATCTTCATTTATTGAATCGTAAGTAGAATCGTAGTTTTGAGTAGTGTGGTATAGAGAAAGGAGTTTGGTATATGGATCCAACGGAACTTCATCTTCATCAACAAAAAACGGATTTTCATAGATTCTTTTGGCAGCATGATGTGGAGTTGGAGAATGGGACAGGGGTTCGTTAAATAATCTTTGTTTTAAATCGTATAAACGGTCAAATAATGATGGAAAAATTGAATCTGGATGACGAGATGCTGGTGCTGGAGAATGACGTTGGTGCTTCTTGAGATTTTTGATATACAAGTTTTCATCTTGATTAATTAATCCATTCAAAGATAAACTGATCTGATCAATTTGTTCATCTTCTTCTGTTAATGGTTCTTCTTCGATAGCATTATCATCAAATAAGCTGCTACTCCCCATGGAATTTTGTGGTTGGTGGAATGAAGATCTCTTTTTATTAGTTGGGACAGCAGCACTAATTGAAAGAGATTGGATGGATTGTTTGTGTCTAAGAATATTGTCTGATTTTTGTTTTATAATTTCAACTTCCTGGGTCACTTGTTGATTATTCTTTTCAATATTTTCAAAATTCTTCAACAAATTCAAGTTTAACAAGTTTGAATAATGATTGTTGATTAAATCACCTTGAGGGATAATATTATGGTAGCAGGATAATTGATATTGATAGAAATTCAAACCTTTGAATAATGTCAAACTATTATTATTAAGAATTGTTTGTATTTTCTTGGGAAGTTTACGGATGTTGCCAACTTGATTTTTGACAATACCACCATTGGATAAATCAATTTCTGTAACTAAATCATATTCAAAATTGCATAAATTGATATCATTTGAATAAATGGCCAAATGAGCATGAGGGAAAACATCAAATAGTAAATAATCTTTTTCATGTTTAGGAAATGATAAATCATTGACAAACTCTAAGTTGTCAGTGGTCATAATATCACTATCTAAAGTAATCAAATAATCCTTGTCTATATCATCAGGTCCATAGCAACTTGCCTTATGGGAAGATTCGACGTCATCTTCATCTTCTTGTTCAAGAGTGTATCTAGCTCTTTTACAAAATAATTTTAAAGTTGGCTTCAAGTCATTTGAAACGATATAATCAACAGTCTTTTTGGTTAATAAGTTTGGATGGGTAGTGGTGAAAAATTCAGACAACTGATTCTTGTAAACCTCATTATCACGATCATTCAAATGATCCATTAAAGCTTGAATAACATGATTGGACAAGATACAGTAGGCATATTTTCTTAACCCACCAACTGGAGCAACAATGATTGACGCGTCAGTATCGTTATGACTAACTATATATGCTGGTTCATCCAGAAGGTAATCTCTGGTTAAATAAGTACAACTCATAATATTATCATTGAGATTTTTCAATTGAAAATACAAGTTGAAATTGATCATTAGTTCGTTAATTGAGTCTTGATTGGCAAGACAATGTAATTGGAAATTCTTCTTCAACAAAAGGTTCAAATCAAAACAAGCCTCGGGAGTTGTGGGACATGGTTGGTTATTGAGACATTGCTGAGTAGATGAATAGTTTGGAGGAGTACCAGGAGAAGAATTAGAAGGTAGAATTGAGTTTGAATAATCTGAATTTGATATTACAGTAGATGATATACTAAATAGGGAATTACTTCTTTTCAAATGAACAGATCTTGACTTTGATTCATATTTGATTACATTGATTAGGTTGGTTAATTTCAAAGTCAAGTCATTTAAATTAACATTTAAATTATCCAAAAAATAGTTTTTCAAAGTAATGATGAATTTATTTGCTTGTTGTTTATTTTGATAATATTTCAAAAACTTTTTAAAGATTTTCTTGATGGCAATCTTCTGTATAATGATAAATTTGGACAAGTTCTTGATATCTATAGATAATTCGATGCATTGATAGAATAAATCATCCAAATGGATGACCAAAGTCTGTTGTAGTTGTTCATAGTCGATGGTGTGTTGTGGTTGTGATTGTTTTTGTAGTTGTTGATGTTTTTTAATTAGCTGATTAAATTGATTTTGTAAATGGTCAAATTTCCTAGTTAATTCACCAAATTTTGTTTTAATAAATAGATTTATATAATCGAAATTTTCAATGAATGCTGAATGTAGTTGAGATAAATCAGATGAATTTGATTGTGTGATATTTCTAATTTGATATTTGAGTCCATTATAATCTAGATTATAACTTTTCCATTCTGGTATTGATAGCTGATGGAAATTATCCCCAAACTTCATGGATGGGTGTATATGTTGTTGTTGTTGTTATGAATGAGTGAAATATAACTAAAGAAATAAATAAATTGTCAAAATCTATAATAATAAAAACATCAAAAAGAATTACAGGTAGATATAAATTAATTAATTGAGGGTTATCTATCAATCTTTTTATATTTAAATTTTTTTTTTCTTTTTTCTTTTGTCTCTCGTTCTAATTTCTGTGGATTGTCTTCTGCCCTTCCTTTCTCTTCTTCTCTTATTGTTTTCATTGTGTCGCAATTGTATTTCATTGCATTATCTAAGAGAACGACAAAGTTTATTGGAAATTAAATTATCAAACACAAAATTACTTCAAATTTTTTTTTTCATTTTAATTTTAATTAGTCGTGTACATTGGTATAAATAAAATCAGATAATAGAATTGAATAACAGGAGAAGGAGAAGGAGGAGTTAAACTACCGCCAATTGATTTCCATTCTATTATACATAATATTATTATTATTATCAGAGATTATTACAATCAACACTCATTGCTTCGCCCCCCCCCCACACACAGATAACTGATCATTTATCATTTTTATTTTCTTCTTCTTGTTCTTCTTTGCTGTATGTCTTGCCCCCTTCCCAACTGCATGCAAAAATCTGAAAAAGATGAAATTGTTGTCAAGTGCACGCCACATACACATAATTCCAGATGATATTAATCATCATGAGTTTAAAAAAAAAGGTCACACTAACACTTTCCCATTTAAGAATTACACAATACTTGCCATATGCAATTGGTTCCCAATTTTCATACACGAACATGGCTTAAAACAATACCATGTCGGTACTTTTAACTTTCTCTCAAGTATTGAATCTAATTCAAACATTGACGACATTTTTACTTCTTCTGCTTTCTTTCTTTATTGTTACTTGTTTTTTAAACAAACAAATAACCCTTGTTTTTTCTTTTTCTATTATAATCAAAGAAACACAAAAAATTATGAAACAATAGAGATAACCAATATCAGGAGTAAAATGTTTGGTTTAATAATACTGGTAATATATACCACCCACGTGTCTCTAATTAATGTCTAATTACCTGTTAATACCATTCAACTTAAGGAAACGTGTCACACGAGTAGTACAACTAATCCAGCAAATATTGATCTCTCAAGATTCAAAAAAGAAAAGGTATCGATAACCACTTTTATATAATTGAATTAATTATACACTTTGAACAAGAAATGTCAATGTTGAAAATTTCTTGGTCCAAGACAAGAAGCTTATCTTGAGTTTTTATCGAATATTAATTTATTTGTTACATAAAAAATTCACTACCATCTCTAACTTCGATTCCCAATATTAATCTATTATTTTTGCGTTACTTTAAAAGATTAAACACTAAAATCAAATATTCAATTATTTGCTCCAACTTTCTTGTCTAGTAAATAACAACAGTATTGTTATTATTATTATTATTATTGTCCCAGATCAACAAATAATTAATAACCGAGGTCTTGTCTATATCACTCCATTAATACTACTGGTCTATAATTAGAATTGACACGTTGACCAACTCATGGTTTGAATAATAGACGTTATCACTCAAAAATAAATACCTACAAGTATACCGCCAAAAAAGACAACCAAATTTGTTGGATCTGATGAATATGTTTAAAAAATTATAATATTCACAAACGGTAATAAATAAACTGTTGTTATTATGATCCTCCACTCTTCAATTAGGGATTTATTATTTCCTCAGAATAGCAATCCCTTTAGAGATATATCAAGTAAACTATAATTCTATGGTCAAAAAGCTTTTCTCCTTTATTATTGGTTGCAATGTTTGTTTATTACTACAAAGAAAATAAAAACACGCGATCTAAACAATCATCATGTTCCAAGGATAACTTTATCATTCTTGACTTCCAAAATTTTTAAAACAATTCCCACTGGTTATTAGCCATTTGATATTCATGCAACTTGGTTTTTATTTTTAATTCTCGGGGTAGTGTACCCAGATCAATAAATCTAAAAATGTCGTAGAAGATAGTCCAAATTTTAATTCATCACATTAAATTTTAGTAGAGCCCTATGCTGAATCATTCTTTAGCTTTATATAAGAATTCACGGGCTTAGGGAAAGGGGATCATCTTAACACCAGAGTCAAATTAAGAACGGTAATAAGAACGTTTATAATGGTTTACCATGATGATATCCTTCTAAACGCGTTAAATACTCCCCCGTATAATTCAAAACTAATTCTCTAAACCCTACGCCTGTATTAAAAGACTAGAAAAGTTCAACCACAACAAACATTACCAGTAAATACATAAACTTTATTCAAGGGTAACTTCACTCGTAACCTATCCTTTTTTATAATACTTCAAAAGCGTAGTAAGCCACCTTTTTTATTCACCAATTAATAATAGCAAATAAAAAAAAGAAGGTTTAAATGAATATAAAAAAGAAATTCTTGACATTACTTGTTAGGAATAATCGATCATTTTGATTAGTTGTTGATATTATTTTATGAACTTTAATCCTTATTGAACCTTAAATTGATTCAACTCATCACGACTTATAAAAAAACAACTTAAAAAGCCTTGAAATTGGTGGATACAGAACTTTTTTCCTTCTGTTTCATTCTTCTGCCCCCACTTGCAGCTTAATTCAAATTATTGATTCATATTGTTGTAGATCTCAGATTTAAATTTTCCTCTTTCCTGCAAGTAAAGCCCAACAAGACCATGTACGTTACATAAGATGTACAGACAATGAAAAAAAAAAAAAATTTTTTCATACATGGTTAAATCTGAATATTAATTAATCGTTTTTACATGTCACACGATACTATGTATTAATTATTGCACAAATGTCTTATTCCTCAACTGGCGGTTATAGCGTTCAATGTTAAAAAATAAGGTTAAATTTGGTTGAGAAAATCAATCAATTCTCGTCTTAAATATCCAAGATTATAATAACTACTATTACTCCTGAGTATACAAAACAAAATAAATCGCCGATCCGGATAATTTAAATATGTCAATATAAATCGTATATTAATCCGCTTGGTTTTCAATTTTATTTATACCTCGACGAAGGACCCAAGTGGATAACGATATATCCACTAAATAAAGCTATCTTTTTTTTTGGTTTTACATAATTTCACTGTTCGTAATTTGATATTTGAAAATGTAACAGGTTCAATATGTCGATTTTTCTCGATACTAGTTAATTCACCTACTCCAAGGGCATAAATACTGAAAACCTCAGCTCATGATACACACTCTTGCTCTTCATTTGATTGTTATTACCAATTTTTTTCATAAAATCAATGCAACCTTACTTTGATTCAATCCAATAATTTATTAAAGCTGTCAGACTTTGTAAAAAAAAAGTCGTGTGCTTTCACAAAAGTTTGCAGTATTTTATTTTTTTTTTCTATCTTGTGCTACAAAATTAAGATACGGTCAACTGGTAATTACACAAACAGTTGATAATCACCCTCGTTTAAAGAAACGACCAGTAGCAAGCCTCTCACGCACGACATAATGCTAGATATGTCTGCATATCTATGCTGCATTGATTTTATGACGCTGTGAAATACCGTATCTGTCTCTGAATCATATAGATGCATTCTGTACGCGATGAGTAATTGGTAAGCATAACTAAAACTTTATTTCGGTTCACATCTCTAGGCCCTGTCGGATTTTAACCCATCAATATTATAATATTGTATGAATTTTGCAATAAAATAAATGTAGATAAAAAATAACATTACCATATCACATAACTCTGATTCAAGATTTATAAACACAACATATATATGGAATATACGAACCTATCAACTACACAGGAAAACAGCAAGTTATAATAATAAAACATTTAATACATAAAATCAAACACAGGGAAAAGGAAGACTTAGATGAAATTTAACAACAAGTTAATCAAAAATGTCCAGGTTAATACTTGGATAGTTGAACCAGCTTGAGAATAAGTTAAGTCAATTGTTTCATTGTTAAGACTTGTTGAATCATCATCTGAATTTCCAGTACTACTACTACTACTCTTAGTAGCCTCACCAGTTGAAGTTGTTCCAACTGTACCAACACCAATATCATTATCTTGGGAAGTATCGATAGTAGCACTACCACCTCCAATAACACCAATAACACCACCACCACCACCACCTAAATTTAAAGTTCTAATTGTTGAGGAATATTTTGATGTGGAACCTTGTCCTGTACCGGTGACCTTACTATTACTAGAACTTAAAGTCAGTGTATACAATGGTCCAATTGATTGGGTACTAAATGATTCATAGTATGCAACACGAACTTCTTTGTTTTCAGCTTTAGAAATACTGACACAATTTACATCAGCAACAACGGGATTGGATTGGTAAATAGCAATAAATGTAAATAAAATAGTCAACAACATGATGATTATTGATTCAAAAACTTTATATGAAAATTGAAATTGAAAAGTAAATTCCTACCCCTATTTATACTTGAATTATTTGGACCCCACTAGCACTTAATCAATCTAGTATCTTTCTTTTGTACTTACATAATTTATAAGTAACCAACTGAGAGATGATTATATAAGCGGCTATTCCAAGCTTCTATCCCAGTTTTCACAACTAGTCAATTTTGAACGGTAAACAATGTATCAATACGCCATATTGGCAAAGATACGTTTGAATGAACTATTGTAATTATGCTTGAAATGGATTTACACACAAATAACCGACAAGATTAAAACATTACCTACAATAATAATTTTATACTCAATTGATTGCACTAAATCTTTGTGTGTCTTACTTATCATTATTCAATATAAAGGCTGTTCAACACTTCAAATGATTTTGAAAACAAAACAGTATATAACTTTGATTAATATATTAATTCGTAGGCTCAATACTAACATGAAACCTCGTACTTCAATATTAAATTCTTGGAAGGCTGAAATTTGTCTAATAATGTGTTAATGTATGTTGATTATTGATTGATACAATGTAGCAACTCTTGTATCATAAGTCGTGTATAACTCATATTATAATTCCCCCCTCCCTTCTACAAAGAATGTAGATACCAAAGACGACTATTTCAATTTATTGTTCAATGGATTTATATATGTATAAAAGAAGTGGACTAGGTTGTTATTGGAAGATATAATTCTCTTTTCAAACATCTTGTCGTATTGTAGTACCAACGGGATTGTAAATTATCGTGATATTGAGACGAAAACAGAAGCAATTGAAACCAATTGCAATGGAAGAACGACTTTCTCAAATTAGAAAAACATTTTCCATTTGAAGCTAATAATAGATTTGAAATTGCAAAGTTATACAGAAGAATAAATGTAGGTAGGCAAAATTACCAGTTAGACCAATCAAGAAAAATAATAACAATTGAAACCAGCAACCATTAGTTTGCGGTTTCGTCATGAATATGATTAATAGCTCTTTTATGTAAATTCTAAGCAGAAGTATTCAAAGTTATTAGAATATTGAATATTATTATTAATTCATGTGAAACTGAGTTAGCCACATGCACAAACTAGCCACATGTAATCGAAAAGATATAATCATTGATAATGTAAGGGTTTTCAAAATTCAGGTTCAATATTTTCTTGACTGATATTCCTAATTAAGTTAATATCTCCTGGAAACATAGAACAATTCCTAAAAAATACAAAAAAGAAAAACAATTCATATACGAATTCATTTAATTGACCAATAAAAAAAAAAAACGTTTATCACCCATTACTATATGAAATATTAATGACCATTAAAATATTCACGTGTGTAAAAATTGATTGATATTGTTGCCATTTTGCACATTAACTATATTTCAATTGCTATCATCATGGTTAATTATTAACTATAGTGAATGATCTAATTGTGATAGCATTTGGAAACTACTCGAGGTTTACAGTAATATAGATTAAATATTCAAAAAACACGTATAATAAAACTATTAAATAGACATATAGTGTACAACTCGTTTCAAAAAGATTGTATCAAGCACCATGATATTCGTCACACCATTAATGAACCTATAAGAACAAACAATCAAACGTAAACCTAGATCTAATCATCTTTCGTGGAAGTCCTGGTTGATCTTGTTCTTGTGGATGACCTAGTTGAACTTCTTCTAGTTGATGTTCTAGTAGACGACCTGGTAGAACTTGTAGCAGTCAGCGTGTACAAAGGACCAATTGATGAGCTATTAAACCTTTCATAATATAAAACATTTGATGGATTATGTTCAGCCACAGCAATACTGATACAATCACTAAAGTCAGTAATATTTGGTTTTGAAACACAATACGTCTCATCTTCAAGCATCCATTCATCATCCCAACATCTAAGTATCAAGTCATTATGTTTATTCCAAGTCTTGAACTCTTCCATGGTAATATTAAACATTTCACAAATTTCCTCACATGTAATATAATCTTGTTCAAGAGTATAATAATCACAGAAATATTGTGGATACTCAAAAACACAATATGGATAGGCTCCACATTCACTATAATCCGGTTTAGTGACACAAACATGATCTCCTTCAGTAAAGTAACTGCAATACTGAGCATTCAGTAAGCCACCTCTATTCCAATTATAATCCACGAGTTGACTAACAGTCAAGTTGTATTCATCAGCAATTTCAGAACAAGTTGAATCATTATTCCAAGAAATAGTTTCACACAAATCAGATAATGGTAAATCTCCACAATTTTCATATTCAGATTCATATGTTGAACTAGGTCTAAAACTAGAGGTAGTTATTGTAGTTCTTGATGATGTCAGAGTTATTAATGGACCAACAGTTTCAGAATTGAAATTTTCAAAATATGAGACATAAACTTGATTATCTTCGGCTTCAGCAATACTCACGCAATCACTAAAGTCGGTGATATTTGGTTTCGAAACACAATATTGTTCGTCTTCAAGCATCCATTCTGGATCCCAGCATCTAAGTGGTAAGTCATTATGTTTGTTCCAGGTCTTGAACTCTTCCATAGTAATGTTGTACATTTCACAAATTTCTTGACAAGTGACATAATCTCGATCAAGTGTATAGTACTCACAGAAGTATTCAGGATATTCAAATGTACAAGCAGGATAAGCACCACAATCACTAAAATCTGGATCAGTTATACACACTTCATCACCCTCAGTGAACATACTGCAGTAATATAAATCCAGATAATTACCACGCGTCAACCAATTATAGGAAACCAATTGACTGAGAGTCAAATTATATTCTGCAATAAATTCAAAACATGTATCATTATAACTCCAAATAACTGTGTCACAGAAGTCAGATAATGGTAAAGCACCACAGTTTTCATAATCACCAGTATATGTTGAACTAGGACTTGAAGTAGATGTGGTTCTTGTTGATCTAGAAGAGGACAGTGTATACAATGGTCCAATAGTTGAGGATTCAAGTTCTTCATAATATGAAACATAAACTTGATTGTCTTCAGCTTCAGCAATACTCACACAATCACTAAAATCGGAAATATTAGGTTTTGAAACACAATATTGTTCGTCTTCAAGCATCCATTCTGGATCCCAACATCTTAAACTTAAAGCATTATGTCTATTCCATTCTTTGAATTCTTCCATTGTTATATCATACATGTGGCAAATTTCTTCACAAGTAATATAATCAGCATCTAATGTATATGTGTCACAGAAATATTCAGGGTATTTAAAAACACAAAATGGATAAGTTCCACATTCAGTATAATTAGGTTTACTAACACAAACATGATCACCTTCAGTGAAGAAGCTGCAAAACTCTGAATTTGTATAAGAATAATCATCATTATTCCAATTATAATCAACAAGTTCACTAGTTGTTAAATTATATCTACGGGTAATACTAGAACAAGTATAATTCTTTTTCCAAGTAATTGTCTCACAAAAATCTGATAATGGCAATACCCCGCAATTTTCATAATCTGCAGCAGCAGATATTTGGTAAGTTAAAAATAAAGATATTAAAGTTGAAATCATTTGTTGTTGATTAAATTTATAATTAAGGTGTGAAAAAATATTTTTGAAATTTCTAGTAGGAAATGAATTGA